GCCTGAAAAAGCGTGGGAGCCATACGCGGCGAGACTCGCGCGTAGCATGCAAAGGTGGGAATACCGCGGCTTCCCGGGGCTGGACGATAACGCAGAAATGCCATCTTCGGTCGTAACATTGGCAATAGTTGCGGGTCGACCCTGGGTCAGGCGTTTCTTCGGTGTGTTCAATCGGTGGGCCTCGAATTGGCATCCCACGACGAACACGGCAATACCAAGTTTTCGAAGGCGGCGTTAGGGCGACGACTCGGGTGGGTTGCGGAATACGTTCCCATATCATGAGGCGCACCTCCGCCGGGAGATCTGGGAATGCCGTGAACTCAGTTAGGGTGACCATTGTAGGTGTTATCGGCGCTGGCGCCGTTGGATGTGTCTTGTGGCGGGAGCCTGACGATGATGGGTCATTGATTCTCAGAAAATGCGAAGGAAGCGCTTCCTCTCCCGGGGTATACGCACTGTGTGCCCTTACCTTCGAATGTGATAGGGTAGATGAGCCATTTACCTCCATTGAGACATTACACGTTCGAGTGGCTAAAATACACCTGAGTCCGGGTATCGGACATATCCCTCCAAACTGTCAGATCGGGTAGACTCGGGCCCCATAATCGAGGCATCCGAGGGGTTGATCAGAAAAGGGGAATTCTACTGGTAATCTAAACCTACAGCATTCAATAGATATACACTTCGTGACCCACTAATTCTTAGGCAGGTAGGCAGGATCGTTGATCACTGACCAACACCATATAGTGAACTAAATCTGTCGTTGCCGATGTTTCTGGCTCTTTCGGCCGCTCTCCGCTCTCCTCACGTGGCCTGGCTCTCATCATGAGGTCGCGTTGTAAAAGACGACAAGCTTTTGGCTCCTTGGTAATCCTCCACGGTAAACTAAATTTATAGGAAAACTTGACAATCCAGTAACGAACCGCGAAAACCTCCTCACCATATCTTTGTAGGTTCCCGCTATTCTCGGAGGAGCTTGTCCTAATGCCTTTGCACTCACTTTCAAAAGATGTATAAGACCATTTTCCGTGTGTTAGAGTTGCAAAACCGGTCACAAGATAAGCGCAGCGGGAACGCTGAAGACATAAGACATTCGCGAACATCTCGTGCCTAGTCTTCATGAACTTTATGAGTTTTTGGAAGCGTTGCTCTGGGTTTGGAAGGAAATAAACCTTCACATCACCTTCGTTTATCGTTATTCGATGTATGCTGCGGGATTGATGCATGAGATATCGGGCGAAAAATTCTTGCTCATATGTCTCTTCGAAATTAGTACAGTGAGTCGACTTAGGAGGATCGGCAGTGATTATTTATGCTAGATGGCGTGATGCCCCGTTCGGGGGAGGCCTTGGATTCCACCACTCGACCCATTGAAGTCAGGTACAAGTGGTATCGTGTTGGGGAAAAGAAGAAAGTTTTCGAGCTCCATTGAGGATATGAATTGGATTCAGACGTGTGGAGGTAATTGAAAGGGATCGACCCTTGGTGTAGGCGCGGTGGTTCTATATATATCCTTCATAGGTACTGTATAGTAGGATTGGCCCCATGTCTGAGAGAACATTCTCACTAATCTAAGTACGGGCCAATCGGCCCGTACTTAGATGAAAGCAGGGCTGTAGTCGTAATTCGATTGAATTCCAGGAACGCCTCGCTCGCTACAATGGACAAGTTCGACGAACTCTCCCCCGTTAGCCCTTGAAATCTCATCCTAAGAGGTATCAAGGTGAGAATCGAAGCTACGTGGCGGGTATTCACGACCATGCTTCACAGTTATGCTGAGAAAGTTCGATATATTGCTGGCATTGCATAGATACCAGAGCCAGAATGCCCTAAAAGCGGGTCCTGCGATAATTGGTTTACTACCCGAGGGGGTGATACTGATTTCGTACTCACGCTGGGCTGGAAAGTATCTGATATATTCTTACTATCCTAGCAGGGTCCACTGTAGCTTGACTTTGCCTTTGGCACATTATAATAAAGCAGTTCTACAGCACTGCCAACCAGCTTTCGGACTGAAACGTGGCCTATTAGTAGAAAGAGCCGAAGACAAAGCATGGGACGAATTTTATGGATTCTAGCATTCGATAGTGGCGTCACCAAACAAGGAGGTATTCGAAGAGCGTCTAGCCAAGTTTGAGCTCAGATATACCGCAAAATACCCCCAGGAGGTTGGATATATCAAAACCTTCTGGCTCGAGTCATACAAGGAGAGGGTTGCTAAAGCCTGGGTGGATAAGTATTTGCATTTTGCCAATGTGGCCACGTCGAGGTAGGTAGTCAAAGTCTATACAAATGCAAACTGACGTATATTTCTCAGGGCCGAAGGGATCCATTAATTGATCAAGTCATATATCAAGACATCTACTCTCGACCTCTTCGACGCCTGGCAGACTATAAAGCGTGCAGTGATCAACCAACTACAAGAACTGAACCATTTACGAGCCTCTCAGCAGATACGGATGCCTCTGGATCTCTCTCAGACAACGTTTGAGGCTGTGCGTGGCTGGGTTTCGCACCAGGCTCTTCGCAAAGTCCGAGAGCAACGGCAGTTGCTCTCGGAGCCACTCGTGGCCCCTTGCAGTCGTTCATTTACTCCCTCTCGTGGACTACCATGCGCTCACACCTTAAAGAAGCTGGAGAAGAAGGGAAAAAAAAAAAAAAAATTAGGTCTCTTAGATTTGATTTAGTTATGTAGAACTAGGTAATCTAGGGTGACATGGCTCGTCACCAATCTCCTCCATTAGCTCCTCCAGCTTCCTAGTCAGCTCGCGTACTACGTCGGCGTACTCGGGTTGTTCGTAGCAGTTGAATAGCTCTAGCGGGTCCTTTTCGCAGTCAAAGAGTTCCCACTCTTTATCCTGTCCTCCCTCCCTCGTGCCGGGCAGATCGAAGCCCTCATTATACCAGTAAATCAGCTTATACCTCTGATCTCGCACACCGTAATGGGCGTACGCCTCGTGGATCGCATCTCGATGCATCCAGTACCGGTGGTAGGCCAGCTGCCTCCAGTCCAGGGGGGTTTTACCCTGCAACAGGGGTCGGAACGACCGACCTTGCATATACGAGGGCACCTTAAGACCGGCCAGGTCCAGCCAGGTCGCTGCAAAATCGACATTGGAAATGATATCGTCACAGACAGATCCCTGGGCAATCTCAGGTGGGTACCTGATGATAAAGGGCATCTGGAACGACTCCTCATAGATGAAGCGCTTATCGAACCAGCCATGATCGCCAAGGAAGAAGCCTTGGTCGGAGGTGTAGATGACAATGGTATTGTCGGTGAGGTTATTCACATCAAGATAATCCAGCATGCGGCCGACGTTATCGTCAATCGACTGGATCGTCCGAAGATAGCGCTTCATGTAACGCTGGTACTTCCAGTGGCGCAACTCGTCCTGGGTCTTGAAGGTGAAGTTCTCGCCTGTGTCCTTGTCGACAAGACGGACCTTGCTTACGTCCGACGGCAACGGCACTTTGCGGATCTTGTTGCCCTTGGAGTGCGGCTCGCCGACGAGCTCACGGCCGCCTTCGGGCTGAGATAAGCCGAGGTCGAAATAGTCCAGGTCTGTAGCAACCTTGATCTTGGCTGCGGCAGCCGCCTTGGCGCGGTTCTTATAATCATCGTCAAAAGTGGCCGGAACGGCAATGTCGTCCTGGTAGAGATGTTTGTGCTTTGGGTCGCACTCCCACTTACGGTGTGGGGCCTTGTGGTGGCACATGACGAAGAAGGGTTTATCCTTGGGCCGCTTGTCGAGGAAGTTCAAAGTTTTCTCCGTGATGATGTCGGTCACGTAACCCTCCTCCTGGATATCCTTCCCCATCTCGATGAACTCAGGGTCGAAGTAGTCGCCCTGGCCGGGTAGGACGGACCAGAAGTCGAAACCTGTAGGCTGGTGCGGGACACCTTCACCGAGATGCCACTTTCCGATCATGGCGGTCGAGTACTGGCCATGGCTGCGCAGCTGCTTGGCCACGTTGCCGATGGTCTTGTTAATCTTGCTGTCTAGGGTGTAGACGCCATTGATGTGGTTGTGTGTTCCTGTCAGGATCGTGGCCCGCGACGGGGTGCAGATCGAGTTGGTAACGTAGCAGTGGTTGAAGAGCATGCCTTCCCTAGCGATGCGGTCCAGGTTGGGTGTCTGGTTGATGCCGGCACCGTAGCAGCTGATTGCCTTGGACGCATGGTCATCGGCCATGATGAAGAGGATGTTGGGGCGCTTTGCAGCCATGATGAGGAGGTAAACTGTTGGCAATGCGATGCGATGCGATGCGTTGCGATGCGATGTGATGTGATACAAGGGGGGCGGCAGCGCAGACTGTGATTCTGTCAATTGCTTGCTGTTCAAGGTCAACCTAAACCAGCCTGTAGCGTTTGAGAAGCTGCTTGATATCCTGGTGCGAGAGTGTGGCATCGGAGAATGATTAGCTTTTGTCTCTCCTCCTCTTCCCTTTCTTCCGCCTCGATTCAAAACAATTCCGGTTGGAAGCGTTCCAGCTCGGCATTTGAAGCGTCATCCGGACGGCAGCCGCGCGCGCGAGAGCCGGACCCGGCTGCGTGCGTCCTCACGACGGATGCCGGCCCTAGCGTCTCGCACCCAATTCAGATGTCTGGGTCTCGGGTCAAGGGCGATTATCGGCCTCGACCTCCTGAGTCCGGCACCAGGGTAAAAGTACGAAGTATGTGGGGAATATTGTTATTTGGCATTAACCGGGTTTGTGGAGGCGTAACGTCTGTCCACAACTTTTGGCTTCTTCACCGCCCATCCCGGAATCCACGTAATTGAGTAAGTGACGTGCTTTCATGCTCCTAATTCAATACATTTTACGAAGTAGGCATAGCGGGCATTGCCGCAGCATCCAATTCATAGTGATTCAATCTCTTTAAATTGAGTCAAGGGGCTCGCTGCATCGTTCCCCAGACTTTTAAACTAGGTTCAGATTTGATCGGACACAAACCCACATGCAATACGAAGCACGCCTCTCGTCTTTGCTCAGCTAGCATGTTGCCCTCTCTCTTGATCTCTGCTTTGGCACTAGCCAGCACTGCCCACTCCACAAAGCTGTGTCAAAAGAAGCCTAACATCATATTCATCCTGTCAGACGACCAGGACAGACGGCTGGGTTCCACTGACTTCCAGCCTGTTCTGCATCGTGAGATCTTTGCCAAGGGCACCGAGTTCACCAACCATTACGGCACGACTGCGCAGTGCTGCCCTGCTCGCGCTAGCATCCTCCGTGGACAGTTCTCTCACAACACTAATATCACTCATGTGAATGGTGTCGGGTTGGTCTCCCCTTGTCCCTAACGCAAATTTACCCCTCAGCTTAGCCGTGGCCACTCTCCCTAATTCTGGATCAAGTGGCAACTATGACAAGTGGCTGTCTTCGAAACAGGACGAGGACTACCTGCCGCTCTGGCTGAAGGAGGCTGGGTATCGCACCGAGTGTGAGTTTACTTGTGTCGCCTGCTTTCATGTCCAAGCTCGGGGCACGTGTCTGACGGATAAAGAGCAGATGTTGGTAAATTCCTAAATGGCTACAATACTGCGAACTGGGCAAATGCTCCTAAGCATTGGGACTGGATGGATACCTTGGTTAGAACTACTCCCTTCTCCCGGGCCTTCTCTCGATGCTCGCTATTGACATGGATCGTGCAGCTTGACCCGTACACAACCTTCTTCAATGTCCCCGTCTTGTCGCAGAACGGGGAACGGCCTATATGGTACAAGGGATTTCACCAGACTGATGTCCTTCGCATCAAGGCGTAAGCATACAAATCAGTAGCCAGCCCTTTGAGCCGCTGTGAGCAGCTAACATTATTCGGAACAGCCTCGACCGACTTGAGCGTCTTGCATCTCAGGACACCCCCTTCTACCTCACCATAGCCCCCTACGCACCGCATGTACAGAACAATGCTCATCGGCCGATTCCCCTGAAGCGTCACATGGACTTGTTCCCTAATGCCAAGACCCCAAGGAATCCCAACTTCAACCCTGCCGACGAGTACCAGCACAAGAAGGGCAGCTGGCTGCGCACTTTGCCGCTCATGAACCAAACCGCTATCGACTTTGCCGACTTCACATACCAGTCGCGGGCACAGTCGCTGCAGGGTATTGATGAGATCATCGAGGACGTTGTCCGCATGCTGGAGAAGAAGGGCATCATTGACAACACCTACAGTACGTTCACGTTCACGTTCACGTTCCTGACCTACCTTGACGCCGGATCGATTTAAAGCTTAAACAACTGTTAACCTTTCTCTCTCCTTGCAGTTGTCTACACCTCGGATAACGGCTACCACATTGGACAGAACAGAGCGCCAGCTGGAAAAGCCCTCTTCTACGCCGAGGACTCTCATCTCCCCTTCGCGGTTCGTGGGCCCGGTATCCCCAGAGGTATCAAGTCCAACTTGCCAAGCACGCATGTTGACCTCGCTCCTACATTCCTCGAAATCGCCGGCCTATCCAAGAAGAAATATCCGGCCTTCTTGGATGGCACAAGCCTACTCGATCAGTGGCATCACCCACACAACAGCTCCGGACGAGAGCACGGCAAGGGTAATGCCAGAGAGACGCTCAACATCGAGTTCTGGGGCCTGTGTACCGTCGAGGCACCGTCCATCAAGGAACTGGGAGCCCCCTTCCAGAACAACACCTACAAGACGGGCGCATCCTCGGCGATCGTGACGGCTGGCTTTTCACCAAGTGGTGCACCGGGGACACCGAGATGTACCACACCACCACGGATGAGTGGGAGCTGCGCAACATCGCCGACTCCAAGGAACCCGAGCACCAGCGCGCCTTCACCCGACTCAACGCCATCCTGATGGTGACCAAGTCCTGCGAGAAGGGCTCTTGCCGCGACCCTTGGGCCGTGTTCCAGCTGCCCTCTGGCAAAAAGCTCAGCTCGTTCGAGGAGGCCATGTTGCCCGAGTACGACTCCTTCTTTAACAAGTTCCCTCGAGTGTCGTTCCAAGAGTGCCTGCAGTTCCAGTCTGCTGAGAACGAGGCGCCCTTCTACCCGCCGCTGCCACACCGTGGTCAAGGTGGTCTCGGACGCTCCTACCGCGCCCCAACGGATAGCTTTGTGGAGACGGATGACACGCTTAGTATCACGGACGAGAACTTTTACGGGTCCGAGGAGCAGAGACATGCAACGCTTGAGGACCTCTATTCCGAGGCTAGGGAGCTAACCGATGAGGAGCTCGGCAAGGACTTTGAGGCTTCCAAGAAAAGGTGGGCAGCTACCGAAGAAATTGACATGAGAGCGTATGGATATGATTAAATCGAGGATAGAACGTCTCCAAATACGATGAGCAACAAAACCGTCAATAACAACTTACGCCTTGAGTATATCGGGAATATAAGGAACTTTTCGAGTTCAAAGCGAGAGATATAATCAAGTTGTGCCCCAGCTGGGCCTATGTGAAGTAATTATTCCTGTTAACGTTATTCTATGTATATAAAAAAGCAACATCCATCGTAATCTTGTATATCGATGTGGCAATTCAAAACAACTCTCGAGCTTATCTGGCATGTCGGCTCTAAAACTACGTAACCCATACACGATAGAAAGAAATATACCGCACGAAAAATACACCCTTCCTTTGCCAGTATCATCATCGACAGCGGCTTATCCCATCTTTGTGACCGTCTCACTAGTAGATTTGGGCTTTGCCGGCCGCCAATGAGGTCCCACCTCATTTCCTGGTTGTTTGACATCGAAGTCGAACCGGTCAGGCAACCTGAGGCCTAGGTCTTGGTATCCCTGGCTCACGATGGCGCTCACGCCGTCTCGGAAGAGCCAAGCGTCGTCCGTCTGGTACTGCCACTTCTCGACGCTCCCACGCATCTCCCTGAGCTGAGCCTCGTATTCGGGCTTGCCAGCTAAGTTGTTGATCTCTTCGGGGTCTGCCTCGAGGTCGAAGAGCTCCTCCGGCCCTCGATGTACATAGCTGAGCAGCCGGCGCCGCCCGATCATAACCTCAGGGGTGTCAGACTCTGCCGTTCTCGTGGGGTTGTTCCGTATGCCCTGCCAGCTAAGGCTCCCGTACAGGTCGGTCCCGAAGGGGAAGCCGAGTTGCCAGGCAATGTTGCGGTGATACTTGTAGCGCGTCGTCCGCATGAAGCGAGTCGGCCAGTAGTTCTGGACCTCGTGGAATGTGTGGGATCCAAAAACATGCTGCTCCCACTGATGTATGGGTACCAGCTCGCTTGCCCCGATGATCTTCAGGAAAGACCTTCCAAGGCGTGGCGGAGATTTGCCCGTATTGGCCGTCTTTATGTCCGCTTCTGTGCAGTGTGCCCACTCAATGCAGGTCGGCAGGATGTCAAGAAAGGATACCATATTCGGGTTAACAACGCCAGAGGCAGAGCTACCGGGCACCCGGACAATGAGCGGGAGGCGGATCCCGGCATCGTATAGCGTGGTCTTTGAGTTGACGAAGGGCGCGCCGTTGTCGCTAAGGAATAGGATGAGAGTGTTTTTGTCGAGCCCTCGCTTGGAGAGCTCATCCATGATAAGGCCGACGCCATGGTCCATACGGCTGATGGATTTGTAGTACTCGACGAGCTCGGTCCGCAGCTCGGGAACATCACTAATAAAGGGGGGAATTTCGACGTTTTCAGGCCTGTAGTCCGGGACGGGAATGTTCAAGACGTCATCCTGAGTGTTGCCGAAGCCGCCACGCGTTGCGTCCCGATGGGGATCCCGAAAGCCAACAGTCAGGTGAAAGGGCCGCCCCGTCTCCCTGGCGTGGTCGAAGAACCTACCAGCCTCAGCAGAGTTGGCGGCCACATCGCGGCTCTCGCTGGGCGAATACCACTCCCAGGGATACACGGAGCGCGGGCCAACGTGCACCTTGCCTATGATGCCAGTCTGGTATCCGAGAGAGTTGAAGACCTGGGGTACGGTCTCGATGTGCTCGTGTGTCTGGAAGTGATTCCAGCCATGGTTGAGGCCGTATTGTCCGTTCTGGTGAGTGTGGAGGCCCGTGTAAATGGTGGATCGGCTGCCGCTGCAGGATGCGGTGCTGGCAAAGGCCCTGGTAAAGCGCGCGCCCTCGGCTGCCAGCCTATCTATGTTGGGCGTCTGGATTGCCTGGAGGCCATAGCATCCAAGCATGAGACCTAGATCATCGGCAATGATCTGGACGATATTTCGTTGGAAGTGGCTAGAACCCATGACGCATGGCAGGCGCTTGGGCTCGATCAAGTGCAAAAGGTCCAGAAAACCACTTGGAATGGGCAACAGAACATAGTAGTCCGACTAGGAGAGCGCACAATGATGAAAGCTGGATGTTTAATTACTCAGACAGCCATCATCTATTTCCAAAGGGGGAGAAAAACGAAGAAGAAAACAAGAAACGAAAGAGGCCTTGTGTCCCACGGATTTCGGAGACGTGCCAACTGTCGGTGGCGGCGCGGGTGGTGGTGAGCGGTTCCCGCGCCCGGCCAGATCGGCGGATAACGGGTCTCGGGTCTCTGGCGAGACACGTCCGCCCAGGCGGAACTTCGGCAAATCGATTAGCTCTTGCAAGCTTGTCGGCCGATACCCGCACTGGCGTCTGGAATCTCGTCATCGTCGCCGCTGTACAATTTCCGGTCCTTGACCACGACATGGACATGGAGACCGACCGCTGACGCGGTGGACCGTCACTCTTTATCTCACGCTTCAGCATCCGTAGGTGTTCGTGAGCCTTGCATGGCGTCTTCTCCTGCCGAGCCCGGGCGCCTCCCTATGCCCCCCCCGGCGTCGTCCGCAACGGTGCAGCAGCCTGTGGCCATGCCCGTCTCCCTGAAGCGACCGGCGTGCAGAGAATGCCGCGCGCGCAAGGTGAGATGTGATCGCGCTAGTGGTCGCTGTGGGCCGTGTACTCGCTTCGACCTGGGCTGCTCCTACTCGGCCACCATCGTGTCCGCGTCCAACAGTGATGCCGCCACCAACACCCGAGTGACGCAGGCGGGGCTCGTCCGGCGACGCAGCAGGCGTGCCTGCAGCACTTGTCGCGCCCTCAAGGCCAGATGCTCCGGCGACCTCCCCTGCACGCGTTGCCAATCTAAGAGCCTCTCGTGCGCTTACGGCCCGCGAGTGGTTGACGTCAATACCATCGCCGGTCCGGGTCCCGACGCCGGAAGCGCTGATGCTACATTTGCATCACCATCACCATCTAGGGCTGTCGATATTGACGAGGCTCCTCCCGCCATTCAATCTAACTCTGCCTCTGCCCCTGCCCCTCCCTCCGCACCGCCCGATCCGCACAGTCAGCATCACAGACCAGCAACGGCCGTGCGAAGCGACACTCCTCACCCTCGCCCCCCCTTTCTTCCTCCTCCTTCCCCAGCGTCGGCAAGGCTAATAGAAGACTCATCTCGGGCGTTCAAGGACCTCGAGGCCTTCTTCGACAGCCCAGCGGGCAGCCCGATCGCTATCCAGTTTCTCCACCGGTCGTCTATCCTTGCCGACTGGAGCCAGGGCCGTCTCGATTCGACCCTGGCGGCGACTCTCTGCGCACTAGGGCGCCTCAACGCCTGCGAGGCGGCGTCGTCACTGATAGACCCCCGCGCAGGCGACGGCGACGGCGACGGCGACGGCGATGACATCGGCATCCGAGATGCTCGAGCATGGCTCGGCGAAGCACAGCAGGTTCTCGTCGGCAAATTCGGCGCGGCCACCATCGCCCAGCTCCAGACACTCATACTCATCATGCAGTATCGTGTAGCATCCGGGGACGTCATGGACGCCTGGAGTCTTGTAGCGCTAGGTGCTAGGCTAGCCTTTACGCTTCGCCTCAACTATGAGCTTCCAGGCTGGGACCACGACCCTGTCATCCAGGAGACGCGGCGACGTATGGTTTGGTCCATCTGGCTAATTGATCGGCTCCTTGCCGGCGGAATCGAAGACCTCGTCGTCTGCCCTACCGAGCGCATCCACATCCTCCTTCCGTGTGACGATTATACCTTTCAGCGAGGCATCGCGTCGCGTGCCGAGTCGCTAGCCGACCCAGCCTCACGAGTAGACGCCGCAGGCCAGGACGCACTAGGGTACTATCTCCGGCTGCTTGAGTGTCGACATCGCATTTTAAGGTATGCCACCAGCAGTGTGCGCTGTCTTACTCTTGCGAGGACTGGGCGTATCGAATGCAGAATCAGAATCTTACTTAATTACCTGCTTGCCTGCCTGCCTTGCTTTCCTTAGTTCCATATTCTGTTCTAAAACGCTGATCACGCTTTGTTTGGGATGAATCTAGGTACACTAAGCGGGTCGTCCGAGAGTCTACTTCCCCCATTTCTAGTTATGCCGAGCTCAATGCTCTTCAGTCCGACCTGGAGTCTCTCAAAAACAGTCTACCAAGCGACCTTAAACTGAGCCCGGAGCGTCTCCGCCTCAGAGCACACTCGCACGATGCCGGTGGCTACATAGCTCTGCACTTGCTCTGGAACCAGTGCCATTGCGACTTGTACCGCTTCCTAGTGCCTGGGATGCGCGAGGCTGTTGGAAGCGGCATCTTCAAGCGCACACCCGCCGAATATGTTGTTCATTGCCAGACGGCCTGTCTCCTCGCAGCCGTCAGGGTCGCCGATCTCCTCGCAGATCTCCACCGCCTCGGCTTCCGCAAGACTTGCGGCATCCCCAACGTCATTGTCGGCATCTACCAGGTCGCGCAAATCGTGTACCGCTTGCAACACCTCCTACAGTCCCGTGGCAGCGGGCTTCCCAGTATAGATACGGTGAAGCGCAGCCTCCGCGACGCGCACCACATGGTCTCAGTCTTACAGCCGAGTACTAGACTCGGCCTCAAAGCCGCTGAGATGCTTGTCGAAACCGATACCCTAATCCAGGGGCTTGAAGGCGAGCCTCCGCACCAGGATCTTGAGTCCAACGGTCCCCAGGCCATTCTCAACACGGCACGTTCCGGCACCGGCCACGACCCATGGCCGAGCAGCGCCCAGCATCTCGCTTCCAAGGGATCCTTCCTCGATGACCTGGAGAGGCAGACGAACATTGCGAGGCAAACTGCCCTTGGAACTGAAGTTCATGCGGCCTACACTACGTCGAGCTGCAATACTGACGATGATGCTAGTAACTCTAGCCCTCAGCAAGCACCAGACTACGTCAGAGACGATTGGGCTAGCCTGGAGAGGCAGGCGGGGCAAGGCCTCGTGTCACTACAAAGTGGCATAGTCGACGCGCCCTCCGGGCCGATAGCTAGCACAGCAAATCTTTGGGCATCCACTGACCGGTTCCTTGGCCAGAGGCAACCCACCGAAACCAACATCCCATGGGATCCTTTTGAGGTGCAGCTCTGCGATTATCATGATCCTGAACTGGAAATGGTCTTATTCTCGTTGTCAGCCGCCTAAATGACTGAAAACTTTTTTTGGTCCTAAATAACTGAAAACTTTTTTTTGTTGTCCATAATTAGCAGTAGGTGCAGGAACGGGACAACGATATAAATCGTTGGTCTATGTGCCTAGATTATTCGCTAGTGCTGAACCTGTCCCGAGGACGCTCTCTCCTCTCTAAAACTAGTACCTCTCTGTAATCCTTGCAAGCAAGCCTTGGCCAGCAGCTTTTTGCGCACCGAGATTTTACTCCAAGGCAAAGTTTTCTGTGGACCTTTTAAAGGTACGCGCAATTTACGGTAACTATAGATAATCTTAGTATATACCGTTAGTACGCAGTAGCCGGGGTAAATAATAGCCCCTTGTCAAGTTAAAGTCGCCACTGAATAAAGCCCTGAAAAAATATCATGAGACTTGAAATGCCCCATAAGCGCGTTCTGAGTAGGGATTGTAGACTTAGGGATGCCCGCCCTCAGCATCACGTTGTAGGCTGTATGGATCGGGAAGTGGGTGGTACATGACTAGATGACTAGGGGCCAGAATTACAGGGCAGGGGGGTTGGGGGAGGGGACAAGGTGACTTGCCTTGGGTAAGCAGCTGGCGCGAATGCCGTGAAAACAACAATCAGGGCCGCTCGCTTCAGGAACTCGCACGGCAGCCGGGCCCGTGATCAACATTTCAGGTTAGCACCCTGGACTTCGTCTGAAAACTCGTACTAGTCGACAAGTAAGTCTCTCCCGAGACAACCTTGGTGCGGTTTTTCCCCACAATGAACCGCCCACTTACCCCGGGTTTTTGTTTTCATTCGGTTTCTGGGGTACAGGGCAAGTTGATAAAAGGAATATCTATGCGCCCTCCGTTCTCCTTTTGCGACCAAGTAGCTGTCGCCTTTAGTCTCGGAGCTTCATCATCTCACAACCAACTTTTTGAATCGCGACAAAGCTCCTGTCGACTAATGACCGCCCTCCATGGCCCTCAGCATCCTCCCCAAGCATCTCGCCCTGCGAGAGACCTTTAATAGGCGGCTGACGCTAGCTATCCTGTTAATCACCTTCTCGCAGTTCAACTTTGGCTTTGACCAGCAGGGCTTCGCAGCTACACAGGCCATGGACTCGTTTGCCAAGCAATTCGGCGAATATAACCCAGAGACCAAGAAGTATTTCCTGCCGCCTGTGTGGCTCTCTTGGTTCAACGGCATTAACTATCTCGGCCAGGCTACCGGTACGTTTTCTTGGCACGCATCCGTCCCTGCCTCACTCTCTTCCCTGCCTCCAGCAGACTATCTTCTCGTTACCAGCTTGATCAGGCTAGAGCATCTGGAGAAACGTCGACTAACTTTCGCTATCGCACCGTAATAGGAGTCATTCTCGGGAGCTGGGTTAGCAAGCGCTGGGGCCGCCGCATGTGTATGTTCACTATGAGCCTGTGGGCCGTCGTCTGCGCGACTATAATTATTACCTCCAGGACAAAGGAGCAGATTCTCGTCGCCCGTATTCTTAACTGTTAGTCCCCAGCGGTCATGAAGCGCCAGCCTTCGGAACACCCTTTCTTTTTTTCTGCTTCTTTCTTTGCTCTAACGCGACCGACACGACACACAGACATCTACATCGGCATGGAGCTCGCAGTCGTGCCCATCTTCCAATCTGAGATCTGTCCTCCCAAGGCTCGCGGTTTCACTGTCGGCACATATCAGATCAGCCTGATGGTAATCCTCAATCCCCGCCACCGACCTGTACAATAATATATATATATTCTTGAACACAGTCGCTAAGAGGATGACGTTTATAGCTTGGTGGCCTTTGTGTCAACCTAGTCGCTCGAGGCACCAGTTCGCTGACTGGTAACCTGCCATGGATGATCCCCCTCGGACTCTTCTACGTTGTGCCTACTACTGTAGCAATTTTGATCTGGTTCATTCCTGAGGTGCGTATACCGTAACTAAAACCTCCACTGCAATCACAGCTGCTCCTTCCCTACCCTAGACCTGCTCACTAAAGAGGAAATAGTCTCCTCGGTGGCTCCTGATGAAAGACCGCCCAGAAGAGGCCATGAAGGTTCTCCGGGAGCTACGCGTTGGCAAGTTTGAGGACCACGAGATTGAGGCCGAGTTTGCCATGATCGTCGACGGTCTGAAAAACACTGTGGCGCAGGGTAGCTTCATGGATATCTGGCGAGGCACCAACCTCCGCCGTACCTACATCGTCATCGGTGCCAACTTCTTCCTCCAGGCTACCGGTCAGCTGTTCACCGCGTTGTACGGTGCGCTATTCGTCAAGTCGCTAGGCACTGTCAACCCCTTCACTATCACCTGCACCATCGCCGCCGTTAATGTCAGCACAGCGCTGCTCTCCATGGCCCTCACCGACCGCCTGGGTCGCCGGTATGTTTTGGTTTACACGCCCTCGAGTTGCATGTCATCAGTCGTCTAACTCTGGTGTCCCTCGCACCTATAGATTCATGATCCATTTCGGTTCCGTCGTCCAGATCGCTGCTCTAATGACGATGGGTGCACTCGGCACTGTCACTCCCACCTTCGGCATCAAGTCCGGCATCATCGCCACCATGGTCATCTTCAACTTTGGCTACTCGTTCGGCTGGGCGCCCACGTCACACACTCTCTCCGCTGAGGTACCCAACATGCGCGCTCGAGACATGACCTACCGAACTGCTAGCGTGCTCAATATCGCCACCCAATGCGCGGTTGCTATCTCCATGCCGTATCTGCTGAACCCTCCCTACGCTGCTCTCGGCTCTAAGGTCGGCTTCATCTTCGGTTCCATTGCTGTGGCATCGCTCGTCTTTGCCTACTTCTGCGTACCCGACTGTGCCGGCCGATCGCTTGAGGATCTCGACTGGCTTTTTGAGCAACGTATCCCCGCCCGCAAATTCCGCTCAACCGAGATCAATCGACAGCAGGAGGCCGAGGCGAGAAAGCTAAGCAATGACGTGGCTCTGGAGCAAGTGGAGATGAAGCAGGTATAGGGTCACCAGGTTGCTGGTCGGTAGGGAACAGGAACAGACCCTCGATCACACCGAACTCGAACTAGTCAGAAGACATCGATCGCTGGAGGTACGACATGGACAGGAGTCGCAATAAACTATCCTTGTATTACGTATGCATCTGTCTATAAATATTAGTAGTACTTATCACGTTCCAATAAAACAAAAGGTACTAGTATTACGATCCCGATACAAGATTACAATAGGTTCAGCTGGGCTAGGATCGAAGGGCCTGTTTAGGAGGCGAAGTAAGGCAGCCAATGCAGGGACACTAGAGTAATGTAAATAGAAGTGCCTATTTAAGCATTGCAGTAGTGGGCGAGGTGGGAACAGCGCTGCCCATCCATCCCTATTACACGAACTTCGCGCCAGCTTCCACTTCAAATCGGGTAGGAAAGTCATATAACATAGTCATAAATATAACACGTAACCTCATGCGGCTGGAGAACAATCAAGCCGTCAGGCAACAAACATACCAGCGCCGCTACCTCCTCATTATCTGCGCTTCCTAATATTACTCTCTCAAATAGTCTTCCCTAATTAGGCAACTGCGGAAACCTATCAAAGATTGCCCGAGCCCTTTTAACCCGTCGCTCTCGGCCTCGGGAATCCGAACTTGGATGGAGGAGCCTGGCTTTATTGGGTGAATCTGGATTTGTTCTATACCCTCTCCCCCTGAAATACGTTGCTTAGCGGTGTCCCTCGCTAGCGCTAAAATTCTTTGAAATTTTTCGCTGGTATCATTTTCAAGCATTTCTTGTGCCTTGTGACCTGGGGTGGCGACATGCTTGAAAAATATAGCCAGCCCATCGCGTCCTAGCCTTCGGCAATAGTCTAGAGGCTGAGCACATGGTTAGCCTCCTTGGCGAGGTGAGTATCATGGTAATCTTTTAAGTCCATCAAACTAGGATTTGATAGCCTGCTATCCTACCAGTACTACTAAGTTTTATGGCTAGTGATCACTTACATACTAGGTTGCTAACTACTTCACAATTATTTCTACACTATATTTCGATACACCCTGTACTTAGAGCACAAGAAGATATAATTAATTATAAGCCGTCCTAGCCAGTCTAAGAGAAGAGGCTGGGACCTACGTATGATGGTTCAGGAGGGTTGGCAGACTCAATGGACCTCTCTCTCCCGCAATCGTTTGTTTTTAGTTCTGCGTCGACGTGAGGCTAGTTTTTGGGCTTTCTGATGTTGGTGGAGTTCCCTTCTGTACTTGCACAACTCAGTCCATTAGGATAAGATCCTATGAGCACAACGTTTGATTGCGCGGGGAAATTCAGGTTGCTAGAGCCCCTCAGAAACGTGGATAAGAGGGCTTGCTACTTTTTGCAGCTTGCCTAGGCCTCTGGGGTGTCAGAGGGGGAAGAGAGTGCTAATCCTGATGTTGATGATCCAGACGGAGTGTAATTTCCCTTGCCTTCAGACTCGGTAGCTCTGCGGATTTGTCTAATGATAACTTGAATTTACATGGATAGAGCCTGACAGAACTTGATCTGCTCAAATTCGGACTGAGAGGAAAATTTCGCTTGACAGCCTCTCTATGTATCCCTCCAACCGCCAGGCTGTGAACATTTCGATTTTCGTAGCATTTTTCAGCTCCATGCCGTACAATTAAGACGAGAGCCCTATGATACCTGAGCTACTGCTGGCTCCAGACAGTTGACCCCCGTTACCATGTAGGCCGTAAGTACAGATGTTTGCCTAGCAACTCCTGATACTCGGCCGAGTGCCCCTCTTCTTCCTCGAATAGTCGATCTCAAACATACCCGTTTCAGCATAATATTTCTCCCACTCAGCTAACAACTCGTCCATAATTTTGACATCTGTACTCGAGAGGTCGTTGATTTCGCCCGGGTCCTGCGCTAGATCGTAGAGCTCCCATCTGCCTTGTCCCTTCGGTGGTGGAATCCAAACTGCCTTGTATTTTCCTCTACGTATGCCTCGCATGCCAAATAGCTCCCACCCAACGACGTTTGCGTGTTCATCATGAATGGCTGGCGTCTCACCGGTCATGTACGGAACCCCAAGATCGCCCTCGTGGAGTCACAACGTTGCGGTTTCGGAAGGTGTTCCCAGGGTGCGGTACGCCAGCGAGCTCCAGGCAGGTAGGCAGTATGTCCATAACCGTGGCGAACTCGTGGCTGATGGCTCCTCCGCTTGTCTTCATGAGCGGCGGGTAGCGCACAATGCAGGGGCAGCGGATGCCACCCTCAGTGGTATATCCCTTGAAATCTCGGCTAGGTGCTGTGGCAGCGAGCGCCCAGGAAGCGCCGTAAGAGACGAATGAGATGGCATTGCCAATGTTCTGAAGCGAATTATCATAGTGCTTCGAGATGATTTCTTTGAGGGTGGAGCTACCCATAATAGGGATGGCCTCGAGTAGCGTACCCTCAGCGCCATTATCCGACATGAAGACCACGAAGGTATTGTCGAGGTCACCACTGGCTTCGAGGTTATCGAGGACACGGCCAATGTTACGGTCCATCTCTTCAACCATGGCGCTGTATACCTCCATCTTCCGTACCGATATGGCCTTTTCGTCGTCGGACATAGCCTCCCACTCTTTCATGATTGTCTCTACTGGCGCAGCTGTGATGTCGGTGGGAACGAGGCCAAGCTTCTGCAGCTGCTTGAGCCTCTTCAACCTCAGTTCCTCCGGCCCAGCATTGTAGAGGCCCGTGTACTTTTCAATCACGGACCGCGGAGCCTGCAGCGGCCAATGCGGAGCGGTATATGCAAGGTACCCAAAAAACGGCTTCCCTTTCTCGGTCTCCGTCCGGGACTCGAGGTACCCAAGGAACTTATCCGTAAAGTAGTTGGTCGAGTAGAAATCCGAGGGCAGCTCTGTTTCGCGATCCATGAACCGGCCGCCCTCCATCCAGAAGCCTTCGCCCGTCATAAATGACGGTGCCTGGACGCGGCCATTGATGCGCGTAAGCTGAGGCTCATAGTTGAAATGATTCCCGGCGCCGGGCAACAGGGAGGTGCTTTGGTTGAAGCCCCGCGCCGACGGTGACAGCTCGGCTTTCATCCCAAGGTGCCATTTGCCCGCCGTGATTGTATGGTATCCAGCATCCTGGAGAATCTCCGGCAGCGCCGCGACGCGGAAGTTCAGATAGCCTTCGTAACCTGGACGGTTCTTAAAGACTTCGTCCTCAAAGGACATCATGTGCTCGGCCATCTGGCCGAGGCCGGCGATGTGGTTGTCGGTTCCCGACATCAGCATGGCACGAGTGGGAGAACATGACGGCGCCGTGTGGAAATCGGTCAAACGCAATCCAGAAGAGGCAAGCCTCGCCAGGGAAGGCGTGTGGATATCTGATCCATAAGGGGATGTGTCGCTGAACCCGAGGTCATCAGCCACGATGATCAAAATATTCGGTCGTTTCATTTTCGTTAGGAGGTGAGAAATTCGCCAGATACGTATTATTGACTCGCTTCCTGTATATGGCTTGGATCGACTCTACTCGGACTGATGCTTTGGAGGACTTTACAAGAGAGACCAATATCTTTTATTTCCCAACAGCCTATCATATTCGGTATGGCGTACTAATGAGCATGAACTCTATGATATAAATGCTCTCCGGACGGCGGCAGTATGGGTAAACAGCGCTGACTTTCCCCCAGACGGACCCATACCAACAGACGACCATCTACGGTACGGGCTGTACGGTCAACGGGTGGCCATGTGAAAAGCTCGTTGCGCGCCTTGACGCCCTTCTGCTCACGACAAAGGCTTGCAAGGGAAAGCAGTGTTCTCGGCCGTGGGAGACTCTCCACTCAGATGGTTTGGTAAAGAACCTGAGGGACGCTATGAACCCGAAATATGACGCATTCTACGCGCTAGAGCAACCCAAAGTTACCTTCTCAGCCTGCAAGACTGGGTATCTGACGGATTATGAGGGTGCTATGAGTCCTGTATCGTACGGGGAAGCTTAGTATATCGACGCTTGGTGTTCAGAACAGGGAAGATCTAAATCCTAGTTCATTCCAATTTAAAAATCTCTGGAACTCTGCCGCATACGAACTTATCACCGTGAATGCTAATTTAATATATATAATAAACGTCGATTTGTTTGACTTCCACTTCGCTTCAATGAGTCCTAACTAGGTTTAGGGAACTTTAAATCTAGCCATTCCCGTTGGACTGTCCAGCAGATTCGACATACCGACTTCCCTGACTGCGACACCTTGTCAAGTGTAAACTCCATCCATTCAAGCCTACACATCACCTTCTATCAAAAATGGTGCAGGGTCTCTATCAATTGCCCTCATATCGGCGAGGCATTTCCGGTTAGCCTCAGATCTCCCCGCACCATTGGATGCGTCTGAATCCCGCCGTCCAGTTCAGCTTGCTGACTTTGACGTACACGGCAATCTTCCCCATCGCTATTCGTATTCGCGCCTCTAACACGTATGAGGAACGGACAGTGGGCATTTGGCGGTCCGACGGCAGGCTCGACGAAAGTAGCAGCAAATCGTACGTTATGGAGCACATCCGGAATCAGCTCACCTTCGATATCCTTGTCAGTCTTTGGGAAGATCTTGGAGAGTCTGGCGATCAGTCCTGCTTCAGGCCAACCTTGCCAACCTTTCGAAGGCCAAGCCCTCCAACGACAGCACAAGTAACCATCAGAGCAAACATCGTCCAGAAACTTGCCCGATATCCCTCCATCAGCGCGTTCACGTGACTCATACCGTCATGGTCCTTAGCCACGAGCGTAGAAACGACCTGCAAGATAGCCAAGCCAAACGCCTGGCCAAACTGCGACGTGGTATTAAACACGGCGCCGGCGACGGCCTGCTTATCCTCGGGGAACACGTCCGTGATGATGATGAGGCCAACGGTGAAGATGACGTCGCCAGAGATGGGCATGAGGAGCTGGGAGACGAAGGCGTTGGACCAGTAGGGCCAGTGAGGCTGGATGACGGCCATGAGCAAGGGGGCTCCTGCGGTGAGGACCGAAGTGGTGACGACGATCCAGTTGGCGGGGATTTTGTGGACGAAGAGGCCGGTTGTGAAGCAGAGGACAGTGCCGACTACGAGACTTGGGAGAATGCGGATGGCAGCTTGGAGGGCTGATAGTTGTTGGATCTCTTGGAAACTGCGAGAAGGGACTGTTAATAGCCAATCGCTTTCTGCTGAAACTTGCCCTCAGAGGACTTACTAGAGACTTGCAAACAGCTCAAGGGCGTTCAAAACGGCTAGCGACATGGCAATCGTGGCGCAAATGCTGGAAAAGCTCGAGTTCCTCCAGAACGAGTTGGGGATTAATGCCGGCTTACCCAGTCGCACTTGGCGATGGACCCAGATGATGAAAAGGGGTAGTGCCAGGAGTCCAAGGAATAAGAACACGAGCGTGTTTGCTTGTTTTATTCGATATATATCGGTACTCAAAGTTCTGCCGACAGTGAGGAATTAGTAAATTCGTAAGGAAGCAGGATTCAAAGGAGTCATTCTTACGCCAGGAAATACGAGAGCATCGCCATGAAAGCAGACGCAAGCCCCGCGCTGACCCAGTCAACCTTCGTTTTCATATCGTGGATCGCATTGTGCAAGCTCGTTACCCCAGTTTGGGGCAACACCCAGAAGCCCATTGTCGCCAACAGAAGTGTGATCGCGCCGTAGAGATACCATCCCGCTCGCCAACCGATAGTGTCCACCAAAGTGCCTCCCACAACAAGACCGAACGAGAAGCCCAAGGGCTGGCTCAGCCCAAGACAGGCAAAAGAGATGTTCCGGCCCCTTCCCTGGGGGATAGTTTTAGTGACGAGCGACACGGAGCTCGACAAATGCATCGCGAGTCCCACTCCAGCCAACGCCCTCAAAACGACGAAATCTTCACCTTTTTGGACGAATCCACAGCCAATCATGAAAGCGCCATTGGTGATGCATCCCAGGAGATTCACCGCCTTGGGGCCCAAAACATCAGCCACGGCGCCCGCGAGCAAAAGCGTCGAAGCCGTAGCCAATCCGGAGACGGAGGCGGGCCAGAAAGCGAGAGTCGGCGGCAGGTTTAGTTCCCGGGTCATCCGGGGAAGAGCGATAATGACGAGGCCGTTTCCGGAGCTGTTGGCGAAGTTGACGCCGGAGAGCAGGAACGTCACGAGAGATTTTCGCAGGCGCCGGGCGCGCCGGGCAACGAGGGAGGTCACATCATTATCGTCATTTGCGGCGTCGGAGGATGAAGAGGAGGGAACTTCATGCCGCGGTGCGCTGAGTTGAGAGATGGTCTCGAGAGACGGATAGGCGATTGGTTCTAGGACCAAAGTCTCGGTTTGTGTCCGAGTCATTTTACTCTCTCTTTTTTTTCCAATCTTTTTCCCAATTTTTCTTGATTATTTTTTTTTCTGTTTTTTTTCTTCCCTCCTCGCGGCTGCGTGATGATGGTTTGATTTTGACCTCAAAAAATTGCTTCGCAGCCGATGACGGCGGAAGAGCGGAAGGGTGAGGCCGCATCGCATCGGCTTCAAATCTGTCAAATCCGCATCAAGTCAAGCGAAGGCGGTGTGTGACTTGTGGGTTTGTGGAGACTTGGCAAGGAATACGCCCTTCGAGTCATTCAAGTCTCGGCGTCCTCCCCGGAAAAGAAGCAGTTATTATTTCGTAATATTATAACCTTCCTATTCGATCGTTGACTAGTTCAATGTTACAGTGCAGCACCCAATCTATCGTCCCGGGGATCGGGGCCGGCTCTCCTCGGACATATTGGGTCCTCCTCTGTTGATCGGTGAACCAATCAGAAAGATAGTCTCCTTGAAAAATCTCTTCCTAATTCTGCTTAACCGCATCACACCATCCGGGCTTCTCAGCTCCAGTGCCACCCTGCACCCGGGCCCTGTGAATCACATTGCTGTCAAATTCGTATCCTTTCGTGACTAACCCCAACACACCGGGTCGACTGCAGCGCTGGGTTGCGGCATAGAGTCCGAGTCCGGGAGCATCCTGCCCCTCCACCCACTCCTTGCTGTCCTTCGAGGCATGCCACGAAGACTCCCTATGATTCGCTCCCTTCACCTCCAAGTAAATTTCGTACGCCACCATAATGAGATCCCGAGGGGATGGTGTGTTATCCCATACCCAGAGTGAAATAAGCAAACGAGATTTGGCGAGAAGAATGGCAACCCACCCGGAGCCATGCATCCTGGAAGGACTCACTACATCAACCGTCGCGATACTTGATTCCCAACGTGCGTGGCCGATTGGCATAGTATGCGCCACAATCCGATTATCTCCTTCGCTATGTTTGAACTCCAGTAACGTCTCGTCGGCAACGCGAGGGAAACTCCGCGCCGAAGCATTTGCTGGCTGACCTTGGCCTCTACGTCCATGGAAAAAGGCCACGGCTTTACCGGTTGCATTAAGCAATTGTTAGAGCGTCAAACCGAACTCGGCAATGCTCCTCCAGTAGCCGTTACTTTTCATCGCTGGGCATGTTTTCCAGGTACTCGACGTCGGCAACCTCTCCGGCGCCCATCTCACCGATTTTCCGCAAAAGGCCCTCTATCCTGGGGTCCTTGTCAAGCCGTTCCCCCCCGGAAGAGATGAACCAGTGCTGATATTGACAATTCGGTGCCGCAGCCAGAACCAGACGGAGGCCCTCCGGCAGGGGACCCAGGATGGCTTGGGACTGCATCAGGCTGTGGCAATAGCAGTCGCCGAGAAGACGGTACCGGCTATCGCCGAGTGGCCGAAAGAGGAGAGGGCTTGTGCAGCCAAGCACGGTAAAGACCTGGTCTCCGACAGCGACGGCAGGGGGAGCGAGGCCAATGTATCCTTCCGCGCTTCTGAAGAACACCCTGTCGCCGCATGTCTGCAGAAAGGTGTTATACAGGAGGCGGCTTTCCCTAGCAAAAGCCTCAGAATCGGTACTTTCCTCCCCGCCAAAGACCCGCGCCCATGCGCCTTGGATCTGTCCGAAAAGACCCGGGAGGGCCTGCGAGCCGATCAAATGGAGAGACTCGTCATGGCCCTGCAAACCTTCCTCGCGATATAAGCGGTTGGATGCCAAAGTGGTGCAGTATGCCTCGACGAGAGTCTCATCCCCGTCTCGGTACCGGCCAGATCGAAAGTTGGCCGGAAAGAAATCAAGGATCTCGGACATGTCCGACTGGAAGATGTTGATGGACATTGTAACGGTGGCTGCATGGACCGCCAGGACGTCAAGCGTCCCAAGAGCCAGGTCAACCTTGAACGGCGGGTTACAGTGGATGTGATACCACATCTCCAAACCGTGGTTCTCGATTTCCATACACGATGGAGCTGTTGACAGGTCGAGAACCCAGCTGGGTAGGTCCAGCTCGGAGGCAGTATCGCTCACGCTGCAGAACCGAAGCATGTCAAGGGTGCCGCTGGCGAGGGACGTGCATGTGGCTTCCATATATACCTGCCTCGTAGTCTTCTCGTAGTCGGGAACAATGACTTTTCCATTCTCGAACGGCCATAGAAGACTCAAAATCCCATAGAGCCTGTCCCTGCTATCGGCGCATTGCGCGCGGTTTATATAGCGCCTCAGCTCCCCGAAGTGTTTCTTGATTCCCGAGACGGCAAGCTGCGACAAGATCTCCATGGCCCAAGATGAAAACTCGATTCTTCTTTCCTGGTCCACCGGCAAGATAGTCGCTTTTATAGCTACCATGAAGATCGCGTCCCTGAGAGGCAGCCACGGCATGGTCTCATTCCCGCAGAGGACGACGGACGCCGCGCTAGCAAGACCTATTTCTTGACGGACCCATACTCGCTCGAACCAGGGCCGAGAGAGGAGGGAAACGACTGCCTCCGCCTCCTGGCTGCTTAACGGGCACCATTCACTACGGTGAATTTGCTCCCCCGAGATTTCCGATTCGGGCTTCGGCCTCACGGTGCACGGAGTGCCGGAAGAGGTGATCTGCTCAGAGAGTCGGCGCAAGACGCGGAAAGCTGCGCCGCTCGTCTCGTCGGCTGGCCCCAGCCAAACCACGACACGGGCGGCGAGCCTGAAGATGCGACCCATAATATCTACTTGGCTGCTTCTCTCAGCAAGATTGCTCTGGTCGATGCAGATGGCGTCGATCCACATCCGCCTGGAACGCTCTTGGTAACGAAGATGCCGGAGTGCCTCTTCTAGATTTAGAGTCACATCGAGCCGGCAGGACGTAGGCTTACCGTCCGCCCCCGGGGAAATAATTTGGATGGAGCGCCGCAAGTCAGGGTTTCCCCATACGTACGACAGAGCCTCGTAGTCTGGCGGGCATGTGTCGACCAGAGCGGACTCCACCAGTTCGATAGAAACCGGATCACCGAAGGACCCCGATTTGATTGAAAGGAGACGAAACGTACCGGATCCGTCTTCACTCCCAGGTGTTTTCTGTCTCAAGGGCTTATACTGATATGAATTCGGTGTGTCTTGAGACTTGTCGGGCGCTGCCGCCGTCTGGATGCGTTGGCTCCCCGCCATGTCGACGATTTTCGCAAGCTGTACACCGTACAAAGGTGGATGGCTAGTAGGAGGAGTAGTTCTGCAAATTTGGGCGTGGGAATGACTTGAGCTTGATGCTGCTCAATCTTACGGCCCTGAAATACCTGAAGATGACGCGTGCGGCTGAGACGCATCACATGCGGGGGGGTATGAGATAGACGACACCTTATTAGCTACTTTGAGAGAGAACACGCAACCAAGTAACACCAGCATGTCCATGTTCCTTTCAGCAGGATGTCGTAGGGTTCAACGCGAAGTGAACGACGCGCATGTGCTATGTGAGTCAGAAGCTTACCAGCTGGTTGGACACTTCACGCACTTAAGACGCCGGTTGAGTTGAAAGTTGCGAGAGAAGGAAACGATACCTCAGTTTCCCGCGAGATATAATAATATGTAATAGAAAAAACTAGGAGAATTCTGTTTGAATATTGCCTTTAAATCAATACGTTAACCCCTTGACAAGCAGCCCTTCAGACGAGGCTCGTTCAGATCCAGTTTGGTACCAGAGAGCCACCTACATCCTTTTCCAGCTATCCCTTTTATCCCTTTATCACCGGAGTCTACCTTAGATAGGAAGATTTCCCTATCCCTCTTGGGTATTGGCTTCGTTATGACCTGGAGGACACTCAGCTTGTTGTCTATATGTGTGGGCTCAGATGTATGTACAATTCGTCGGCGGAGGAAGCTTCTCCCCGCGAGGTTCGGCGCATCTTGAATGCTCATGTAAATTGGTTTAATCGTATCTCACCCTTGTTGCCGAGAAATATCTCCACTTTGATAGCGCGGGGCTCAGCGTTACGTGGTCTATATCATCTCCAGGCAATAGTACGAAGTTGTTGTCCAACCAGACCGGACCTGTCTTCCCTTCCATCGATGAAAATAATGCTACCACGTGATTTGGAACCAGCAGGGATCGGGTCAGCTTCACATCATTCCTCCGATCACAAAGACCCCCAAACGATTGAAACGAGGAGGCCTCTGGTACTGGTGACGGTCAGGAGTGCCTTGGAGAAATATTCTTTGTCTGGATACAGAAGCCTCGGGTTAAATTCCCCAGTCCTTTCCTGGCAGTTGCATATTGAAGATAACGAGCAGGATGCAGCACGGGTCTTCTCTGGCGGACGGCATCACTGAGGCGCCAAGGTGAGCCAACACACTTGCTCCCAGTAGCCGCAACGCCGGGCCTTTTGCTAACTCGAACCCGAATCTAGTCCCCGGCCAGGCTCGCCTCGAGATAGCTACTGGACCATCGTCGACGTGGCAGAATCAGATTTTAGTACCGATGATGATTGCAGCGTCGTCGAAATATCGAGAGGTACTTGAAACCGCCAACATCCACATCGTTTTCAAACCTAGACTAAACCCAAGCCAGCCTCCAGCCCTCTCGCGATCGAGTTCAACAAGATCAGCGTCGGTGAGCCTTTCGGAGTCCAGATCGATTGGCCTACGCGTCTCCCTTGGTTTCAGTTTCAAGACAAGTATTTTACCGGTGAGAATCTTTTCTTTCGGTCCCTGTTCTCGCGTTCTATTATTGAGAGATATCCAGATGCATTCAAGAAGGCGGTCAAGGTACACGCCTCGAGGGCGGGGGACCTAGGCTACTCAGCCCACAGCGGAATCATGACACTGGGTGCCAGAAATATGCAGTTGCTTGCGACACCGCAGGCCGCCGGCCGAGTGGCAATGGAATTGAGCAAGTACATGCCTGAGCGCCGCGAGGGCGATAACCTCGCCATAGTCCAGACCCTCGTGCGCGGCGATAGCACAGAAGCGAGGCAGAAGGAAATTGAGAATTTCGTATATCAGCTCTCCAACAATCTTATCGAAGACGAAGACGAGGAGTTCATGGACGACTTCGGCAAGTACACCAAGATCATCAACATGTTCCGGGCTATCGACCTGCCCATGAGCGTATGGAAGGACTACTTTAAAAAAACTCTCCAGGAGCCGACCGGTCGAGCCTTTGTCGACAACCTGTACGAGGCCGCGCTCAATACTATATCCCTTGACATCTTGGAAGCCCTACTATGGCTAGGCGTTGATCCGAATAGGATCTTTAAAACCTGGATGACTGGTGAGCGCGAACGGCCCGTGCAACTCGCCGTGGACTGCCGCGTCAAAAACCTAGATATGCTCCAGCTCTTCATCCGTTTCGACGCGGACGTGAACTTACTCACAGACGAGGATGAAAGATTCCCCTTGCATCGGGCGGCGAGAGAGTGCAGTGTCGAGCACGTCAGAGCGATCGTGGAAGCGGGCGCCGATATCAGGGCGGAGACGTACGACAGCGAGTTGATAATCTCCGTTCTCGACTGTGCAACTGAAGCGGACAGGAGGTTGGATGACTATACGGACGAGGAGTGGAAAGAGAAATTCGGCGAAGAGGAGCGGCCCGGAGTCGCCACGGTGAAGTATCTCCTCTCGCTATTCGACCCGACGATAGACGCCGACCTAATCCAGGCTGGGCTCGTCTCGGCGGCTGCCTCCCGCAGGAGAGACATGATACCGCTCTTCATCGAGGCCGGTGCAAACGTCAACGCCCGGTCGACCAAGGGACTCACACCTCTCCTCGCAGCCGTCATCCGCAGCTACCAAGACAACGCCCTCCAAACGGCCACGATGCTCATGGATCTAGGCGCGGACCCAAACCAGGGTCTAGTCATCCGGTCCCGGTCGGGTTCCACCGTATTCCTCCCCATACATGCAGCAGCGGCTCGCGGCGATGAGAAAATGGTCAATCTCCTCATCCAGCGCGGCGCAAACGTCAACGCTCGGGTCCGTTTAAAGTACGAAAAAGACGCGTGGCTCGTAGGCTCCCATTTCACCTCGTGGAAACAACGCCAATCCGATCTTTTGATGAACCTGGCACGCTGCGACACGCCGCTCCGCCTCGCTCTGTTTCGGGATAAGCGGGGCGAGTGGGAACATAATCCCAAGCAGCCCGGAGCAGCCCTGGCACTGATGCGGGCCGGCGCATCTCTGCGCGGCGGGGAGTTCCCCAGGGCTGGTTGCTTCGATTCGGTCGAGCTCCTCCGCGAACTCATCTCCCGCGGCGCCGATGCCAATGAGATGGACTGGACGCGTCGCACGGCTCTGACGAACAGTCTCGAATGCGGGAATTTTGGTACGGTCCGCTATCTCCTCGAAGTAGCCGGCACGAGGCTTCAAGGCGGGGAGCTGACCAAGGCTGCTAGGGGTGGTAGCCGTGAGGCTGTGGAACTGCTCCTCAAGCACGGGGCCTCTCTGGATTCGGGACAAAGGTCGGAGGAGTCGCTAATAGAAGCAGCGGCGACGAGTAAAAACTGGGACCTACTCTCGTGGATCATGGAGAGGAAAGGTGAGAAGGACAACAGCTACTACAGTTCGTCTGCGCTCTGTACGGCCATTTGCGCCGGTCTCGGTAGCGATGCGAACTGGGAACGGCACTTCGACATGCTACTTCGACGAAGACCGCTAGGACGTCCCGTCTGCGTTGCGGAAGCCACAGCGCTTGGGTGCGCGGCTATAAAGGGCCAGAAACAAATCGTCGCACGCCTCCTCCGGCTCGGGCGTCCACCGGCGTGCGTACTACCCTTAAGCGGGGAAAGAGCGATACACATCCTCGCAAACGGACACCACGGTACTCTCGTTCGGGAATACGACAGGCCGTTTTTGCCCAGGGGGGCGTCTAACCTGCGATGTTCGGTGCTTGTTCCGGCCCTCGCCTCGGACAAATCATCCTGTGCTGGCATGCTCCTGCGGTCGGGTTGCAGACCGGATCGGTTCGCCCTCCTCGTCGCGGTGGAGAATGCGCATATCCAGGATTGGCAGAAGGAGGAAATGGACGACGAGGAGGTTGAAGAACTCGTCGCGGATACCCTCGCCATGATCCGGCGGCTCACGAGGATGATGTCCCTGGAAGACGTCACCTACGCCGCCGACAAACTCCTGTACACGCCACTCCAGGGCGCCGCGCGCTTCAAGCGCCTAGACGTCGTCCGGCACCTCGTCAGCCTCGGCGTCGACGTCAACGTCGCCGCGCCACCGTGCCGCAACCCCTTAGAAGCCGACGATGAGTGGGAGCCACTGATGCCGCGCACCGCGCTACAGGCGGCCGTCGAGCACGGCGACATAGAAATGATCGACCTGCTCCTCTCGGCGGGGGCGGACGTTAACGGCCCTCCTGCGCGCTCATCAGGGGCTACGGCGCTGCAGCTTGCGGCGGGGACGGGGCAGATTGGCACTGCGCGAAGGCTCATGAGCTTAGGTGCGGACATCAACGCCCCCGGTGCTGAGGTGCATGGGAGGACGGCGTTGGAGGCGGCGGCGGAACAGGGCAGGTTGGATATGGTGCAATTTTTGCTGGAGTCCGGAGCGAAGGTTACTGGGGAGTATAAGAGGGTGTATTATCGCTCAGTGAGGTTCGCGAGGAGGAATGGGTATGGGGCTGTGGAAAGGTTGATTCGGGAATGGAAGTGGGAGAGGGAGCAGGAGGAAGGGCTAGCGGTTGCCGATGATGGGTCGACGTCTTCAGATATGTTTGATTCCAGTGAAGAGGAGAGCGAGGAAGACAGCGAAGAGGAGAGCGAGGAAGACAACGAAGAGGCCAGCGAGTGAAATTTATTTCAAATAAACGCAATTCGAGAATAATCGATGGACCTTGCTCGTGAAAAGAGTACCAAGACGAACAACGTAGGTCTGTGTTGGTGATTCAGGAACCCCACTCACTACAGGGGGACGGTCTCATCTTGCTGAATGCTGCTCTGGAGGCCTGCGGTACACGCTCGACTTACTTTCCAGAACTCGGGATCCGGTCTCCAAGTACAGGGCCGCGCGCTTCATCGGGGTGTCCTTAAATTGCCCTATCTTTCTGCATAACGGGACTTGTCCTTTAATGCCATTTATCAATTGAAAGTATAATTAATGTACTTTTGCCCCTCTCGTGAAATCTATATTAAAACAACATTGAAAGCAAGATGCATATGCTTTTCTTCAACTTTGGATTTTTTTTTTCTTCGTTGTCTTCTATTACATACCGTTTGCCTTCTCCTCCAAAACGGAGATGAAATTAGGCGTTCCTTGAGGAGCGGCGGACTTCAGGTTAAGGGTGATGGGTTGGGTCGTGATCAACTGCAAATTAGGCGAGATCATCGGTTAGCCAGAAAGTCTTGAATTACTCCCTTTAATAACGATCCATGGGGGACGAGACTTACGTTGCTTGCCGCGCTCAGCAGGGCGATGAGCGAGCTCTGCACCACGTCCTCGTGGATACCGACACCCCACACCGTCTTCTTGCTGCCCGCAGGCTTGCACTCGATATACGAGGCGGCCTTGACGCCTCGACCCTCGCCGATGGCGTGCTCCTTGTAGTCATTCACGTCAAGGTCGAGGTTGATCTCCTTGAGGGCGGCCACCATGCTAGAAATGGGACCATTCCCACGACCACGCAGCTTCACTTCTTTACCGTCCACGAGGATAACACCGTCAAAGATCCGTATCAGGTCTTTCGTGTCTTGGGTCTTACCTGTCGTAGGCAGGGGAGACTGCGAGCGGTCGGGGGTGATGCTGTAATCAACGAGGCTAAAGTGGGGGTTCTCGCCCAGGAAATACGTCGTCTCAAAGAGGTCGGTAATCTCGGTGGCCAGCAGCTCTCGTCCGAGCTCTTCGGCACGGTTCTGGACGACGGCGGAGAAGGCGACCTGCAGGCCGCGGGGGAGATCGAGCTCCATCTTCGATTGCAGAATGAAGGCGCTTCCGCCCTTTCCCGACTGCGAGTTGACGCGGATGATGGCTTCGTAGTTGCGGCCGATATCCTGGGGGTCCAGCGGCAGGTAGGGCATGCCGTTCCATGGGTCGTTCCACGGGTCCTCGCTGGTAAGGCCCAGGCGCTTGCGGTTCTGGAAGCCCTTCTTGATTGCGTCTTGGTGGCTGCCCGAAAACGCGGCGCATACGAGACTGCCCCCGTAGGGAGCACGCTGGTGGACGGGGATCTTGGTGCAGGATTCGACCATGTCGATGACTGAGTTCAGATCGGAGAAATCGATATTGGGGCTCACACCTTGCGTGTAAAGGTTCAGAGCCAAGGTGACGAGATCGACATTACCCGTCCTCTCGCCGTTGCTGTGGGAAGGTCTAATCAGTATTGTCCCATGAATCGCATAACAAAGACGAGGAAGAGGATACGAACCCAAACAGACAGCCCTCTACACGGTCAGCTCCGGCCATCTGGGCGAGTTCTGCTGCAGCAACACCTATATCACGTCAGTAGCCGCATCGCAGCGCCGGAATTGGACAACACCCACTAGTTCCACGATCGTTGTGAGGATGCTGGAGGAAAAAAATCGTTAGCATGGTCCTGACACCAGTATGAGAGACACGGGGCGGGAAGGGGTATAACATACCAGAGACACGCATACGTTCTCCCTGTCACCGATGTTGTTACAAAAGGATTCTATCAAGTCGGCATAGATGTTGGGTGTCGCCAGCTCAACAGTAGCGGGCAGGTTGAAGATGATTTGGTCACCGGCCTCGGCATTAGGGCCCCACGCATCCTTTACAGCGCGGCATACCCTGACGGCATAGTCGGGATTTGTGTCGGAGAAGCACTCGGGCGAGAATTCGAACAGCCATCGAGTGTCTGAAGCCTCGGGGTTATCCTTCGTCAGGGATCTGACGAGCTTGGTGCATTCCACGGCGAGCTCCAGGGTCTGCTCTTCGGAGTAGCCGAAGACGACTTGGCGGAAGCACTCGCTCGTGGCGAGGTAGATATGGATGATGGCGTTCTTCGCGCCGCGCACCGCCTCGACGGTCCTCCGGATGAGATCGGGGCGGCAGGGGGAAAGGACTTGGAGGAATACGTCGCCGGGTACGGCCCCGGGGGTTTCGATCAGGCGGCGGGTGAAGTTGAAGTCGGTCTGGGACGCGGAGGGGAAGGAGACCTCGATCTCCTTGTAGCCGAGGTCGCACAACATCTTGAAGTAGCGCCATTTCTCCTCGCCGCTCTGTTTGTTGACCGTATAGGTCAGTACTGGAAAGCTCACGCAAGAAGGTCAGGGGGCGAGGGGGTGAAGAGACGTACCATTGGATCAGGCAGACTCTGGTTGCCATCGCGGAGACAAGAGCTACGAGGATGTTAGCAACGCTTCATGTGCTACAAGCTGAGATTGGATTGTGGAACATACGAGAGCCAGCGAGGGGCCTTGTCAATGGTCTTGTTGGGCCATTGCCGGTTGGGCAAATGCGGTCCCTACCCGAGTCAGCTTAAAAGACCAATTGAGAAGAAAAAAAAAAAAAAAAAAAAAAAAAAAAAAAAAGCCGAGGGCATCGAGGCGCGAAGCTCACCTTGAAGGGCTTGTACTTCTTTGACGGTTCCTTGAGCCTGTAGAGAAGGGTCGAGAAGGTTAGTGCCGTGTGAGTCAAAATAGCCAATTGACCAGAGCAGTTGTTCGCTGGCAGCTTAAAGCTCCAGCAACATTGAACCTACATTGGCATCCTGGCGGCGGGGGGGACGTTGTCCGATGTCTGGGAACGGTTGGTGCGGGGTGTTTCGTGGATGAGGATTGGGAAGAGCAAGGTCAATTGCAAGACCAGGAAGCAAGGACGGGTACTTTCTAATTGCCACGAGCAATTCCTTTGAAGAAGATGAAGGAGAGAAAGAAGCACGAAGTTAGGATAGAAATACGCAGCCGAATCGGAGAAGAAGTAGAAAACCTTTCGAATAAGTTGAGTCACAGAACCGAGCAGAAAGCGGGGTCTAGACTATGACTACTTTTTTAGAAGTTGGAGAAGCTGCCAAAAGTTAAGTCACGGACATCAGAGCCGAGTCAAGGTACAAGTACAATTGAGTTGTACTTCGTGGAGGGGCAAAAAGTTTTGCAAAGATTTTTCGATCCGATCAGACTTGGATCAATTGATCAAATCGGAGTCGGCGACCCACTCCGACCCACACACTAAAAACGGCATCCGTACTGTGTACGGAGTACTTCGTACATAGACATTTGCCCGCCGTTTACCAGTCTTAGGTCAGCTTATTACTTCATTTTCTCTTTTCCTTTTTTTAACGAGAAGAAAATGCTAATTGTCGGGGCATGTTCCAAGCGTCCGGGGCGGAAGAGCCCCGCTTCGGAGTGCCCAAGGATGCCGCAAGAAATAAACGTCGGGGCGCCCTGGTTCAGGTAAGTTTCCAACCGGGGTGGTGTCGGAGTCTCGGAGAGGTCGATGGATTTAGGGCAGACGAATGACGTATGGCAGGGGTCTTGGCTCAATAGAAGCGTCGCCACGACTCACTCTTGCAGAACGGAGCAGCGATCGGGCCCCAATTGATCGTCAGTATGGGAGACTAACCCGACGCTGGCCGATGTCTCGTGAGAGACTGAGAGAAGGGAGAGAAAATAAACTAACCAAGCTTGCAACCCCTTCCACAATGTAGCCAAAGAAGAGAGACAGAAGAAAAGGAAAACAAGTAGAATTATTATAGCATCGTGAATTACGATGCGTTCAACCATCCTAATATGATAGCTGCGGATAATTAAGATAATATAAATGTAAAAGTGACGAGGTGGGTTGAAGGGAGCTATGGCCTCGCAGCACAATGAACCTCTTCACGGTGCTCTTGTCCGAGTTTCTCTTCACAGTTCTATATCATCTCTCTTGGAGACACCTACCCCAAATATCTTGGAGACGACACCAACTCGGTACGGAGGTAGGATGTGGGGCACGCGTAGCCTAAACTACGGCATCACCCAGGTTTGGGATGTGGCGTGGGCATGGACGCCCAACTTGCACGAGAACATCAAATGTATCATGGACACACTTCAAAGTCCCTCCCGAAGCGAGACCTCTTGCCAAGTGGTGACAGGAGCCGCACAACCACTCAAAACCAGGCCGGCCACGCCAGAGTAAATAATTGGCCCCGGGTTTATGTAAACTGGTGTTACATTTCAAGCTGCAGGCTTGGCCCGCCATCAGTGGAATCCAGCTCCATGAACACACAGCCGAGGCGGACCATTGTGGATAGAAGCCGAGACTTTGCGGCTCTTGTGGACTTGTAAATTCGGGCCACGGTGATATCAGTCCCGCGAGGATCGTATAATAAATGTTGTTGTGAAGCTGCCACTCCATCAACCTCGAGAAGGAGACACGAGAGAGAGAAGTAGCAGGATTGAAAGGAATATAAAACTGAAAGCCAAAGAGTTCAAATGGTAAATATACATTTGAGATCTCCATTACCGTGCCGAGCTCTCCAACCATCATAACTTTATCCTGCTCCGTAATAGGCAGCACGAAACGAAACGGCATTCTGGGAAGTACCTAGACAGTAGTGCCTGTAGCGACCGCATCCGGGATGAACAGTTTTACTCTCTCAAACTTCAAGATCCATTTAGCAAGGAAGGAGCCGCCCAACATCCACCCTCTAATAAGGAAAGAGCCCCATCAAGGAAGGAGCCACAGCAACTCCAGCAAAACAAAAGCCCCAAGTTAACTCTATAGGGATAAACAATTTGCAGGACCCCCAAGGAACCTGCCAGCAGGGCAGCTGGTTAATCCGCCCCCTCTTGGCAGCTGGTTGAAAGCGCTTGAGGTGTTCTCGGTTCGACCCCTGGTTGGACCAGAAGTAATAGGGTTTTCTCGGCAAGCTGGCGCCGGCAGGTTCCGGTATTTTTTTAATTTTTTTTTCTAGTATTATTGACTTTTCCTTTTCCCGTTTATTCTAATGCTAATCTTCTTTTTTTCTTCTTTTCTTTTCTCGTTTGCGTGCTGCCATATACGACAGCTTAATAGGAAAGGTAAGGAACGGGGAAATGTAGCCAAGTAGCGAGGAATTTAGACATCATTTCAAGGTAACCTCTCAATATAGCGAGAACGGCGCCCTTCCCATTAGTACCAGTCCGTAATCTCTTTCGTGTCCTTATAGGCTGCACCAACATATTTCCATCTTGATTAACTTCAGTCAGGCCATTTCATGACGCGGGATGCCGTCTGCCTCGTGTTGTACAGGGTCCTTAGGCTTAACCTCTCTGCCTTCCACTTCAGGTGTCTCCGTGATAATAGTATCCGGCGTAGACTGTGCGGCTCTCCGGCGATTCCGTCTCAGTATGAGAAAACACGCAATTCCGCCAATCACGAATGCCAGTGGTATCCCAATGCCCAACCCAATCTTGTACCCGATTTTGCCCTTAGAGCTTGAGGGCTCGGGTGAACTAAAAGATGAATCCTAGGAAAATCAGCATCATCGCAAATCGAGGTTGAGGCTGGAACGTAGCTACCGATGATGTGAAGGCGGGCGCGGAGCTGGAACTAGCAGAAGTTGCGGAGACTCCACTGGCGGCTGTGACCTCTACATATTTCGAGTTGAACCCAATTCCATCCCCCCAAGACCAGACCATGAAATGGATCGGCGTAAGCCTGAAACCCGGGTCATTCTCATTCAGTGGCCGTACTGTCCATACATACGACGTTGGTACTGGGGCGGGCGCGCGATCTGGCATGGAAATTGACAATTAGTTGAACCGAACATCTCTGAAGCTAACGAAGACAACAACCTATGAGAGTGAGGTTATAGACACCGCGATCCGGCGGGTCTCTTGGGCCCTGAAAGGCAATCAGCGAAAGTAGGCTGGTGCTGTTGGTTGCCCATTCTAAATTTATCGTCTCTCCAATCTCAAATGTTAGATGTGAGTCACCAACGATGGCATTGTCGGGTCCGGCCGTGGGAGGAAAGACAAAACCATTGCTCTGTGCAGATGTGAGGAGTGGGAAAGAGGACAAGCCAAGGATCAAGAAAGTGGGAAATGCCATAGTGTGGAAGACCATTCGCCTAAAAGGCCATACGTGGGCAGTCAGTGTGAGGAGAAAACCTTCTCGCCGAGTTTCGCATGGATTTAATATTATTTGTTTCGTAATATTGACCCTCTCCCGCCGCCCCAGCTGAAGGACAGGGCTCCCCATCGAGTATCGCGCATGTCAATAAAATGAAAAATACCAATGCGTTGGTCCAGAGACCCTGCTGGACTGCTACCCAAGCATGCCCAAAACGGACAAGTGTGACGAACTAGGATCAATATAAGCTTATCGTTGAAGGTGCTAATTTATCCGGCCGGTGGTAAGGAAAGTGGCTGGCCGACCTATTACCTGGCTGCCACTGGTCATAGCTGAGATAATACGAAGTAGGGCGGAACAGGAGCATGAGAATGAAACCCTCCAATTCTTAACTTAAAAAATCACTGACGACCGGCTTCAAAACCGCGAAATGAGTCCCCCGGTCCGGTCCTGGCGTCCGGTACTGCAAGTGGATCAGTGAATCGGTCAGTAATAGCCTGGCGTCCAGCGGAGACTTTCCAGCCCCGTGCGGAGAAGGAACGGTTGTTGAACTCAACTGAGTCGACTCGACGGCGTCCCAGCCTGGCCTGCGTAATTCGGCGGGACATCGAGAGAAGCACTCGGTTTGACCCGTGCTGCGTATTTAGCTTTGGCAAATGAGAACGAGGCTACCAAAGAGAGAAAAAAATTCTTAAAAAAAAACTCCGTGTCTAATTTGGTCTCACGCCATCATCACGAAGCATCATCTTCTTAAAGCACGTATGTTAGATGTTAGGTATTAGATATGCTTTACTGTATGTACCCTATCCAACTGACTTAAACTCCTTTCACCTTGGTCACTACATGTCTAAGTGTTTCGCGGTCTGGCCTCTTCAACAGCTGTCCTCAGGTCTTTTATTTCCCCACTCTGCTCTTCGAATTTCCCATAAGATTTTGGAACCTGTCAGTTAACTTTACAAAATTGTTCAGTTCCACGCCAATCGATCATGTTCGACTCACCTCGCCATCAGTGTTAGTAGAATGGTGGTAAAGTTCTGCTTTTGACTCTCCAGTTTCCCCAGCTTTGTCGCTGTATCTTTTTCATGGTACCACCATTTGATCCTAGCCCACATGGAAGGAGGTAAGTGGAAATTTGTCCCATCCTTATCACATTGGCCGAGTTTCTCCAGGTGTGCTCTGGCATCTCTGTGGGCGGCTATGAAAGCGCCGTAGGCATCGTGCACCAGGCCCGCCATGCTCTCCACAACAGGGTCTGACTGCGTCACCAGACCGACGAGATAGTTGTGAATGTGAGTTATATGCCCCCGTGTTTTAGCACGCGATTCGTATATATCCTGAGCTTCACCGTTTGCATTTCGCGTGATGGCAAGGAAAGTGGTAATCGAGAGAAACAAACTGGATGCCCGACACGTTGCTGGTGACGGAGAGCAGGCTATCGTCGCACGCGGAGCACGTCTCGGTGAGAACGCAATTCATTGCCTCGACTGAGGGTCATTTATTTGGGATTGAAATATCTGAAAACGAGTCGGTCGTTTCGGAGACGATCATAAAGTTGTGCCTCCGAAATGGACTGTTACAGGCTGATACACATGGGAGTGTGCGTCTTTCGTTTTTGTCACTCTCCACCTGATTGCGCGCCAATATTCGAGGAGAGGCTGCAGAGCTTTAACTTGTAGGTTAGCTCACAAATTAACACCTGAAAACGAACATTATTGGCTTGGTCTGGTTCTACATTCGCTCCGGGAGACTAGATTGGCGGCATCCAAGTCGTGGAGAGCGTCTCTTGGTGATGTCGTGACACGATTGCGATTTTTTTTTTTCTCTTCTTTTCTGGTGTTGGGCACGTCGGATTCTTGGAATCTAGACGATTTTTTCTATTCTTTCTTCTTTTAGAATTTCCTCAAGTTTCCATTGCCAAACTCTCCATTTCGTAGCTGCCCGTGTGGAACTCAACCATAATCGGTCCCATCATCATCCTCTGACATGTCCTCGCCCACATCCGGCCCCAGAGAGCCTCACCAGCTGCTGTCAAGGCATGAACAAAACGCTGCTGACCTTTCCAACCTCGGGCGAAGTACTGGCGACAATCAGGCCTACGACCATCTAGGAATGAAAGGTGAACTCGCAATTACTTTTCACAGGTCCCCTCAGGTTCCTGATGACCCCGTGAGCAGGCGTCAAGAGATTCACGAGCTGGGAGCCAACTCAACCGTTTCGTGTTCACTGCTTTTTGCGGAAATTGAAGGTGGCGAAGTAAAACGTATGCCGTGTGCCTAGAGTGTTCGTAGTATTAGACCCCCTCCTCCTCTTCTTTCTTGGTTCTCTCTTCTTTCATTTAGTGCTGGGTGTAGAGAGGTAACGGCTATCTTTGTAGCTATAGAAGCTGTTGCGATTTGCATCAGGGTACCATAGTCTTCTCGGTCAGCCTTCCGGGTAAAGATTCAGCTGGGGAACGTGAACGCGACCACCCTCGATAATTCGAGCCTCTTCAAAGGCCGGGAATATCTCATCATCTCAAGCAATGGAAAGACAAGTCAATAGGTAGATTTGGTGTTCCATGACCTTCACCCCAGTCGTGTGGTGAGGCAATTCGTGGCTCTTGCGCCTAAGGCCGGGTGGGTAGGAACTTTTGACAGGAGACCCGGCGTCGGCAACTTCTAGCATCCACTAGACACTCCGTTTTCGAACAACCTATACAGGATCCACGACGGTGACGACTTGGAGATCGAGATCACACGTAACGTCCTCTTCTAGGGCTATCGAGGCTCTCCGCCACCAGTACAGCCTAGCAGGCCAAGAATCCCCGTCAGTAACGTCCTGATTGTCACCAGAGCCTTTAGCGCGGGAACCGTACCTCTTAGGGACAACTCTGCTCTACCTGTTCTACTCCTCATCCTCCTCCTCCTCCTCCTCCTCCATCTCCGCTTTCGCACGCTTTCGGGGATGTAGGGGGCTCGCGATGTGTTCACCCCCGCCACCATATCTTCGCTGTAGTTCCAACCCCGAGACTTCCTCAACGCGGACGACTCCGTCGGATCCAAGTCGTCGTACCACACGACGCTGACCCACAGTGATGAAATCTTTGACGAATTGCAAGATCGCCCAAGCGAATCTAGCAAAATGTGTCTCTCGCGTGGTGGCACAGATATGTTGTACAGGGAGGTTGTGATAAAGGGTCTCCAACTCGGCGTTGGGATGCTGTCCGAGGTAGTGTACCACGAAAGTTCGACGTGCAAGCCCTCCCCCTTGAGGATTGCGTAGCCTCTTTGGAACAATAACAAAATCGCGATCGTCGTAACATCGATGTATGTCGGCTCGTAAGTGAATCCTGTTTCCCTCGAGGTTTAGAAAGGAGTAAAGCTGCATTCCCATTTTCTGGTACCATTCATGCTCCTCCTTGGGGACGATATGCGCCTTCTTAAGGGCGTAGTTATGGTTGGTAACTGCACATCGATCGCCGTCGGGGCTGACGGGACTTTGTATGACTGAGGGCCAGGACGTCGGTATTCTGCCATGGGGGAATTCCCACTCGCGGAAACACGGCACGACAGGGTACTTATATGAGGCTGCATGATGCCCGTTGGCAAAACGAAATGGTCAGTTCAAACAGTGGACTCTTGAATTGGGCCATGGACGTTTAGACTGTACCATCGTCGTTAAGCACAAAATAATACTCGTCTAGGGTGAGAATTGGCTCTTGGGCAACGGTGACTGGTCGTTCTCCTCTCTTGTCAATGCAAAGTTGGCCATTACCAATACTACCAGCGACAATTTGGCAGGCGGTTAGGGCAGTCTCGTGGTGCACGCCTTTCAATGCCCCAGGACCAGTAGGGTCAACACGGGGAAGAAAAAATAGACGATTCCATCGAGCCTGGTAACCAGGGTGAAGGAACTGGATGGTCTTTTGCGTGCTCGGAGGATTGGGAAGAGGCGCGGGGGCGGCAGGTCGAGCGACAGGAATAGTGGCCATCGTATCGGTTCGTTTCTCGGTATTTTGCTAGATTTGCGTCTTTCTTGTGCCGGGCTGGTGAAGAGGAAGAGATGCAAGGAGAGAAGTGGACGCGGCGGGATTCCTTACGAGATAAAATCGAGGTGAACTCTCGTATTTGTCAGCCTTGAGTGAAGAGAAGCGCTCTTTCCTTGATGATGTATGCATGTATGCCTCTGGCTCTCTCCTTCCGTCGATGTTGAATCTACGCTCTGGCACGGAAGAGAATGTAGACAATTTGCAGTTGCGTATATGTTTGAGCTAGATGGAACTATGCGCTGCCCGGTTGACGCAATCCGAGCGTACTGTAAATCTTCCCCGAAAGTATAAAAGCGCGCACGATATATAATCATATCAATACATTAATATGGCCATCTACTGTGTTTGATTTAGTTAGGTTAACCGGACTGTAGAACGTAACGAAAGGATCGGTCATATTCGACAACAGTTACCGAAGGACTCTGGTAGAGCCCATGCTGTCCACGGCGTATCACCTTTCTCTAGCACTAATCCTTCTCATATCGAGATTTCTTTTGTAAATTCTTCCGTGACAGTAGCTGATATCCGCCCGGAGGGAAGGATGAGCATCCAGCCTACTGCCCGCCGTCGTCGAAAGGAAGGGACAGAGTCGCCCGGGAACCATATCAGGACATGTTTGGTTTGGCGTTGTCTGGATTGTCGAAGAGCACTTTTAATAGTCCCCATACCATTACCTTTACAAAATATGACCTAGATCTATCACCGAAGTTGTCAGAGGTGACTCCTCAACGTTCCCCGGTTCGAGTCTAGATCGGGGCGTGGAGGGAAGAACTTGGAGGTTCAGGGAAGTAGGCTGTCCTAGACGAACTGCTCCGACTTTGGTCCTCATTTTCCTTCTTCTTCCCAAGTCTTCTCCTTCCTTTCTTTCGGCTTTTCCTCTAACACTTTAAAGCTAATTGAAAGAGTAGACCTGCCTCTAGCTGCCTCCTTTGCCGCGAATATAGATGCTTGGCTAGACTTGGTTCTGGGGATTGAGGGGACAAATAAGATCCATTGGCAAGCCTTTTTTTCTTCTGCAATGGACGATATAGAGATATAGAGAAGGTAGGGAAATTGTAATGACAAAATAAAGTCGAGTTTATTTCGTTTTTGATCAACGTTTGTTGGACTTCCTCTGATGTCTTGCTGAGTCATACAGAACCCTGCTCGGCGAAACCTTTTCCCGTCACCGCCAAAATTCGCCCAGTTCCAGGCCCACGCATCTTGAGCCCAGCGTCTGTCCCCCACCTCCAGCTCATCGCGAAGACATCAACCCTTTCGATCGCCCCAACAACCTCTTCCTATCCGATTATCGCCTCAAATTAGCGTTTCCCGACTCCATACATAACCTGCCACGATGACTGGTCGCGGTGGCGGCGGCGGACGCCGTGTCCTTCTCCCTCCGATGTGAGCTTGAATCTGCCCACGGGCTCGGCCGCGTTCGCGATGGAGCTTGATTTTGGTCTTAAGGGTACAGTGAAGTACTGACGTTTGCAGTAATATGATTTTCAAGTTGCTTCAGACAGTGAGTCTCTTGATTGCCTTCGTCCGAACCGATCTTGACCACAAGCGGCGCTCGGGGAACCGATGTTTTGGCGGCCGGCGGGATTAGGTTGAATGCGCACCTCCCCGTCGAGCATTATACGACCGAAACCTTGCAGAGCGGCGACCTAGGCGGTGCACAGCGTAGGAAGTCATAGACTCCCTCGTGCCCTTGCCCTCTTTTACCCTGCGACTAGGCTTAGCCAAGCCCCGATCTGTGGCACGCGCCGCTTGTTTCCTCGAGCCCCCTACACACATTGAGATTGCGGATCACCTACGGATATGTCAGGGAAATGTTGCTGACATTACTAGAACGCGACAGTAAGCGTGTGGCTCTACGAGCAGCTCTCCATCAGGATCGAGGGAAAGATCAGGGTAAGGCCTTATTGCTGCAACGTCAGCTGACGAGGTGTTTCTAACTCTGATGTGGTGAACAGGGATTCGACGAGTTCATGAACCTGGTTATCGATGACGCCGTCGAGGTGAAGCAGATTACGAAGACGAACGACAAGGAGAGCAGGAGACTGCTGGGTATGGTTACATCCATCCAACAATTGAACACCTTTCTCAAGCAATCAGGGACTAACTAGTTTTCTTCCCGTTTTAGGCCAAATTCTCCTCAAGGGAGACAACGTTTCTCTAATCCAGAGCCTGTCTGGGTGAAATCCGGGACTTTCCACAACGATACCTTGAATTGCGAGCTTAGGCGGGCGATGGGCGCAGTACATGGCAAAGGGTTGGGCCGCGCATGAAGATACACCTTGAGGAGGAGGAAAAGAATACAGGATAGAGCTATCTCAGTGCGATATGAGCCCTCGGGCGCCGACTCCGAGCGCCAGAAGACGGGACCATTGAATGCTTCAGAGATGACCCGCACCTTTTTTTTTGGGGGGGGGGGGATGAACTTCCTAGGCCCCGTGTTGGGTGGAAGGCCCTATTTTCAAATACTAAGCTAACACCAATGATGAAAATGTAATAATATCGCATTTTGGGAACGAAACTAACGCCGCCAGCTCCTTTGTACCGTGTGCGTACTTCGTGTCATCTCTTGTCGATCAATGACTGCGTTTCGCTGGCTGGTTCCACCCTGCCCCCCCAAGCGAAATGGTGCTTCCACGGAATGCCCAATTGGATACAGTGATATTGCCCATCAATCCTCACTATGTAACCCATTTCCATCCGCGACTGGACACAGGACTTTTCAAGGGGGGAAGAGGGCACGGTGAAAGAACACGTCGAAGTCATCCACAGAAACAAGGATCTACCAGATTTTAGGAGGTCCAGATGACTCCTGGTAAATCAACGCGCAGATCCCCCCACCCTTCGCTCTTTACATCGGCGCCGCCTTCGCCGACGGAGACGGAGATAACGGGCGACAGAAACGATATGAACGAGATGAACGAGATTAATAAACACGAAGCCGTCCAAGCACAGCTGCAACGTCCCCCTCTTTTTATCCCGAGATGCACATAAAGTGGAGATTCGTCCGTTTGTTCGATGTGACAGGCGCCGGTACCTTTGCTACCGTTCGCCACCACCAGTGAATCTTGTCTGATGATCTCCAAAAGCTACCGCGCAAGGAACTCCCCCAGCCATAAACTAAGGTCGGAAACCTTGTTGGCCGACTTCCCCGGTGGATGAGACATGAAGATGGGTGGTGGGGACGATGATCCGCTCGTGCATGCAGGGGCGGGAAGATGGACCAATCTTGAAGCTTGGATGGCGATGAGGATTCGGGATGGTGGGTTGATTTTCTGATTATTGATCATCAAAAGGCTCCTGCTCGTCGTCGTATTAAACTAGAGACAAAGTAGGCTCTTTTCTCGTGAGGGTTAGTGTCGGAGATTTTTCTAGATCTATTGGCAAATCGTTAAGATCCCTAGAATTTGCTAGCTGGCTGGAGATATTCACATCATCCAAGATGTCTCGAGTCATCGATCGCATGCCCAAGCCCACAACCCCTAGGGAAAAGAAGGTTATCGTCCTTAGCTATCCTAGGTACATTGCCCCCCATTCTCTCAATTGAAGTACGAAGACGAACACGTTGTTAATTCGTCCTCCTCCGCGGCAGAAATGGCACCCTCGGCCTCTACAAAGCCTTCACGATACTGGGCTACAACCCGTACCACCTCCTCACCACTTGGAACAATGGCATAGAGCACATTAAGATAGCGAGAGAAGGACTAGAAGCTAAGCTGGACGGCAAGGGAAAGCCTTACGGTCGAGAGGAGTTTGACAAATGGTTCAGCGAAAATGGGGTAAGAAGCAGAAGCCGAAGGGGGGTATCAGCCGTCAAGCTGTCTGCCTCCTTTCCCATCCGTCTGAGCGTCCAATGCTAATACCAGCTGCTTTCTTCGAGACCATGATGGACATTGCAGCCTTCTTTGCACCCGAGCTTATCAAGGCGTATCCCGATGCCAAGTTCATCCTCACGTCTCGAGACCCCAACGCGTGGATGCGGTCGGTCGAAAACACGATCATGAAGGCCGAGATGATGAGCTACGGCTTCCCGGTATGGTACATGAAGCAGATCGACACGTACACTTACGAGATGGCCAAGCTCACCAGCTGCCTGGGGCGGTTCCTTTGGAAGAGGACAAAGGATGATCCGGTAGACCTCCACTCGAGGGAGCGGGCCATCAAGGGATACCTGGAATAGTAAGTGACGCCTGGAGGAGGAAGAACCCCGGCCAGAGCTCGTCTGTGTCCCGATTCGATTGAAAGTGAAGCTGAATGTTTATCCTTTTTAGCAACGAAATGGTCCGCAAGCTCGTCCCTCCTGGACAATTGCTCGAGGTGAAGCTCGAAGATGGCCTCGGCTGGGAACAGATCTGCCCGTTCATTGGCGAGGATATCCCCGACCAGCCCTACCCGAGGGCCAACGATCCCAAGGAGTTCGAGAGACTCATAGGCGAGATCCTCAAACCGGCCTGGAGGAGGACCTTGGTGAAGTATGCGACTGTGTTGATTCCGGTAGTCGGAGGCGCGATATGGTATCTTAGGCAGCGAAAGTGAGGAGGACAGATCCCAAGTGGTGATTATAGTGACGAGTGACTAGATTTGGATGATACAGCGGCCGTCTTAGGGCCTCAGGCCTGTTTTTCTAGTGTTTGGTTCAGTAGGAAGGAGCTCCCTCAAGCCCAGACCATCACCAAATTTCCTGCTTCAGCAGAGTCAAGTCTTTACTTCAGTACAGTCCAGCCCTATTCAGAGATCAGTGATCAATATCAAGTGCATCAAGTGTTCTTGAGCCCAGAATCGCGACTCATCACCACTCCCACTCCCCCGATAGAGATAAGCCTAAATCTGCGAGGCAAGTTAACAGGCGCTTGAAAATCCCACGCCCGCAATGCTTGGCCCGCGAGGAGGGACATCCCTCAGACCAGACGCTTCAGTTCTCCGGTTAACGTGCGGGGCTCTACAGGTATGAATACCGGTTGGTAGGAGAGACGTTAAATTGATCTTCTTCTCCGGATATTGTCTCCAAGACTGGTCTTCTACGAGATTGGGTGCTAATAGTCCGACTTTATTATTCCCTTCTTGGCGTCCTTGGGTGAGCCAAAATACCCAAATACCGAATGCATCCCAGATTTGGCGAAGCTCACCTCCCTCTCCATAAACACGCTTAATGCTTCCACCCCTTCGCCTGCAGTCCTTATCCAGGAACTCTTGGCAGCAGAGATTTGAGTTCCCCAATAATAGCCCGACCAAGCGGCGGATTTAGGTTGTTTTCACAAGAGACCGGCTAAATGAGCCTGTCTCTTTCCACGGCCACCAAATATCACTTGAGGATTCATCGTTCATGAGCCAAGCCACGAGGTATGGAACGTTGTACTCCGCTCCGACTCGGGGACGCCCGGCCACATGGCAAATACGGCGAGAGGGAAGCCCCAAATATTAATATATTTGAACGATATCACTACTGACCTCTAGCCCAAGGAGATACGGGGTTAAAAGCAGCCTTCATGTATAAGTGATATGAAGCCCTGGCAACCCAGCCATGGTGAACGTCATGTAGTTGCTCCCCTTTTCCCCAGACTCAGTCTCTAGTATAGAAGCCTGTATCATTCTGGCCTTCCTCGCTCCCTGTACTTTCCGTCCGCCGTGTGAATATTGTCCACCCAAAGCAATCATGAAATTCACCCTCCCCTTCCTTGCTCTCTCCGCCCTCACAACCGCCCAATTCGGCGGAGGCGGCGGTGGCGGCGGTCTCCAACAAGTCACCAACTTCGGCGCCAACCCCAGCAACGCCAAAATGTTCCTCTACGTCCCCGCTACCCTCGCGGAGAAGCCCGCTATCATCGTCGCCATCCACTACTGCTCGGGAACCGCGAGCGCCTACTTCTCCGGCAGCCCCTACCGTCAGCTGGCCGACCAGAAGGGCTTCATCGTCATCTACCCGGAGTCGCCGTACAGCGGGACCTGCTGGGATGTGTCGTCCAAGGCGACACTTACGAGGGATGGCGGGGCAAATTCGAATTCGATTGCGAATATGGTGAAGCATGTTATTGGGGAGTATGATGCGGATCCGGAGAAGGTGTTTGTTACGGGGACTTCGTCTGGTGCCATGATGACCGTACGTTCATTCTCTGGCGCGATTTTACCTAATGTTTCTCTTCTTTTTTTCTTTCTCCATGTGTGCTAAAAAAGCCGTCCAGAACGTCCTCGCCGCAACATACCCCGACCTCTTCGCAGCAGGAATCGTCTACGCCGGCGTCCCCGCCGGCTGCTTCTTCACCAACACTGTCAACGGCTGGAACAACACCTGCGCCAACGGCCAAGTCAAAGGAACCCCCGAACGCTGGGCCCAATGGGTCTTCGAGGCCTATCCGGACTACGATGGCCCGCGGCCCCGAATGCAGATCTACCACGGGTCGGCCGACACTACCTTGGGATCGGCAAACTACGCCGAGCAGATGAAGCAGTGGTGCGGCGTGTTCGGGTGCGATCCCGATGCGCCGGAGGAGAAGGCGGAGAATAAGCCGTTGCAGGGGTATACGACTTCGACGTATGTCGGAGGGCAGCTTCAGGGGATTTGGGCGGTGGGGGTGGGCCATAATTTTCCCATTAGGGGCGACGATGATATGAAGTGGTTCGGTCTGTAGATTGGTGGGGAGGGAGGATCGAAGTTGGGAATGGGTGAAGGGAACGGGAGGACGGGTTTGTTCTAGATAAGTAGGTGAGAGGAGGAATATCTTGGACGTTCATGCACATAATTCGATAGGGCTGACCGTAGCCAAAAAGGTCTTTTCATCTATTTTAAGTGATCTAGCCATAATCTCGATTGATTCGTCAAGTCTTCACAGATGTGTGACGAGGAGAAATGCTTTAATCGCAGGACAACAGAATCCACGTCCATACCTCTGGTGGGCTCGCGTCTCCGCTAGGCCCCTCCGAAAGCGTCGATGGCCGTCTTCGAACCGAGAATCCCCTCCGCGACTTCAAGGGCCGTGGTGAACAGAACCTACCAACAACCGTGAGGTCACGCTGTTGATCGTCGCCACCTTCTTCTCCTTCCATCCCTTGCTTCGGAAGCTGGCGAAGGAGAAAGTCAAGGGGCTTACACACCATGAGACTTCCCCCATCTCACCTGTGTCGACTCTCCTTACTCGACTTTCTTAATCCGCCCCTCCAACTTCGGCGCAATAACCCGCGTCCAGTCGACGTTAATCTCAGCCGCCTCGACAGAATCACACGCCACTCTCGTCACATTGGCCGCCGCCGCCCACCTACCAAAATACTTCCTCATGAGCAACACCTCGTCATTGATCTTGTCGTCCTCGCCATCCGACTCCGACTCCTCCTCGAACCCGCTGTCGTCATTCTCTGGTTTGACGTTAATGCCTGATCTCCGAGCGAGCCACGCCGCCCATGCGCCTGGCCGTTGTTCCTTCCTCGCATCTGAGTTTTGGCGGGGTTTCACGCAGGGGGGAAGTTCGTAGTGTTGGGAAAGGCGGCGGCACCGGCCGATGACGTTGTCCCAGTGGTTTGCGTCGAGATACCTCCATTTTCCGACCGTCCGGAGGGCTAGGAAGTATTGCCGGAGCATGGCGGAGATAAGGATGCCGTTTTCTTCGGAGACGATTTCTTCCACTTCGCCTCCCGCCTCTTCGACGAGAAGGCTCGTGTAGCCGTCTGTGATTGTAAGCGATTTAGTCCATCATTAACGTCGTGGGATAACAGGGGGTCTCATATACCTTTACCTCGGCCCATGTACCCTCTCGTCGCCATGAGATACTTCCTCTCGAAGTCGATGTCCTCGCCATTTATCCGAACAGAGACAATTCTTGAACCAACGGGCAAATTGGGGTTGAACTCGAACTGAATATTTGATACTTGGGGGAATCGGCCTGCGAAATCCGTTAATATCAACGCATTGAACCAAGGCGGGGGCGAGAGAGGGGAGGGGGCTCGTCTACCTTCCAGTGCGGGATACAAGCTAACACCATTCTCCAGCGCGTCCCAAATCGCCTTACCCTTCACCCTCAACAAGACGACCGGATCCTCAAAAGGAAAGCACGTAACAATATCCTTCACGCGGACCGCTCCAGGAGGATAAATCTGATCACCGCGAATCGTGCCACCCGCCATCAAAGCGCACTCCGCCGCATAGTGATGCCTCATGATATCGCACACGAAATTACCGAGGTTGCTCTCCTCCCGCCTGACCGTGGTGAACCTTGCATCCAGCGGCGTTGCCGTCCATCCTATGGGTTTCGCGAGGCTGTGCTTTAGCTTCGAGGTCAAATCCTCCACGAGCTTCAAGGTCGCGGGATCTTCCGGGATCGTTGAGATGACATCTCGGCGGAGGATGTCAAAGTCCCATTTTCCTGGCTCGCCGGGTCTTCTCCAGGCTTGGATGTAGCTCAGCTGCTTGAAGTCGCTTCCAGAGCGCAGGACGTGGGTGCCGTTGATGAAGCTGTGGGCGTAGTAGTGGTCATGGCCACCGAGAATGATGTCGATCAAGCCATCGGTGTTTCTCGCGAGCTTGTCATCATTGGGTTCTCTCATGTGAGTCAAGGCAATGACGATATCAGCGCCCTGTTCCCTAAGCTTGGGAACGAGTTCCTTCGCAGTCAGGGTGGCAGATTTGTAGACGAGGTTCGGTGGCAAGACATTAATAGTCTCAAGCCACTCTCGCTCACCAAGGCCTATAAGACCAACTTTGATGCCGTTTGAGGTAGTAAACATGTGTGTCGCCTTTGCATTGCCGAGGGGGACGCATTCACCCAAGGCAGGGTCTAATACGTTGGCGATGAGCCAGGGGAAATTGCATTTCGACGCAAGATGGCCGAATTGTTGGACTCCAAAGTCGAGATCATGGTTCTGTTAACGATTAGCGATTGGGACAAAGTCAATTGAGCTCTAGGGGCCCAACTCACACCTAGAGCTGCGCAAACAGTTCCGATTGCATTTAGAATCGGCACCATATGAGAACCTGTAGGGGAAAACGTTAGAAAATTCACATCCAGGACAAGTTCCAGCGAATAAGACACAAGCTGCACTCACCCTTCGTTACCGTGCTCTCAACGCTAGGGTTAAACACATCGCCAGAAAACAAGGGGATGAGCTCAGGTTGGTCCCGATATTGCTTTCCATCGCGGTACTCTTTGAGCACGGTCATGAAACGGGCGATGCCGCCAACAGGCTCGGCACTGGAGGGGTCAATGTGGTAGACATCGTTGTAGTGGAAGATCCGGAGGTCGGGAGGAGTGCCGTCCTTGGCACGACCACTAGCGTACGTAACAGTCGAGTCGGGGGGAGGAGCAGCTCTCTTCCCCATGGTTGCAAAGAGGGGAATTGGGCTGTTGTTGCGGGGTTGGAGGTTTACTGGAAATGAAAGATCAAGAGACGGATGTACTAAGGAGCGGGAGTGGTGATGGCGGGATAGAGACGACGCTCGAAGATTGCGGTGAGTTGAGTGAAGCTGCAATGGGTGAGCTGGAGATCTTGGTGGGGTCAAGGCGAAGGAAGGAGCAGCCCAGTCACAATGCAGGGAATTCCACGAAAGGGCGGTCTTGGAAGCGCGGGAAGGTGGGGGCAGGCGCAGCTTCCCTGGTGATAATCAGAATGAGAGGAGAGGAAGGAGCGAGAGACAAACGATCCAGCAGGAGGGAAAGAGAGACGGAAATGCCCGAAAAGGGGCCAATTGAAACAATCTTCGAGCCAATCGAACAAACAAAGTCGGGGAATGAAGATTATCAAATACGATGGCGTTTGCGTCGGGTCTTGTCAGACAATCCCAGTCAACAGCAGCCCAAGATCAGCCCGAACGGGAACTGTCCCCAGTCGTCGAGTCGGAGGCAGTGCAGCTCCGCTCACGTGATGAATATGGTGGCGTTTGGATGTGGGAGGAGTTCGCAAAGGACTGGAGATTGATATCAGAGACTTTCTACGCTTCTAGAATGAAAGCTGACTACGGATTACGGATTTACGACGGCGGCTGGTTTGCCTGAAGCTCAACGGTCAAGCAGGCCGGTAGTTGGGGAGATGCCAAGTATGAAGTATGGAGCAAGCAGAACACTAGTCTCAAGGCGGCAATGGCCTGATCAATTGATGCCATCCGATCCGAGATTTTTGATGGCCAATTGCTGGACGCTGATTTCCGCTCGAACCCGGACTGGGTTTGGCCATGGCGGAGCTACTTGACGGATTCTGATTTCGGGGCTGGTCTGAGTTTCCGAGGCAAGTCGGAGCGGACTCCTTGGCCGAACGGGATCTTGGGACTCATCTCCCTAGAGGCCATAGATATCTGTTGTAAGTATTAAGTGAGGGATCAATTGATTCCGCTACCTTCAAAGATACTTCTTCTCGGTCACAACATCGTTTCTGTCGTCGTTAGGGTTCGAGCCAGATGTGCGAATGGGAGCAACTGCCTCTCTTTTCCGAGACTGCGCATGCAGATATTTCAGCATCTTAGTTTCTATCCTTCATCGGGAAAGCGAAGCTTTCCCAAGGAGTGTTTGAGAATTCGTAGATTTCGAAGAACAATACGCAGGGAAAGCGCAGCTTGAGCAAGTTCAAATCGGTCCCCCACCCCCCCTTTTCTTCTATTCCATACCCCTCCCCATACCAGAAAAAAAAAAAGATAGCACAGACCACTTTGTTTCGCACTGATCGCTGATTGGGCGGTGAAAAATTTTTATTCCTGTCATTGGTCAGTAGTCACGGGAACATGGTAATGGCTCCGCAAAAACGCGTCATAGTCACCTCTTGCTGGAGGTACGAAGTTAGTATGCTACTTTTAGCACTATTTCCAACATAACAGAAGCATGAAAAAATTACGCATCCAGGTTATTTGGAAAGAATGATATAAGTTATTGTTAACTTTTTTTTCCTTCTTTCTTTTGACTAATATTTCATCGATTTCAGAAGTGGTTTTTTGAAAGTAGCTGCTTTTCGGTGGGGTGGGGGGGCGTTTGGTGTAAAAGTGGAGGGGGGGTGAGGTTTCTGTCAGCTGGGGCCAGCCGCAGGCAAAAGGGGGGGGGTTGAGGGGGGTCTCCCCTCATATTCTAAAAAGAAATAAAAGGGTCTCTTTTAATAATAAGATTATAATTATATATAATTATAAAGAGAAACCCTTTTATTTCTATTTAAAATCTTAAGAAATAAGCTAATATTATTTATATAAATAATATTGCATCTAGTATAGTAAATAGCATTACAACTAGATATAGATACTAAGCTTTAGTAAAATTAGAACTATAATCTAGGTAGCTATATAATATCAGTCCTAACTAAATTAAATATATTCTTCTATTAATTTTAATTATTAGAATATTCGTACTGGTGCAAGACACAGGAGAGCAGCGTCTCACTGGAGGATCCTCAAGCTAACCTACCGAGTGCACAATCAAGCAAATCGTTGGTTCGGTGGTGTAGTTGGTTATCACGCTTGTCTAACATCCACAAGGTGCTGGACACAAGAGGTCCCCGGATCGAGCCCGGGCCGAATCATCAATTTTCTTTTTTGTCTTTTTTTCTGGTATGGGGAGGGGTATGGAATAGAAGAAAAGGGAACAGAAATGGGAACTGAAATGAAGAAATCAAAATTGGAATGGCTTCAGCCATTCCAATTTTGATTTCTTCATTTCAGTTCCCATTTCTGTTCCCTTTTCTTCTATTCCATACCCCTCCCCCCCCCTCCACTTTTACACCAAACGCCCCCCCACCCCACCGAAAAGTAGCTACTTTCAAAAAACCACTTCTGAAACCGATGAAATATTAGTCAAAAGAAAGAAGGAAAAAAAAGTTAACAATAACTTATATCATTCTTTCCAAATAACCTGGATGCGTAATTTTTTCATGCTTCTGTTATGTTGGAAATAGTGCTAAAAGTAGCATACTAACTTCGTACCTCCAGCAAGAGGTGACTATGACGCGTTTTTGCGGAGCCATTACCATGTTCCCGTGACTACTGACCAATGACAGGAATAAAAATTTTTCACCGCCCAATCAGCGATCAGTGCGAAACAAAGTGGTCTGTGCCATCTTTTTTTTTTTCTATGTCCTTTCACGTACTGATATCCGGCCAGTTTTGCGCGGCCACGAGTCTGGGGTTTAATCTTGTTATGAATATGTCTTTATCGGGAAAGCGAAGCTTTCCCAAGGAGTGTTTGAGAATTCGTAGATTTCGAAGAACAATACGCAGGGAAAGCGCAGCTTGAGCAAGTTCAAATCGGTCCCCCACCCCCCCTTTTGCCTGCGGCTGGCCCCAGCTGACAGAAACCTCACCCCCCCCCCCAACTTCCAAGCATCAATGCAATGATGAAACAGAAAATGCGCCCCATATCCCGTTTGCTGGCTGGTAAGGGGGATTTGAGAGAAGATGGCATTTTGTTTGAACTTACAGTGGGGCCAAAAAAGTTTCGATCACTTTTTTAATTACACGCCGCGAACGCATCACCTACTTTACCTATCCCCAACTTCAAAAAATCACATCATAGCCAGAAATGGCTCTAGAAAGAAGAAAAACACATCATTCGCCTCATAAGAGGACTCTTATTACATATAAGTATAGAATCAGTATTTCCCACTTTACAATTGTAGCCAAATATAATATTATATTATTAAAAATAACTTATTTTTACTATAATATTTCTTTACTTATATATTTTTTTATAAAAAAATATATAAGTAAAGAAATATTATAGTAAAAATAAGTTATTTTTAATAGTATCGAGTTCATGTCTGGCTCCCGTAGCTCTGTGTCCCACTCAATAAACTCTCCCATCCATCCAGACTTGCACCATCCCACATCTCCGCCGGCGCCCCATCCACGACCAACCTCACCGGCAACTCGGCCCCCTCCTCCGGCGTCGTACGCCCCTTCCCCCCAATCGTATCCAAACCCGCCCACCCGGGACAACAACTCAAAGCGTCCCAGCCACGATATACCTCTTCCTCCCACTTCAACAACCCCGTCATCGCAATCACCCCGACCTTGGAAACCACGTACGCCGAACTCGGCCACCCTTCCTCTTGCTCCGTGCCCCGGGCTACGGCTTCACAGTACTCCAGAATAAGGTTCGTGACGTCGTCCACGCTCCTGGCCTCGAGGAAGCGACGGGCGAGGACGGGGGAGAAGAGGGAGAAGTTGGCTTGGGCGGTCGTTAGGTTTACGATGCGGGCTGTTGGGGAGAGGAGGCGGAGGAGGCAGATGGAGAGGTGGACGGTGCCGTAGTAGTTGCAGTGGAGGGTTTCTTGGATCGCTTCCCTGGTGGGTTCGAAGTCTGCGAGCGGCCGCGTTGATTAGATCTAAGGGGACAAAGAGTGGTTCAAGGGGGATTTTCTTACATGGGTGATCAAGATATACGCCGGCGTTATTGACGAGGAATTCGATCTCTTCGTGGGCCTGGAGTAGATTCATCACGAACCTCAGTCGGCTGTTCGAATCCTTGACGTCGAGCTGGTGGAACCTGATCTCTACCCAACCGCCGTCTTTGACGAGGACTTTGGCGGCTGCAAGCTCCTTGTCCATTTGGAGACGAACTCGCGCTTCCTCGCCGCGTTTCACATCTCTGGCGGTAAGGTAGATGATCAGGGCTCTGTCGGGGTGTTTCCTGGGATACTCGATGGCAAGCTTGCGCACTGCAGGATTGAGGGTTATTTTCCTTCGCTCAATACTTTCGTCGAGCTTTGCGAGATTCGTGATGCGCGCGTGGGTGGATGAGAAAGGGCAAACTTACCGATGGCATAGCCAATTCCCCTGTTGGCACCAGTGACGATGCCCACGACAGCCATAGGTGATTTCACGCACGATGATTTACAGGACGGTATTTTCGATAGCAACGGTATATTTGAACCCATGGACGGAACCTATATACATCCCTCGAGAGGGCGGACGTCCTTCTCTCCCAATATATATGTCTGGGCTCTCGTTTCTACGTTCCCCTTTTTCTAAACCCTCTTCGCGAACCACATTCACCGACTCGTCATCAAAGGATGTGGAATTTTCTTTCAGCATGACGAGACATTAAGTTGGTCGAGGCTAGACAAAGGGACAGAGCCGACACGGGTCTTCCCCTCGTCGACATCTCGATTCTCTTTGCACGGCGTCCTTGACATCACATTCCGCAACTCAAGGAGATGAACTCATTCCCTATAAGACCGTGGGAGCAAAAGAAGTTAAGTAATATATTCACAGATAAAACAGAAGAGGAAGAAAGGACAGCTCAATCATGAAAGGAGTCCATTTACTTTTCAAATTTTTCCCGCCATGTAATTTTCGGGGTTTCCTTGACCTCCTACCTTACTTCGGACAGAGAGGAGAAAAGGAAAAAAAAAAGAAAGAAAAATAAGAAAAGAATCCATATCGAATCCCCGACAATGAAATCAAAAGAAAACGGTATTCCTACAATCCAGCCCCGTCGGTTCTAAATAATGTGTGTGCAGCATAAGAGAAACATAAGGCGGCGCTCCTCGGAAACAAGACAAAACAAATCGAACACCGCCCACCATATTAACAATGCCGAAAGTGGGAAAATCTTTATTCTGGAATGGAACGTCTTTTTTTCATTTCATTATCATCATCTCCGGAGGGGTAGGGCATCATCAAGACATTTCAGCACCTGGGGGTTTCACTAATGTTAGCATAATGATTCTTTAATCGGAAACGGCAAGGACGGGAATGGTGGTTGGGGGAAAGACCAACATTTTCTCCCCAGACATCCTGGTTGGCCAAATACCGGCCCATACCGCGAACAAGCTCAATCTGCTCGTCGACCGTAAGGCCCGTAATGGCCATCTCCATAACATTGCCCAGCTTGACCTTGTGCACGGAAATAAAAGTGTGGTAATACATAAAGGCGAAGAAACCCATGATGAACTGGCAATCCATGCGGTCTGTCATGCCGCCGTGGCCGGGGATGGACTGGCCAAAGTCCTTGATCTTGAAGGTGCGCTTGAGGCCTGAGGCGAAGAATCCGCCGAAGGGGGCGATGAGGGAGGCGAAGGTGGCGAGGACGAGGGTGTGGAACTGCATCGGCGCAACGGTGATGGAGAAGGTCGTGTCTTCCTTGAGGAAGAAGTACTGCGGGAGCTTGTACGTCTTGGGGATGAAGACGGGGTTAGGCGTGCACTCTAGGCCGGTGAAGATGTTGGCACCAAGGTTCTATAGAGTTTCGACTGGTTAGCGGGGATGCGGTGGGCAAGCACGGGGACAGTCGCATTCGGGTGCGACTTACAGTAACGGGGCAGATAAAGTAGCTGGAGCGTAGCAGGAGAGACGTGAGAATGATGCCGAAGAAGATAGTCATAACCCAGGCGCCGATGAAACCCTCGACCGTCTTCTTGGGAGACAGCTTAATTAGTTGTGTCCTGCCGAAGGTGATACCACAAATATAGGCCCAGATGTCGTTGGTGATGACGAGAGCGGCAGGGAGGAAGAACCAGATGAGGCCCTCAAAGATATTGTTCATGATGAAGTGCGCCTCCACGACGATGAGGTAGAGCGCCATGTGGGTCCAGGCAAACTGGGTGAACTGGAACTTGTAGTTGCCCGCTTGAAGCGAGGCGACGAAGAAGACGAAACCTGTGTAGTGAGTTAGGAAAACCAGTTCAAGAAGCGCAGCGCAAGGCGGCACGAGTGGATTGGGAGAGGTCAAAGACTAGGGTCGTAAGACATACCAAAGACATAGAGAATGAAGGAAATGAAGCGATGGTGCGTCGCCAACGGCAAGAGAATCTTGTCAACCAGGACAATATGCTTGAAGTAGTATATCACAGTCTCTCCATACAAAAAGTACATGGTCGTAGCGAGCCAATACCAGTTGAGGCTCTTTGTCGATCGCAACTGTCGCGCCTTGCTTGGGATGCTGGCGATGGCAATGACTTCGCTAAAGGAGATGATCTGGATGGCGGTGATGATGGCGATGATGTAGATGTGGCCCATGAAGAGGGCGGAGAAGAAGCCGGCCATCATGACGAAGGTCCAAAAGGTCCTCGTCAAGAAGTTGGCCTTTTTCTTGTTGTACTCGGCTTCCTTTTCGGCCGGCGTGGGCTCGGGCGCGGGCTTCTGTTGTTCCATCTCGAGGTTAGCTAGCTGTCTGTATCCCCTCTCTCCAGGTCCAAAGAAAATGCAATGATAGACCCCCCCAGAGGCTCCGTTTTCCACAGTTCAATGCGGGCCTATCTGGCCAGTATTTGATTGATATTCGAGGAATATTCAGAACTGTTGAAGCGCGGAGCCAGCTGGGGTTTTGGGGGGAAGGGGAAAAAAAGCAACGGACCTCGTCAACATGGTTTAGCTGTGTCCCAGATTTTGACCGCACAGGGGAGCCGGTGTCACTGACATCACTGAAGCTCGAGCGCCGACCGTCGCCATTTGTAGTTCTATGGGGGAACTTGACCCCCCGCCTTCCTCTGGCCATGATGAATGCTTGTGATGCGGGCTGCGCGTGTCGAGTGAGGGTTGAGGTTGGAGGTGAGAGACGCTGAAGATGAAGAGTCGTCGTCGTTGGCGGCGGATCCGTCGGAAGGAAGGAAGCTGGGCAGCTGAAATAAAATGGTCAAAACAGGGGTTTTGTTAGGACCAAGCTGTCAGGGCTGCAAGGCAATCTCGAATCTTCGGAGTCCGAATGGCCGGCTTTCGTTGACAGTTAAGGCCGGAGCAATTGGGCCATGGAAAAGTTCGTCGAGTGATCGTCGTCGTCGGGGTTAGGCAACGTGGGTGGATGACGAAGATTCGGCAGATGGGCGTCCTCTTGGAAATAAATTCGAAATTCGACAGCAGAAGGCCGAAAACCCAAGCTCAAACTGGACACAGGACCAGGACCCAAGCTGGATTTGGATTGGGTGGCTTCGACCTGGGCTTAAGCTTCGGGTTTTTGGTTGAGCGCGAGTGCGGATGAAAAACTGGTCCGACGTCAGGCTTGGCGCGACTTCCCCCCTTGGATAGCCCTGAGAATCAGCGAGCAACTGTGAGCAGTTGAGACGCCTGGCAGCTCCGTTTCATGGCCACGTTTTACCAGATTAAATAAGTAGAAGCAGTTGACATGATGTATTTATATTCATTATATTTTGTGGTAATTTTTTGTATTTTTATTTATTTTAACAATATTTTCGTGATAATTTTGCTACGAGGTGGTCTTCATGAACGACAAAAAAATTGTCTGAATTTCACATGAAAATGGGACTGCTGGATTTCCCCAAGCCCCTGGACGAAGATTAACTAATCCAATTTAGTCATGCACCAAACCCAACAATTTTATCGGTCTTTAGAGGTGCCCCACAGTTGGTATGTATCCATGTACCTTGTACATTGTACACGTACCAACAACACGTCAAAATCGCGGATGCAACTTCGAACTTGTTGTTAATACGCGTATCACCAAACCCACCTCTTCCAGCTGCATCCAGACACCCATTCGGGATATGGTTGCCAAGTCCAATGGACCCTTCCATCCTACACTTACCACCCAGCCACAATGGGAGAGTACTCCGATGATGATCTCGACGACCTGCCCGAGAGCGTCTTCCAGGAATTGGAGAACAATGCCATCGCATTGACCCAGAGGCAGCAGCAAGACCAACAACAGCAGCAGTGGCAGCAACAGGGGCGACATGTACCTGTCAAACAGCCCCCCCGCCAGCCAGCCCTACCCCACGCGGGCCGGACTTTGGATGGTCACGCCCTCGGCGACGATGTCTTCGAGCTTGATGATGTCGAAATTCTGAACGGTTCTGCCGCTGCGAACATGCCTCGACCACCCATCGTTCGACCAGCAGCTCCACCCCAAGTCCGACGAACAAACACCTATGCTTCTAGACCTAGCTCCCAGCACAGCCAACAACAATGGAACCGAGATCCGGGCCAAGATACACTCCAAGGCAACATGACAAGACCCGGCCTGGCCCCCGTCATGGCCTCGCAGCGATTCCAACCGCCGGTCATGGCTCCGAACCGAGCCCCGCCGAGCCAGTTCCCTCGAGGCTTCGCTCCACCTCCCCCGCGATACGCGCCCTCTCAGTCCCAAGCCGGCGCCCTCCACCCGAATGCCATATCGGCTCTCGAACTACGAGTCCGCACCCTCGAAAGAGAACTGAATGTAGCGAAGGGCGAAGCGGCAATCTTGCGCTCCAACTCCACCAAGGCTCAGCAAGCCCACGATGCCGAAATCGCGAGACTCAAAAAGCAGACGGCCGAGAAGATGGCCTCGCAGGAAAGGGCCGTGCAGCAAGCGCTCGAGGCGAAGCGGCAGGCGGCCACGGAGCTGCAGTTTCTCCAGCGAGATATGCAAGAAGTCACGAACCGGGCCAGGCGAAAGGAGCCGGGTGTTGCCACGACCCCGAAGAAGTCCACTAGGAACTGGGGCGTAGCGGACGGGTTTGATGGTATGGATTTGGTTCCGAGCCCGAGCAAGTCGAAGTCGGCGGTGGCCATGGCTGCGCTGTCGGAACGGACTCCGACTAAGGGGAAGAGGAAACGTCCGGCGGCGGACAGCCCTGTGCCGCCACTCGATACGCATACCACCGATGATATTGTTATGCTTGACGATGGCGTCGAAGTGGGCTCTGTTCCCGCGTCATCTGCTAGGCCTGTGCTGGTGACTTCGATACCCTCTTCGTCTACTGCTTCCATCAACGCTCTTCCTTTTGATGTATGCTTCCATCTACCTAAGTCTCGTTGGGAATAATTTCACTAACACTGCGGTAGTTTCTTCCCCTTATCCTGGACCATGCATCGGCCCACGATCAGCCCCCAACTTTTGATAGCCTGTCTAAATATTTCTTCCCCTCCGATCCCAACACCTCCTTCCTGTCCATCATCTTCCAATCACTACCTACGAAATCTGATCCTAGCGATCCTATGAAGTTCCCCACCGACTTTTCGTCTCTCATCATCGATCTATGGGTGCGTTGTGTAGAGGAAGGCTTTGTCGCACCGATCGGAGAGCTCGTTTCGCTACTCTCGTTCATCCTTCAATTACATTCCGTCTCCCTCGTCCCCAGGCTTCTCGACAAACTTCTCTCCATTGCGCAGGCGACTCTTTTCGTCCTTGGAGACCTACGCACGCAAACCTCCGACGCGACTCCCGAGGTTGAACTCGCAGAGTCGAGTGCTGATTCTACGTTTACAGCCACCATTTCATTACTTAGTCTATCCGCTCTCATTAGTGCGACAAGCATCGATGGAATCGACGACGATTCGAACCTACGAATTACTTTCTGGAAAGGCATCGCCTTGGACACCGTTACTCACATCCTTAACCCCAAGCAACCCCTCTACGACATCGTCGGCATGCTGGATATGCTCAGCACATCCGTTCTCCCGAGCAGCGTCGGCCCCATCGCGGTGGATAAGGAACCGCCTGCGGTAGCCGCCGCTATCCTCGACAAGCTCTCAAAGCTGCTCGTGCATCCTCCCCTACACGCTAAATCTCCCGCGCAGCGACATGCCATTACGCAACTGATTCTTCGGACGCTTCTTTCCTTTACAGCTTCGGACTTTGGTCTGCAGCAATTGGCGGTTCACGACAATGTTGTTCTGAGGCTCGTGGCGGCGCTTTCAAAGTCTGTCGATGAGCTATATGATCAGGACCTTTCGCAGGATGTCCTGTCGCTGTCGAAGCTCCGCATCCGCGATGCTACCGACAAGGCACCCACGGTTGATGATGCCCTTGCTGCGTCTGACATGGACACCAACGTCTCTGGTCTTTGTAAAGTGATATCGCTAGGAATCATGCTCCTTCACATTCTTGTCACGGATCCCAGAACTGCGGAAATTATCGGGCTCGAAGACAAGTTTGAGCTGTGGCGCGCGGGTAGGCATAAATATCTTATTATGCTCTGCCGGCTGAATTTCGCGGAAGATGACCTGGTGCTCGAGGCGGGCGTCGATACTGAGACGGCGGAGAGGGCGCACGAGTTGCTTGAGGCGCTTGTGACGCCGGATAAGGGGAAGGATATCGGGGAGGCATTTGGGAGTCCGGAAGAGTAAATTGGACTATGAACGTGGATGGATTCTTTTTTTCTATGTTGGAGTAGCTCTATTTTTGGAGAGTTGGCTGAACGGTCGGAGTTTGGGATTCCGTTTTGTCTTATTCTTTTCTTGTATGAGATGACATGAACCTGTATGAGCATTATTGGGCTGGGTGCATTAGACGGCGTCACTCAGATATTGATGGAACACAGAAACACAGAATAGGATTCGAATTCTTGCATTGCACACTATTTCCGGACCGTTTCCCCTTGTGACATGATGCTGTCCTCTCTTTGGCGATTCCGTGGTGAAGTGCGGATCTCGGTGTCCTTGAACCACAGCCACGTGGCTTCCGGACGGCTGGAAGACTATGGTCTGACGTCTGAAGAGACCGGAACCATTCTGGAGGATTGGTTCGGCAAAGGTGTCGAGCCGACCTCCATAAATATAAGCTCAATACGATCATTACCACCCCCCAGTCGGAGTCGGGCTAATATTACGACCCTCCCCAAATAAGATATATATCAATTGATGTTTGTCCGTCCCAACTTCGCCTCTCAACGCCCTACCCCAAAAATCAACTTTCAATTCTTGCGGCACTTAAATATCAGCAACTGATCAAACGCCATCAGCATCGGCAATGGGTGACCAAGACGAACTCGCCTTCAAATCCTTCAACGAAGACAAGGCCGAAACAATCGTCCTCCTCCACGGCGTGCTTTCCTGCCACCTCGAATACCAATACGTCATCCCTTACCTCTCTTCCTACCATGTCATCGCGGTCGATCTCAACGGCCACTCCGGCTCCCGCAACATCCTCCCCGTCACGCCAGCCGCCAGCGCCGCGAACGTCGCGGCGCTGATTAAAAAGCACGCGCACGGCGGGAAAGCCCACGTCGTCGGGTTATCCTTTGGGGGATTCACCGCGCTGAAAGTCGCGCAGCTGTACCCTGACCAAGTACGCTCCCTTTTCGTGACGGGGGCGGCGCCATTTGAAGGACTGTTCAAGTGGATGGCGGAAAGGCCTGGGTTTGTCTGGTTTATTATGAAGTTGTCGGTGGGGTGGATTCCGGACTGGTTGTATTGGAAGCTGGGGAGTTGGAGGGGGCTTAAGAGGCATGAGGATTTGTATGCGGAGATGAAGGGGAATATGGTTTGGGAGAATATCAAGAGTGCCTATACGGGGATCTTGACAGACTTAACGTGGGAGGATGTCAAGCAGATTCGCGTAAGGACTGTGACCGTGGCTGGGGGATTGGATGACGACGTGCCTTGTACGGCGAGGATGGGTAAGCTGCTGCCCGTTGAAGGGTCGAAGGGTGTGATTGTGAAGAAGGCGGTGCATTCTTGGGATCTTCAGTTTCCGGAGCTGTTTTCGAAGGGGGTGTTGGCGTGGGTGGCGGGCGAGGAGTTACCTGCGGAGTTTGAGCCGCTGGAATCTAAGACTTGAGAGATGAGATGTTGGATTGCTGGGATGGGGATCGAAGGACCTCGGTGATTGTTTTCTTTTGTGTTCTTGTTCTATACCCATCTGTCTCTACTCTATGTGTCACTAGTCTTGCTCTGCTCTGTGCATCTCATCCCTTTCTTTCAGGTTCGTTTCTTCTACCCACCCTCAGATTGTTCTATGCATGCCACATGTTTTGATTTGCTCTACACAATGCGAAGTAGGGACTGTGAATTAAAGCATGAAGTCTAGCACTACTTCAAAAGTTATGTGGATTTGTCCACCATCCTGGGGATGGCAACGGCAGTAGCCATTGGACTCTTCTACGAGAGTCTGCTCTCCCAAAGACTAGGAAGTTCGCAATGGCAACAGTTTCAACGCCTCAGATCACAACCACCTCATCTTGGTGATTCGCCTTGAACCTTCCCCCTAAACCCAAGACCGTGAGTGTTTATCCTATTGCTCTTTGATCCCTGCTAAACTCAAAAGCTCCCACTTCCTTCCTTCTCCTAAGAGCATTTCACCCAAGCCCATCGAGTCTTTTCCCTTTAGGCCCTTGGCCTCGAACCCGGATCACGATTGAGAAAGTGGATTCAAATATCAATCCACTACCGCTTCTTCTTTCAGCTGAAAAGTACGACGGCTCCATTTCGAACTGCCCAAGTATCTCCTCTCGTTCTCCGAGGCCTGCGACCACGGCGAATAGCTCTTAGGACTGATTCCGTTTCCTCTGGCCCGCCGTTTATTCCAAAATGGCTCCCATAAGCAACAAGGTGGTCATGGTCGCCATCTATCCCGACTTGAGCAAGAAGCAACTCGATGGAGACATGGTCAATCGCCGCATCAACGACTTCATCGACGCCATCAGAAAGGTGTGTGCCGAGCATGGAGTATACCGAAATCAAGGATACATCCCCCATCGCTAACTGTAGTGTGTCTGGCGTTCCTAGGACGCCATGATCATCATCGACCGCAAGTCAAGCACTCGCTGGTGTATGTGCGCTGATCTTCGCAACAAATGCGAATGCAAGAAGAAGAAAAAGGGCCAGTCCTGTTGTTCGAAGATCATCTGTGAGCCGTGTAAGGCCATCGCCCGTACGTCCCTGCTTCTCCACCTCCCATCTTACCTGAACTGTTCGTCTTCCATTTTGATGAACAATTTGTTCTAATAATATCATCTCCCTTTTCCACTCAACAGGCATCAATCCCGACGAGTACTGCCGAAAACTCACCGAAATCTACATCCGCCACACCAAGCGCCTACAAATGCTCGAAGCCAAATTCACCCGCTTCTACAGCATGTCCTCCATCCAAGAAGAGTTCGCCGTAGCCACAAAGCGCCCCGCCAGCATGTTCCGCAGGATCTGGCGCCACCGCGGCGACTGTCCCAACGACTGCCGGGGCCTCCTTCACCTCTGGTGCGGCCACAAGAAGCCGTGGACGACCCTGCCGAGCCTTGAAACTTTTCTTAAGTACAAGTTGATGCACCAGGGCGCCGAGACGGATAAGGCTTGGAAGCTGTTCAAGGAGGAGTTGGTGAGGAGTCGGTTGTTTGAGGGGATTTATATGGATTTGCCTCCGGTTGGACAGGATGCGTGGGAGCAGGGCAAGAGCGAGAGCGAGAGCATGGTTGCGCAGTTGGGTGAGCCTATGACGCAGGCTGATCCTGAGCCTGGTGACGAGACAACTTCCGAGGGTGAGGAGAAGGAGGATGAGAACTGGATCTGAGGCGGGCCGACCAACACATCGTGAGAATCATCCACTTTTAGGTTAGATGGAGGTCGCCGTTAATCCATTCAAACGCAGCCATCGATAATTTCCTAAATTACTTGAGATTGTTAGTTGGATTTACGCGACTCCTGGGGAGCGTCCGACTTGGTGATCTTTGGCTGAAGAAGAGAGAAATTCGAGGTACCTGGGTACTTTCAGATTCCAAGATGTGGTTATCATTTTAGCGGTTGACAGCTTATGCAATCTTTCCAACTAAACAATGTACTTATCTAACCGAGTGCGGCGTACCGGGTGAATGACGGAACCCGAAAGACTGGAAAAGCCAATCGAAACCTGGACTTGATCCCTGCAGTGGTGTGCTCAGTGCTGAAGTGCTCCAGACAATTCGGAAGGTTGCACTATCTTTCACGACCTCCTAAAAATCCATCGACTTCTTAGGAAAATCCACCCTAGTCGCCAGGCTTCTCCTGCCACGTTGGCGACATCATCACTTTTTTCCCTTTCTGTTGCCCCTCAACAGTTTTCTTCTTCCCTCCCCATCCCTTCTTATCGCAGACCCTGAATCTGTCTAGGGATGCCACTTCTTCACCCTTTTTTCCAATTTATAATTTAATTCCATTGGAAATTTCTAACCCTCTCCAGGTGCCCATTTCGCCTGCCGCGGAGCCATCGTCCATCATCGTCCGCGTCCCGTGGCAGCCGCCAATATGGCGCTTGTCGAGAACCCCCAGATCAAGTCGGCGGAGCTCCTGAAGCCCCTGCCGCAGCACTTTCACGCCTACGTCTGGCCTTTCACATTGATATGGCCAATCTTCCTACGGTACTACCTCACGCCCTCGCTGTACGAGAAGCATATCGGATCGTCTGAATGGACCTACGTGTGGTGCGGGTCCATCGTCACGCTCCAGGCACTCGCCTGGCTTAGCACCAACTGGAGCGTCAACCTGAAGGCGAGGTTCACTGCGTCGCGAGTAAAATCCATCCAAGATGCGCAGCTTATCAAGGTCATCCCCGCCGCGAACGCCGGCGCCGCCGATATCTGCACCCTGATTCGGGAAAAGGTGTGTGCGCACTTGCTTGCTCTTCTTTTTTTGTTGCTCCTCGTTTCCAACGCGATTTCATCTTCTAACGTGCCTTTCCCCCTGAATAGGTCGGAGACAAGACCAACGTGTCCTTCCTCTTCCAGAAGCGCCGGTTCCTCTACGACGAAAGTCGCAAAACCTTCAGCACCCTCGACTACGCCATTGACGCCGACCCCAAACCCGCCATCGGCGATTTCCAAAAGTCGAGAGGCATCACGAGCAAGGCCGAATTGACGCGCATCGAGCAGCACTACGGAACCAACACCTTCGACATTCCCGTCCCCACCTTCACCGAGCTGTTCCGCGAACACGCCGTCGCGCCCTTCTTCGTCTTCCAGGTCTTCTGTGTCGGTCTGTGGATGCTCGACGAATACTGGTACTACTCGCTCTTCACCCTCTTCATGTTGGTCGCCTTCGAAAGCACTGTTGTCTGGCAGCGCCAGCGGACCATGAACGAGTTCCGAGGCATGAGCATCAAGCCGTACGACATGTGGGTTTTCAGATTGGGCAAGTGGACCGAGATCCAGAGTGACAAGCTTCTCCCTGGAGATCTCGTCTCTGTCGGCCGTACCAAGGATGACTCTGGTGTCGCTTGCGATATGCTTCTTGTTGAAGGAACTGCCATCGTCAACGAGGCTATGCTTTCCGGTGAAAGCACCCCTCTTCTTAAGGATTCCATCCAGCTTCGTCCCAGCAATGTCCCTATCGACCCCGAGGGTTTGGACAAGAATGCCTTCCTATGGGGTGGCACCAAGATTCTCCAGGTCACTCACGGTAACCCCGACGAAGAGAAACCCAAGCTTGCATCTGGCGTCCCTGCCCCTCCCGATGGCGGTGCCATGGCTCTCGTCATGAAGACCGGTTTCGAGACATCCCAGGGAAGCCTTGTCCGCACCATGATCTACTCCACCGAGCGCGTTTCTGCCAATAACTTCGAGGCCCTCTTGTTCATTCTCTTCCTCCTTGTCTTCGCCATCGCCGCCTCTTGGTACGTGTGGGACGAGGGTGTCAAGAAGGATAGGAAACGATCCAAGCTTCTCCTCGACTGCGTCATCATTGTCACCAGCGTCGTTCCCCCCGAATTGCCCATGGAGCTCAGCCTTGCCGTCAATACCAGTCTTGCAGCTCTCGCCAAGCTGGCCATTTTCTGTACCGAGCCTTTCCGCATTCCATTCGGTGGTCGCATTGACGTTGCCTGCTTTGATAAGACTGGTACCCTGACTGGTGAAGACCTCGTCGTCGAGGGTATTGCTGGACTTGGCCTTACCCACCCGCACCTCTCTGGCACCAGCACCCCCCAGGCTTCTGACGGCGCCCACACTCGCATGATGGCCGTCAAGGATGTTAACTTGGACACCACTCTTGTTCTCGCCACCGCCCATGCTCTTGTCCGCCTCGACCAGGGAGAGATTGTCGGTGACCCCATGGAGAAGGCTACCCTCGCTTCCCTCGGATGGACCCTGGGTAAGAATGACATCCTCGTCAGCAAGCCCGCCAAGGGCGCCTCCACTCCATCTTCGTTCATTACAGGTACCGTCCAGATCAAGCGCCGCTTCCAATTCTCGTCCGCCCTCAAGAGGCAGAGTGCCGTCGCCAGCGTCGTCGGTGTCGATTCGAGGACTGGCCACAAGATGCGAGGAACTTTTGCGGGCGTTAAGGGTGCGCCCGAGACCATCGTGAAGATGTTGACGAACGTTCCCGAAGACTACGAAGAGACCTTCAAGTACTTTACTCGCAAGGGATCCCGCGTTCTTGCCCTAGCTTACAAGATGCTTGCTGTCGATAACGAACTCGGTGCTGGAAGGATCAACGACCTCAAGCGTGAGAACGTTGAGGCCGATCTCACTTTCGCCGGTTTCCTTGTTCTCCACTGTCCCCTCAAGGAGGATGCCAAGGAGGCCGTCCGCATGCTCAATGAGAGCAGCCACCGTGTCGTCATGATTACCGGAGATAACCCTCTTACCGCCGTTCACGTCGCTCGCGAAGTAGAAATTGTCGACCGTGATGTACTCATCCTCGATGTCCCTGAAGAGAAGGGCCATCAGCTCGTTTGGCATAGCGTCGATGACAAAATTTGCATCCCCGTTGACCCCGCTCACCCTATCGATCCCGAGATTCTCAAGAACAATGATCTTTGTGTTACCGGATATGCTCTCAGCCTGTTTAAGGGACAGCCTGCTTGGAAGTCCATCCTCCGCTACACCTGGGTCTACGCTCGTGTCTCGCCCAAGCAGAAGGAAGATATCCTCCTCGGTCTCAAGGATATGGGTTACTACACTTTAATGGCTGGCGACGGCACCAACGACGTCGGTGCTCTCAAGCAAGCCCACATTGGTATCGCACTCCTCAACGGTACTCAGGACGATCTCCAGAAGATTGCCGAGCACAGCCGAAACGCCCGCATGAAGGACGTATACCAGAAGCAGGTCGACCTCATGAAGCGATTCAACCAACCCACTCCCCCGGTCCCTGCCATGATCGCCCATCTGTACCCCCCTGGTCCCACGAACCCCCACTATGAAAAGGCCATGGAGCGCGAGGCGCAGAGGAAGGGAGTCACTGTTGAGGAGCTCGCCAGGGCAAACGGCACCGCTAATAACGCCATCGAGACCGTCACGAGCCCCGGTGCCCAACGCCTCTTGCAGAACCAGAACCAGACCCCCGCCGACGCTCGAAAGGCCGAGGCCGCGCAGAAAGCTGCCGGCTTCGCCGAGAAGCTCACCTCAGGCATGTTGGAGGCCGAGCTCGGTGATGACGAGCCGCCGACGCTCAAGCTGGGCGATGCCTCCGTGGCCGCCCCGTTCACGTCCAAGCTCCGTAACGTTATCGCCGTCCCCAACATCATCCGCCAGGGTCGTTGCACGCTCGTCGCCACGATCCAGATGTACAAGATTCTCGCCTTGAACTGTCTCATTAGCGCCTACTCCCTCAGTGTTCTGTACCTCGAGGGTATCAAGTTTGGTGACGGGCAGTATACCATTAGCGGTATTCTCATGAGCGTGTGCTTTTTGTCGATTTCTCGCGCTCGCACCGTCGAGGGTTTGTCGAAAGAGAGACCGCAACCGAACATTTTCAACTTTTATATCATCGGATCGATTCTCGGACAGTTTGCCGTTCACATTGTCACTCTTATTTACATTGCCCAACTCTGTGACAGACTCGAGCCGTAAGTTTTTTTTTTCCCTTCCACATTTCAGTTCCTTTTCTACTGGAGCCTATACTAACTTGTGTTCTCTCTCTCAGCCGCTCCGGCGAAGTCGACCTTGAAGCAGAATTTTCCCCCTCCCTCCTCAACTCCGCCATCTACCTCCTCCAACTAATCCAGCAAATTTCCACCTTCGCCGTAAACTACCAAGGCCGGCCCTTCCGAGAATCCCTCTCGGAGAACCGCGCCATGTTCTACGGCATCGTCGGCGTCACTGGCCTCGCCTTCGCCTGCTCCCTCGAGCTCGTCCCGGAGATCAACGAGCAGATGAAGCTCGTGCCTTTCACCAATGAATTCAAGCAGACCATGACGGGCGTCATGATGCTCGATTTCGCGGCCTGCTACGTCATCGAGGTGGTTCTCAAGCGCCTGTTTTCGGATTACCGCCCCCGGGATATCGCTGTGCGGAGGCCCGAGCAGCTCGAGAGGGAAGAGAAGAGGAAGGAGGAGGAGAGGAAGGTGAAGGAGGCTGAAGAGGAGAAGGCGAGGATGGCGCAGGTGGAGGAGTTTGAGAGGAGGTTGGCGGAGAGGACGGCAAGACTTAGGGCAGTTCGGGAAGGGGCGAGGTGATTCCTTGTGAGATGGTGTTTTTCTTAAGTTCTAGAGGATTGTTGGGAATCGGAGATGTGATAGAAGATACAACTTTTTAATCTTGTGTTTCTAATTTGGAACTTTCACGGGAATGGCGGAGTACGAAATCATTCATGAAGGATGGATGCATGTCGGGCAGAGGCTGGATAGACAGACAGCATGGATGGACGGAGGGTCGGAGCATCTTTGGTATTTCCTTGACTTGTACCATCACTGAGTAAAACAATGATTTTTTACAACAAATTCGCACAAATCACGAACACGTCTCAACATCGGGATGAGTTTCTGAACAGACGAAATTCAAATTCTATGGTACAACTCGTCGCCCTCAAGGGACGGCAAGAAAACTAAAGGGTAGAAACACCGGGGCGGGTCGATGGAGAAAGCCAAACGAACCGAACGACATAAAACCAGCAGCCTGTCCGAGATTCCACACCTCTTTTTGTGACTCCACAACACTTTTTTTCTTTTTGTTCTTTCGGTCCCGTCGAAGAGGTGGAGGTGTTGAAGCTCAACTTTCCTCCACTCTTTGCCCTCCCCCTTACGGTTGGCCGGGGGGCTTGACAGGTTCACATTGACATCAGGGGGACAAGATTCTCCCGGCCAAGTTTTAGCACTCAGTGCGAGCGAGACAAGGGAAATTGCGACGCTTATTTCTTGTTGGCGAACTCAACACCCTTGGCGATGTTGGTCTTGAGGTCACCGAAGCAGGCCTCGAGGAGACCCTTCTCGGTGGCATCGACCTCACCGACGGGGAAGATCTTCTCAACACCGTTGGGGCCGAGCTCGACCTTGGAGGAGAAGAACTCGATGCCCTGGTCCTTGTAGAGAGGAGAGTCGACGAAGGTAGGCTCGATGACGCCCTTCTCGCCATCAGCGGCACGGAGGACGGAGTCAGCGAAGCGGGCACCAGCCATGGCCATGGAGAGGGTAGCGGAGCCAGCACCATCCTTAGCCTTGACGACCTCGTCACCACCGAACTGGACACGGTGGACGAGCTCAGCGTTAGAAGAGAGGTCGGGGTGGTTGCTCTGCGAGAAGAGAGGAACGATGGTGTGGCCAGAGTGACCGCCAACGACGGTGATGTTCTCATCCTTGGGGTTAGTGCCCTTGATCTCGGAGACGAAGCGCGAAGCACGAACGACGTCGAGGGTGGTGACGCCGAAGAGGCGCAGGGGGTTGTAGACGCCCTTGGACTTGAAGACTTCGGCGCAGATGGGGACGGTGCTGTTGACGGGGTTGCTGATGATGAGGAGGTTGGCGTCGGGGCAGTGCTCGGCGCAGGCGGTGGCCAGGTCGCGGACGATGGAGGCGTTGGTGTTGAAGAGGTCGTCGCGGGTCATGCCGGGCTTGCGGGGGACACCGGCGGGGATGAGGACGACCTTGGCGCCCTTGAGAGCATCGGCGAGGCCGGAGCCGGAGGTATCGTAGCCCTTGACGGTGCTCTTGGTGTTGACGTGGGAGACATCAGCGGCGACACCTGGAGAGGAGAAGAGAAAATTGTTAGCCTTCGAGCTCAATGGCAATTGGAATCGAGGAATCTCGGGTTAGGACATACCGGGAGCTCCACGGATATCGTAGAGGGCGAGCTCGGTAACCTTGGGGTTGAGCTTCAGGAGGAGGGAGAGAGGCTGGCCAATACCACCGGCAGCACCGAGGACGGCAACCTTGGAGAGCTAGAAAGGGGCAAGGAACAGGTTAGCAGAGGCTCAAAGATGGCAATTGATGCCTTCACAAAGTAGAAGCAATAGTCAGGGGAATTGGCTGCACGATGGCAGCAGCAGGGGCTCAATTGCGGTAGGGAACGGATGAAAGGAATGAGGGTAAATGCGTACATTCCTCGCGGTGGAGGAGAAAGCTCGTCGTTGAATACCAGCGAGGCCGAACATTTTGAAGATGTGGGTATAATGGAAGAGATTAAAAAAAGAAAAATCAAACTAGACAACAAAAAGAGACTGGAATCTCGTCAAGTTCGTGAAGGCTGTGGTGAGTGGAGATGGAGTGGTTGAAAGAGATGTGGAGAGGAAGAAAGAGAGGAAAAGGGAAGAAAGAGGTCCAGGAACAGAGACTGAGGCTACAAAAGGAAAATATTTTCCCGCCTCCAACTCAGTTCATGGTGGCAGGTTGCGCCTGCCAGTTGGTGTAGCCCGCCTGTTGCTACAGTACCTACAAGTAGCGAGGTACACTTTTTTGTTAGTGGCCTCGGGGAAAAACCGGCGCCTTCGCTAAACTTTCAGGCGCTCCACTGCCAGGCAATTAAGCGGTGGACCTGCCCTGGTCTAGTGCGACAACTGTCCAAAGTTAGAGCATTAGAGTGCCGTAAAGATACACATCTCTCAGATACATTCAATACGAAGTCCTTCGTGTGCGCAAGCACTCTGAGCGGATACCTGAGGACTGGGCGAGATTCGGCGTTTCTAGGGAGTTCGGGGTCCAGTTTAACCCGAAGCCTGCCGGACCGGTGCAGGTGCATTACGAGATTGATGGCAGCTACCGACAGCTACCGACAGCTACCGACAGCTTTCTGGCAGTGGCAAGGCGCGAAGCACCGAATTCGGCTTGGCGTGGGGTGCGGCTCAACACAGTATTGATGTATCATTTAACACTATATTTTCCACTGTGTCTTGTGATGTCACCCAGAAAATCCCTCATCGAGCTCGAAGCAGGAGCAACCAGCCAATCTGAGGGTATCCCAACTCTCGAACTGCAGCTGTTTGTCGATATGCTCGCTAAGAGAAAAGGTGTAAGCTGCATTCCTGGCGCAGTAATGACTTCCTGGGGGTTGCATTGATCGCTTTTTGAGCTGCAACAGGACGTCCGTGTCCTTCCCAGCTTCTGGTCGAAAATGCACCATCGAGACCTCGGCGTCGGGACAGTTCGCAAAAATGCTCATGCACGAGTCTCCGGCCTTCCCGTTCGGCCGCCGCATCCGAACTTCTAGGTCCGCTCACCCGGCACGAACATGCCCGACTAAGAAACCAGGAGAACCCGCAGAACTCTCACATATCAGACACATTGCCCCGCCGAGATGAGATGAAGAGGTGATTCTGGGTCTTTTTCCAAGGAGTCTCAAATATGCGATCCCAAGGGGACCAGCGATGACCCACGCTGTCCCAGCTCGAGCTTCCACGCCACTTCTCCCTTGTCCTAGCAACTGCTGCGTGTCAGTAACCAGCCTCAAATTCTTGGACTCGTCTCCGGCTCGATTCGACGGAAGGAAATAGCCTTTGGAGTCCCTTCGCGGTCTCCGAACCATCTGATGTCTCATTCGGAGCACGAATCATCGGACCACGTGCTTGCCGGCAAGGAACCTACCAAGTAGTGTAAACTAGATCAACGGAGCATTCAACCTGTCCCAATGCCGGCTCCACATTTCCGTCTCTAGCCACGGCCTTGACCTGACGATCCTGGCAAGCGATGACGTATATTGGCCTCCGACCCGTATTGGCCGTTTTTGTCTCTTATCCAGGTTGCGGCGTCGGTATCAGACTTCCAGGTCCTCAGCGGGGCTCTGTCCATCTTATCTTAACGCCTTTGCATGTCATCATAAGTTTCAAAGGTCATCGACAAGCCATCGGCCACTACCATCGAGCTATCTCGCTCTAGAAATGTGCACTTAACATGACATTCGCGCCGCCGCCGATCGGACCCACCTTGATAGGATTTCTTCCGCACTGGTGAGCTAGGATGGTCTTTCACAATACCGGCACTCTTTTGAAGCGTGTTGATGGCTTCTACTCAGCCGAGAGGATATCAGACTCACGAATTCGATACGACGGCCTTTTTTCCCCTAGGTATCCTGCTCGGGACGGCGTCGAATCGTATGGGGCATGAGACGGCCCATTATTGCCTAGGCGGCAAGCATTCATCACATACGGATGACGTTCTTCTTCCGTCGGTGTGAAGGTAGTTTAGAAAGCAACAGTCCGGGGCGCCACAAGGATATACTTCGGTGCTTCGGTACTCTCCCGTCGTTTGTTTGATGTCGGCGATGCCTCTGTTTCCAGGTCCGAGATCCGGCCTGGGACTGTCTGACTTCCGAGGCACCGCGGGCTACCACCGCGCATTCCGTAGACACGGGCTCGGACGCATACTTGTGATGTACCATTCAACCCTGATTACGAGCTGACCGTGTGGGGTTTCTCAGAGTCTTTTTCGTAAGAGATGATATTTATTCGTACTCCCGCAGATTCGATCTCCCCTGCTAGCCAATTTCTGTCCTCGTATATGCTTCACCTATGCAAACAAACCTCGACAAGAGTCTCGTATGTAGTTCCCTGGCGATTCCGGAGCCCAAGGATCTTCTTATCTCGGTGGCCAATCTGCTCGTTGGCGATTTGGCAAGGTCGGTCCCGATTGTCAAGAAAGACGCGAACTCGACATTGGAGACCCAGGTCTCGTCGGAGGTTCAATGATTGGTGATTTTCGTCGCAGAGTTGTCGGTCCTGTTGTCGGTTTAAATGCTGTTAGGGACCGATTTAAGCAGAGGAACCGTCTCTCTCGTTCCCTCTCGTCTTAGGTAGATAGCTGCCATCTCGAGATGACGAAGAGAGGCCACTCCCCGGGGCTGTTGACTAGTTCTGATTGATAGGGATATTTGCATGGGGTTCCACAGGCTTCTGTGATGAAACGACGATGTGTTATCTTCGGCCATGTACCGTCATAAAATCGCAAATCGGCCAGTACTTTCATTCAAGATATGGCTGACGGAAATGACATTTGGTCTCGCGCAACGATCAGCCCAGACCACTAAGCACCTGGACTTCAGGCCCAGATAATCCCGACGCTCGGGAAGTCCGGTGCCATCCCGATTTCAGTACGGACCCTTATTCAGCTTCATCTCCGATGCCTGCCTGCCGCGCTGGAAACTCCGCTGAGGTCAGAGTCTGATTGACCAGGGGAAACTGGATTGATAGGAGGCCCCACACACCCATGCCCATTTGCATAAAATAGCAAAAGATCAGAGTTTCGATATTAAACGTCAACTTGACTCCGTTTATTGAATCACCCTCTCTAAGAAGTCGAATCCTTCCCGCTGAGCCAACCAAGTCCTGGATCCAACCTTCATCTTAGCAGCAAATGTATGGCCTTCACCATCCACCGTAATCATGGAAGCCTTTACTCCCTTCCTCCCCAGCTCCTCGAACAGGTCCTTGCTCAGCTGTATGGGAACCATGACATCATCCGATCCATGAACGATAGCCGTGGGAGGGAAAGCCGGCGTGATATTCAGCAGCGGATCCACCTTTTTCCACTCCCTAGACGGGAAGATGGTATCGAACACGGCTCCCTCCTTGATCTGCTTAAAGGCAAATGCCTGGCGTGGGTCGTTGAAGTCAGGGGCTCCTGTGGGTGTGCTTTTCTGTCCCTCGAGGGAGACGACGCCCCGGATTGGTACGGGGGATTCTTCCCACATGGGCCTGAAAAAGGACTCGGGGACGTCTTGTGGGAGGGATGGGGCTACTTGGGGAAGGGGCGTCGTCCAGTGAGGATGGGAAAAGTTGCATGGACCGTACATGGAGTAGATCGCCGCCACCGGTTTGGGGACATCGAAACCCTGAAGAAGTTAGCGGGTCCGGTAACGTCGCTCCGGAACTTCCAGAGGCGATTGTGAAAGAGAAACTCCTTAGGGTTTTTGAAAGTTTCTGTAGATCTGGGGACACAACGTACCAAGCACAAAGCCAGTGTGCCTCCGGACGAGGTACCAAATGCAAGGATCCTATCTAGGTCAACTAGGTAAGGCGTTGTCGTCTGCCCTGCTATGGCTTTCTCTAGACCTCCGCTGTGTATCCAAGCAAGCAAGTCGCGGCAGTCTTGGATTGGCCCTTCCAGGAGGTTTACCTGGGGACAGAGCCTGTGGTTCGGCACGAGGACTATCCACCCTCTGTCGATACAGTCCCGGATCTGATCTTTATTGACTAGGTCCGAAGACCCAAGCATGAAAGCACCCCCGTGGATATCAATGACTTTTGAGAGCCGCAAAGCGTGTCAGCGATTTTTCAGCTTTTCGCCCTGGGGTAGTAGAAGAAGGATACTGTCTTACTTGCTGGATAACGAGCGCCGGGGTCGGTGCGGGCTGGCGGTAGATACACGTCCACATCAATCTCTTGGTGATCTAGCACCTTGTAAACTGCACGAAAAGAGGTTGGATTGGACATGGTTCATCCAACAGCGACGGCAACGATCAATGGGTTTGGGCAATCCGAGGTTTAGGGTTATCAGATCGGGATACCCTCAAGGAAGTTATGAAGTGTAGTAGAACCCGTCTCCCCCACAACCCGGCCGGGACCACCACAGACAAAAATGTAGATCTCCCTCGACCAGATCTTTGAAACTGTGGGAGAATGCGGGGAATGCATTCAGACAGCAAATCGGGAAGCGCCGGAAATCCCGACCGCCGTTCCGATTGTGCAACATCAACGCGGGCCGGATCGGTCGTCGGATTTCCCGATCGAAGCTCTGCTGCGTCATACGCACACTACACACACAAAGACGCACGTACAAAAACGCATCATGGGCTGATGTACAATAATCGAACGACTCGGTAGTTCGAGTCAGTAGAACGGAGACAAATCTAGAGTGGTTACACAACACCGAAACCGTTCATCACAATTCGGCTCGCGCTTTCGCGCCTCGGGACGGTGGGGGAGATTCAGAGGAGATAAATGTGAAGGATCCTTCCATGAGGAAATCATATCCAGGAGATATATTAATTTCAAATACAACAATTCTGAGCTTGTTGGTTGTAGGCCATCTTTTAGTTATACTCAGATCTTCAAGACTCATCTATCCCTGATTCCAAATTAGTCACGAGCCATAGCTCCATCGACAAAATGCCCATCCCCGTGCAAACCACCCCTCCCGATGCTAGGACGAACTACATCATCGATCAGCTCGAAGGTGAACGCATCTCCATCCCTGGCAGCAAGGGTGTTTTCCGCATCCTCGCCTCTGAGCAGCAAACTGGCGATGGCATGGCCGTCTTCCTGAGCGCCGCCGTCTTGTCCGATGCGCCGGGCTTCCACTGGCACGAGGAGGCACACGATGTCTTTCTCGTGAGCAAGGGTTTCTTGAAGCTTTGGAACGGGGATAAGTGTAGAATCATGGGGCCTGGAGATTTTGCCTACATCCCTCCTGTAAGTCTTTCTTGTTTGAACAAGCCGTGCCACACACACACACACATATACACACAGACAGACAGACAGACACACACACACAGAGAGAGAGAAGACTAACACTCCCTTTAGAAAATCATCCACAACCCGGAAATGCTAGGCCCCCACACCGAACAATTTGGCCTCATCTCCCCTGCCAACTGGGTCGACTTCTTCCGCTACATCGCCGAACCCTACGAAGGCATCATCGCTCCCGCCAAAGACCCCCGCGACCTCCGCGGCCTGCTCATCCCCAAAGTCATCGCCGCCAAGGACCGCTTCGACGTCCACTTCGTCCAGGACCCCAACTACACGCCTCCCGAAGTGGGTGAGTGGCTTCCCGAGGATAGTGAGCTCCCCAAAGAAAAATTGACGCCGTATTACCTCAAGGCGAATGAGGGGCCGAGGTGGATGGTTGGCGGAGTGATGTCGAGGCCGTTTATCAGGGCGGGACATGTAGAGGGACGGTTTGCCATCTCGAGCATTGAGTCGTCAGATGTGTATGAGAAGTCGGCTTTTGCGAGGTGGTTTACGTTTCCCAAGGTTGATCACTGCTTTTGTGTTTTGGAAGGGCTGTTGAAGATTAGGGTCAAATCGGAGGGTGGGTGGGATACTGTGAGGGAGGGACAGACGGTGGTGATCTCAGCTGGTGAGACTTTCACTCTTGCGTTCGCCAGTAAGTTCGTGAGAGCTATTCTGTTCACGAGCGGCCCTGGCATAGAAGAGGTGGTCCATACGGCCGGTGCACCCTGCGACGATGTGATCTTGCCCGATGAGGTTGCCGATTGGAGTGAGGACCAGTTCAAGAAGGCTTGCGATGATCTCGGTGTTTTGGTAGATTCACTCTAAATATGCAGTCTAGTAGGATCTAAATACAAAGGGCTCGCTTAAGCGCAGATACTATGGAAGTCCACCCCTTATTAACTGGGGAAACTGAGGAAGCCTCCTTTCCAGCGTCTCTAGTGTCCTCCTGTATTTCAAAGACTGTCTATCAGAACACGGCTAGGGGAAAAAGGAAAAGAGAGAACAAAAACAAAAGAATTGACATATAATTTTCTATAGACTTGCCTTGGGAACCTCCTCCTCGACCCGAGATCCGTCTAGAGCGGGCTTATTCGCCTCGAATGGATTTTTCGATACCGCCTCCTTGACTTCCTCAAACGCATCGTATCCATACAGCCAAGACTGCACCTGCGGGCAACTCCACCTACTCGGGTAAGGAGCCTTGATAGGAGCACGGAGAATCGCATCTCGGGCTTCTTGCTCAGGGCCATCATACATATGGAACGAGTCACGCTGGAAAAATTCACACGTTAGCGTGGTGAAGATGCCGAGTACGGATCGCGGGACGTGACGGAAAAAAACTCACCTGCTTGAAAGCTTCCTTTACGATGGCCTCGCCGCGAGTTTTGCGCAGCGCCTCGTACATCTTGAGTGCCTGCGGGAGCTGGTCTTTGGACTGCATGTGTCCCAGGAGAAGGCCGAGGACTGTGCCGTCTTCAATTGCTGAGTTGGCACCCTGGGCTAAGTAGGGGAGCATAGGATGGCAGGAGTCGCCGCTGGTCAAACACTCGTCAGTTTCGTTCTGTCCGTGAGAAACAGGCTGCGAAGATCTGAGTAAGGGCTTACATGAAGACAAGATTTGACTCTTTGTTAACCCACGATGGAAGCTCGCTCCCTAGTGGAATGGCCATGTCAGTTTCAGACCTCCTTTTCCCATTTTCCTTGGTTTCAGCTTCGGGTGTCTTACTGTGCATCAACTTCCATCGGTCAACTCGGTCCACGAGAGCAAGAAACCTCCCCAGTATAGGATCCCACTCCTTGAACAACTCCTTCATCGCCTCCACAGATCCTGGTTCCTTATAAACCCCCGCTGGCAAATCATCCGGCACCAGCAACACAATGTTATACATCGTCCCAGCCCTCAACGAGTATCCCACGGCATGAGCTCCCGGCCCAACCCAGAAATGCACCGACGGGTTACGCACCCAATCAGCCAGTTCCGGATCAGTGATCTGATTTACGTCCAACACGATTCTGTAAGCCAAATCGCCCGTAGCCCGCGGTTTGTCCGCCGAGCCCAAAGTCGCCAAGAAGCAGTCCCTGCACCTCGAATGCAACCCATCAGCCGCGACGATAAGATCAGCGTCGATGACGGCCCCCGAAGCTGTGATGACCTCGGGAATCTCAAAGTCGATGTTGTGGACCTTTTCGTTGAGGTGGAAGCGTACGCCCAGTTCCTTGGCGCGCTCGTAGAGGGACAGCTGGAGATCTACGCGGTGGACGTCGAGGAAGGGGGCGGAGTACTTGGAGCGCATGCCGATGTTGAAGTCGGGATCGGTCATGAGGATTTCGCCGGAGTAGCGGTGGACCTGGACGAAGGTGGGTTCGGCGGCGAGGTCCCAGAATCTGGATGGAACGCCCAATCGCTCGAGGATGCGCGTAGCGTTAGGAGTCATCTGAAGCCCGGCTCCGACCTACATATGAGTGTCAGTTTTTTGTTCTTTTGCCTGAATATGGTTGTTGAATTTACCTCTTGGAGCTCCTTGGCGGACTCGAATACCGTGACATTGTGGCCGGAGAGGGCTATGGCAATGGACGCAGCGAGTCCGCTCAGTCCGGCGCCGACGACAATGACGTCTAGTCGGACGGGAGAAACTGGATGCTGTGGCTTGTCCATGATCAATGCGCAGGGTGAGACTTTGGGCCAAGGTTGTGGTTGGATGTTCCTCGTGCAGCCCCAAGTTCGTGGGCGTCGAGGGTGTGAACAAGGGAAGGCAAAGAAGCCGAGCTGCGGGGTTCAATAAAGAATCAAGGTTGTATTGGATGCAGAAGATAAATTGATCCAACGAACCGTGCCGCAGAGCCTCCTTTGTCTCCAAATGTTCCCGGCGAGGCGGCGGATTTTTATTTAGCCAGGCAAATGACAATCCAGAGCCGCCTCAACTACCGAAGTTCTCTGCCCGTAGATCCATGGGAGAGCTATAAATTTCCAATTGGACAAGCAAGTCGGGATATTTCGTGCAAACTGCCGACGATGAGGAGAGCAACGACGCGATGGTAGAGGAGCGATGTTGAACTTGGAGAAGTGTGGGGCCGAGGTCGACCGGGAATTCCGGACTTAGCCCCGGAACTCCCGGGAAACCCGGAGATTCCACTCGTCCTAGGCCGGATGCGTAGGCAACAGATACCCGCTCTCGAAGGTCTAGAAGGACCCCAGACAGGGGACGAAATTGTAAGCAAGCCATTGGGGTCTGTTGGCGAGTTGGGGAAGTTGGTCCCTAGAGCCTCATTTCGCCACATTACTACAATTGTGCCAGACTCGAGATCAAACTCACTGAAGGAAGTCCAAGGGTTTCCTCTCCTCTATCCCTTCGGCGACAGGCTGGGAATAGCGCTACAGACGATGGTGCCAAAGACTCCCAATCGAGCACTCAAACACCAACGAGGGAACCATCGATCTGTTATTTGGGCGCTCGGGGGTAGGGTATTGCGATTTAGCACCTCTACAAGCGACAACTAATTCGAGACCAGGGCGCCTGCTTCCTAGCTTCGCAGGGCCATATACATGGGCGCAGCAGCGACTTGAGACGTTGATTGCCAAGTAAGCTGTCAACGTCAAGCCATCGAATTACTGTTGGAGCCTCGAGCATGTCAACAATGAACATCCCCCACGGCCAAGTGGGGGTAAAATCCACTACGGATTGTCGGAAATCAGCTGAATTAGCCCCAGTTGAGAAGATGGTTGAGGGGGTGACAGTGTAATAGTGACAGTGGTGGTTCGACAACGTCCTTGGCGTAGTGGAAATCTAATTTCTCGAACACCTTTCTCACTTGTTTTCAAAACCCAGGCTTCTCACCTCACTGTTACCGCAGCGTCAACAATTTCACCAGCTGGGTGCTATGACGCGATGTCTCAGAGGAATGAGGAATCCTCTTTCGAGGATTTTCAGGCGGAACGTCGTCGTCAGCTTCGCCTGCAGAGGGACCGCGAAGAGCGCGAATTGAGATATGAAATCGAGGGCGCAACCAGAGTCGCACACCAAAGGTTCCTGGCCAGAAAACAAAACGCAGACGCCGGGACCGTGCAGAGCCGACCAGCAGAAGACGGGCAGAACCTGCCGACAGAGGACAAGATTACGGAAGATGAACCCAGTCAACAAGAGCGGAAACCAAACGAACATCGTGCCAATCTAAATCCACAGAGCGGCCCCAACACCCGACAAGAATGGGACGAATACTTGCGCGCGAGGGCAGCAATGACGCCGGCAGAGGTCGAGGAAGAAATGCGATGTCAATGCGTGGACCACTGGCGGCAAGTGTCCGAAGGCATCGACCTGGTGGAAATGGCCCTCGAAGACCCGGACGCTGTCGAACGTTCCACCGGCCTTTCGGGCACTCTACTTGGGCGTGAGCCATGGAGGAAGGATGAGTTTCGCTTCGCCGCCAAGCTGCTTGGGTATGGCGAAGATTTTCGGTACGGGGAACGGCTTGTCGAACGGCACTCGCACGAGTCGCCCGACAGGGCCTTCATATCGCCCGAGGTCTGCAAATTTTTCATCTGTGATCGACGCGTTCCGAAAGGCGAGACGACCGTAGATGATTTGTATGCCGAGCAGTTGCGTCTCGAGGCCGAGAACGATCCACTTGAGAGGGCGAGGGAGGCGGTGAGGACGGAGAGTGACAAGATACTCAGGCACAGGGCCCGGCTGTTCCTCGCCGAGCTCGAGGCAGCTGCGGAGAGAGGTGAGAAAGCGAAGCCAGCGGAGATTTGGGAGCGCTTGAAGCCTAAGAGGCCACGTTGGATCCAGGCATTAGTTGAAACCTGGACAGGTTTTGGCTTCGTGTTCTATAAATCCAAGGAAGCTCGTGCCCGGCCCGATGCCTTGGGGAGATGGATGCGCATTTTCAATGATATGGAAAGGACCGACAACTTTGGAGGGTACCGTACTTGTTTTGATGGCAGAAAGGCTGTAACGGATGGGTTTCTTCTCAAGCATTGTATAGACGCCGTCTGGATCGAAGATGAACTGTCAGAAGCAGATCCATCTTCGTTACGGTCGTACGTCATCCCCTACCCCATCTCTAACGTAGCTGCTATGATTCTGATGTTTCTTCTCCCAGGCATTTTAAGAGTCGTCGAGAAGAAATTTCTTCCACGAAGCCAGGTTTCTTGTCCAATACCTTTGTAGTCGTAACATCGGACTGCGTGCCCTCCGAACTCGAACATCATGACCCCCAACCTATCGATGAATTCGTCTACTCTGATGAAGAGACAGATGAGGAGAACCCTCCAATAAGATGGAGCGCAAATAACGTAGAACCCGACGATGTTCCGACCATGTTCGTATGGGCATATGACCCAGATTGGGAGCCTCCGTCCCCAGGGGCCGCTTCCGACGAGGACGGATACGAGGGCCGTGTGAAGGTCCAAATTAGATCTCTATGTTCTTGGTTTTACTCGGCAAGGATGGAAGGAATACATGATATGAAGAGTCTTTGGCGCAAGGCGCAACGGCATCATGAGAAAGTTTGGGTGTGTGAGGCTCAGTTCCTCAACAGATCGGAGCCTACGTCACTTATCTAGCTTTTACATGGCACTTGTTTATTTACTTTTAATATTTTTTTTTAATATATATACATGTGTATTATCTTGAGCTAGGTGCCTAATTATGAGAACCCATGGTTGCGCGGTTTCACCTCATACGTGCGGCCTATCAATATAGGCGAGCCCCGAGACATGAGAAGCGCGAGTGTCTGACCTCAAAGCAAATACGTCATTCTGGAGGGGCTTCCGGCGCTTTCAACGGGGCACAGCGGCCGATGGGGATTCTTCCGGGGCTGGGGGATACGGCACGGATTTCACCCCGGTCCTTCACTTTTGTTCCTCTGCTGTACTAGCAAGTAGCTGGGCGCCATCTAGACGCAAGAGCTCTTCAATCTCTCAAGATCCAGAGACATCCTGTCCCTCATCACAACAACAGTGCTTGTACCCCCTACACATGACCCCCTCCGTCCAATCCCGCCAACAAGCTATTTATCCCATCCATATCCCCAATCTGAAAAGGAAACCCCGGATCAACCCCCCCATTCCCCAACCCCAACGGGCCCCAACAATGATTCATCGCCATCAAAGCCTCAGCCCCATGCGTGTGCATCGGCGCCGTCGTCAAGCCCGCATCCGTGGCATCCCCGACGCTTAGATCCAGCGGCACAACCGACACGGGCGGCGAAGAAGAAGAAGCAGTAGCGTCAGTGGTAGTAGCAGGGGAAATATCGGCGCAGCGGGCCTTGGCGCGCTGGAGGACGCGTTGGAGCATCTTGGCAGCGTTGACGGCTACGACACATTCGTCCATCGTTTCGAGGATTTCGATGGCCATGGAGACGAAGTCGAGGGTGGAGGTTGTGGAGGTGGAAGGGGGTTCTTGGGTTACGTAGACGAGGAGGATGGATGCCGCGAAGACGGTGTAGGTTGTGTTGTAGAACCAGGTGCGGAAAAAGTCGTGGTGCTGGTAAGTTTGATAAATGGTCTCTATTGTCCGCTTCGCCGCGTCGAGACACTTTTGGATGAATTCTGCGCATCGAGGAATTGAGGCTCGTTCGGCGAGGGACGACATGAGCAGGAAGGATCCGAACATGAGGATCCTCAAGTTGAAGTATCCTGTTTCCAAAAGGGTTAAAATTAGCTTTTTGCTCGTCCCCCCTAATCGATTCCACGTCCAAGGATTTTTCAACACAATGGGCAGAAAATGGAAGTCGTACGAATTGTTAAAACCAGTCTCTGCCGCTTCATCCACTGAGCATCTCTCGCCCGCCTCAACGAGTTCGCCTCCGCCAGCGTCCTAGCCGGGCGAATCGCCTCGGGCAACGCATCCACCCACGCCTCAAGCTCCGTCTCCGTCTGTTGGGCAAGAGCTACAGATTTGAGGAGGGCCGTGTCGGCGAGGTAGATGTTGTGGCATATTGAACGCGTGATACGGGAGAAGTCAACCATGGCTTGGATGACGATACAGTTTGGAGGGTCGAGGTACTCTGGCGAAGCCGAGGGAGAGGACGCCGAGTCGATAGGCTGGAACTGTGGGTAGTTGCGGTTGTGGTAGAGGTCGGAGCCAAGTGTATCGGGACGGCCCATGGCGAAGGCCATTTCACTGGATCATATTGTATGTGAGTAGGCTTGGCCCTTGATGGATCTGGATGGCTTGACGGTGACAACATACGTTTCAAGAGAGTAAAGGCCCCTGTGAAGATAGATGCCGTCAGTTTAGAGGCTTTCAATCACCTTTGAAGAATGTTATTTACTAACCACCAAGTCCGAGATTCCGCCCGGAGCTGGGTCGGATCCTTGTGGGTGTTGGGACCGGGTTCTCGGTTTATGCCCATAGCTAAACTTGCTCTCACGGCGAGGCCAGTGTATAGGTAGGATACTAGGATCGACGTTGGGTATTAGATTGCTCCCACAAAGTCCATACTCGCCCGGCCCATTTGACTTGACTCACGATGCGGGTTGATCTCGTTTTGGCAAACCTTGGCCTGCCTCATTCGTTAGTTCTGCCGGATTGCCTCAATCATTCAGCCAACGCCTTACCAAGAAGAAATAGCACTGAACCATCTCCAAGTCCGTCACCATTCCAAGCCTATTCGCCATCCCCTTTGCCTCGTCAAAGAACCTCCTGCTCCATTCGAGGTTCGATACTCCTTCTAGTGGCTCTTCCTCCCTCGCGCCCACCAACGCCCCGAGAGACAACACGCTGTAATACAGCGCCACGAAACTCCCCTTGTGCGCCGCTTCATCCGATCGGTCGCCCGCCCATAACGCCTCACATCGCTGCATAAAAGTCGGCTTGTCCAAGATGGGATGAATGTGATGTATCGTCGAGAAGAAGCCGTTTAGAAACACGCGATATTTCGCCGGATTCCCGGTATTTGAGAACGTGAATCCCGGTGAATCCGCGGCGTTTCTTGCAGAGTTCTCAAATGGTGGAGAATGTGGATGCGAAGAAGGCGGCGGCGAGAAGGCTGGATTATGCAGACTCGAGACGATAGCGCCGCCGTCGCTACATGACGAATCTGGTTCAGAAGGAGGAGAAGAAGAGGAAGAAGGCACCAAAGGTAGCGCCCCTTCCGTGCGCTGGACCTGAAATAAAAGCGCAATGGATGAGGAACTTCCGTAGAATTCGACGTTGCGCGTGTGTCGGTTCACTCCGGAGACTTCGTTTCTGGGCGTCTTGCGCGACGGAAGCGCGGAGGTGCTCGGGAGCATCAAGACGCGGTAGTCGTCGGACCGGAAGCCGGCCGCATCGTAGGCGCGTGGTGTATGCGCGACGCAGTCGAAGGGCCGGGGGAGGGAGACGGCGAGGGGAGAGTCGGAGAAGCAAGCTGATGCGGTGGTGGCTGCTTCTCGCTCGTGGAGTTCGAGGGAGGCTGATAGGGTTTTCACTTGGTCTTCGAGACGACGGACGTAGCTGATATCAAAAGTTAAAAATCAATTGGCAATGCGTTAAGATACGATGCGTGGCGTAGGTAGAAAGACGTACTCGAGCGTGTGTCGTTTCCAACCCATATCGGGGCCACTGTACACGCAGTCGACATTTTTCGCTGGCCATGATCAGCAAGATCGATCCATTACTTTCATCTTTCTCTCTTCCCGCTTCGCAGCATCACACATCTTCCCGTCCAGAGTAATCCCAAAGACATTAGCAACGACGAAATTACTGGATTACTTACTCCGGCAGTAAGAACAGGGGTGCTGTTCATCGCACTTATTCTTCTTCGCGCGACAAAGCTCGCAGGCTCTTGCCGCCCGTGGCCTCCTTGCCTTGTAAGCACGAGGTCTTGGTGTCGGTCCAGGTTGTCCCGCTGCCGCCGGTGGTGCTGCCGCTGGTGATGATAATGGGCCCATGTTGGATCCGAAGCTGTCCATTTCTCGTGCGATGCGGAGGAATACCGAGTAAGCTGAGACGGGTTTTCCGGGTGGGGGAGGGGAATGGGGAAGAGGAAGGGGGGTAAGTTTAATACTTTTCTGGCACCGGGAAGAATTAGAAATCGGCCTGCGCTGTGGAGATACCGCGTGGATCTACACTATTCAAGAGGCAAGAGGGGTTCACAGGGGTCCCAGGAGAAGGCCAAGGACAAGGACGAGAACCTCATTGTTGGACGGAGAGTGGAGCCGGTGGAGAGTATCCGATTGAATCTGGGGAACTGCGGAGTTTGTCTTGATGGTCGCTAATCCGTTTGGGGAAGACATGCGGGGAAAGCAGGGGTGGGATTTCCGATGGTTTGGGGCTTGGGGCGCTAATGGCTGCATGCGGCTCTTGGAGTCGGCAGGGGGCGTGGGAAGAAGAAGAAGACTCATATGATGGAGCGGAGTTGGAGAGCGTTCGAGACATGAAGCTGTCAGTGAAGGGTGGTTTCCCGGGAGGGCTTGGGGATCTAGTAACGGCAATGGCAGTATCCCATTTCCGTGCCGGCGAGGTCCAACAGAACAGTCAGAGCCAGCGAAGCCGGTTTTTGGGGCAGGAAGGAAATTCCTGGGCGGCCAATGTTTCAGAGAATGCTGCCGTTTGAGAGGATGGGTGAGTTCGGCAGTGACATTCTGTTACTTCACTCCGACTTGGTCGGCGTCATCGGCGTCAGCATAACCCTGAAGGCTTATCGACTGATGCGATCCGATACTGGCAATACGACACACATTAGACTTCAACGATAAATAGAATTCATGTTCGACAGTGACCGACAGGGCATGTTCTCTAGGCTCTCTTCCGCTCAACAATATCCCGGAACCTCGATGCGATCAAAGTTCATCAAGTCATTTCTATACGAAAGAGTATCACCAGTCTGGACCATTGGGAGACTGGAAGATGCTATATACATTCATGCGATCGCTCCCGCCGCATTTATTTGCCCGCGGCTGGCCGCTACAGGGGTAGTTACACACTCTCTTATCAACGGGCACCGCCCCAGCCGACAGGGCTTTGCTGCACCAGCACTCATTCTTCTTCGCGAGGCCGAAGTACGTGTAATTATTGTCGATAACACAATGCTGATAACACACAGGGACAGTCATCTCCGGGTCCGCTTTGAGCACTCCATCTACGAGCGCGGGTGCGTCGGCGGTATCGGGATAGCATCCCCATTCGTCGATCATCCTGACCAGGTCTCCCGTAGTATATACGCTGAAGCTGTCTGTACCACCACAGATCACTCTCGCGTCGCCATCGCAGGGCACAGAGCATTTTCCCTCTTCGACTTTCACGGTGCCAAGGTTCAGCCTCGAGCCGCAGTAGCACGACGTGCCGTTCGTCAGGCCCATGTGGATATATCCGTCCTGCAAGCAGTACCTTTCATATACTTTTACCGTGGTGCGATTCGGGTGGGTGAAGTCTTTTACTATGAGGATAGGCTTGCTCGAATTCGCCATGCTAAAACATCCTTCGTAAACGAGCTCCGATTTATAATACCACCTCTTTGCGTCCCAGTCGCGAGTCGGAGCTGTACAATAGGCTGACCCGACGACGATCTTGGAGGAGCAGTCGCCGTACAATAGCGATGGATTGATATTGCGGAAGAAGAAAGCACTGATCTGTCGTCTTGCGAGCGACGCGCACGTATCTCCCTTCTGGGAGACCACCCATCGTCCACACTTGCGCGTAGTCTTCGTGGCTACCCGCGCTCCCGCTGGCGAATCGATAATTGTTGTCACTATACTCGCTCTCGATGGGATTCGAATCCTCTTTGTCGCGCTTCTCTATATGCTTGCCTCCCGCCGGAGAAAGGCAGATTGTGTTGCCGAGAGTGTATCTCGCCTCGCGGAGGTTCTCGCAATCGAACGAAAGCCATGGATTGTGCAGTAGGATATCTCTATATGACACACCAGTGTCGGCAGATATGTCGTGACACGTAGTATCTTCTCCCTTTACAAAGTGAGTAGTACACTGAAGAGGAAGGCAAACCTGAAGACCCGTCGTCACTTGGGAGCAATCGCCGAGCTTCCGATTTCCAGCGTACAGAGTTGCGGAAGCTACGCTGAATTGCTGTGCTATGGAGTCGCAGGTGTCCCCTTGCACCGTGGTTTACAACACCTCGGAGAGGCAAAAGGGCTCTTCTTCTTCCTCGGTGGCGGGAAAAGGGGGGCTGTGGGTCAGTTGGCTGGTTTTCCAGAGAGCATTTGTTGATGACAACTTCAGCTCACCAGCTGTTATCCGCTCCCTTTTGAGGATCTTCATTCGGGCGTCGCGGCCTACATCAGTGCCGGCAAGACCGCCATGGCACCCTCCTGGCGGACCCATATACGGTCTGCTGCTTTACTCACCCTCCTTTCTTCCATATTTCCTACACTTTCTACTGCGCAAAACTGTGATGCTATTAATCGCTGTGCCACTGGATGCTGTAGCCGCCGGGAATTTTGCGGTTTTGGCGACGACTTCTGCGGCGAGGGTTGTCAGAGCACATGCGACGCAAAGTTTGGCTGCGACGTTGACAACCCATGCGAGGACGGAAAGTGTTGCTCTAGGTTTGGAATTTGCGTTTAGGACCTGACTGTAGGTAGTTGAGCTGACTGTCCCGTGGATTCGTTACTGCTGTTGGCGTGCGTCCTAACGGTCCCGTGTACAGTCTGTAGAGCTGAGAACTGTATTGCGACGTGTGACGCCAAGAGCTACTGCGATGTGGCCAGAGGTCGGAGCCTGCCCGCTCAATGCGTGTTGTTCGAAATAGGGGTAAGTCTGGGTGATGACCTCCACGCATTTCTTCTTCCGTTTCTATCAACCCTCCCGAGGGAGTTGGCGGACAGAGCCCATCACGTCTCTTCTCTTGATATGTGAGAGGCGCAGACAGCCAACATGCGTCTAGCTTCTGTGGCGTAACAGAAGAGTTCTGCGGCAGCCAGAAAGTTCCTCGGCCTTCTTGCAAGGTCACCGAGGTCCCTCTTCAGCGAGTCGTTGGATACTACGAGGGATGGGCCGCCCGCCGCTACTGCGACACGTTCCGGCCCGACGACATCCCGGCAGGCGTGTACACCCACCTCAATTTTGCCTATGCAAGCATCGACCCGGCCACCTTCCACATCGTGCCCGCAGCCGAGGGTGATCCGGAACTCTATCGAGAACTAACCGGCCTCAAAAGTCCCAACCCTAGTCTCAAGGTGTTCATCGCCGTCGGCGGCCGGGCTTTCAACGACCCTGGCCGGCCAACTGAGACAACTTTCTCGGATATTGCTCGTTCGCGGGATAACCAGAGGGCCTTCATCTCGTCTCTGATCTCGTTTATGAATACGTATGGCTTTGATGGCGTCGACATTGATTGGGAATATCCACGGGCAGGAGGTCGGGGCGGTCGGGATGAGGATTTCGTCAACTTTCCCATCTTTGTCAGGAACCTTAAGCGGGCTCTGAATAACAATGGCTTTAGAAACGGTCTGTCAATTACGCTGCCGGCGTCATATTGGTACCTCCGACATTTTGATATCATATCCAAAAAGATGAAGAATAGTGTTGACTGGTTCGGCTTCAAGTCCTACGATCTCCATGGTAAGTAATCCTTACGTCCGTCCCCTCGGGTGACAGGCTCATTGTGAGTGTTAGATGCAGCTTTGACCTAACAATGGATGCAGGAGCCTGGGAGACCCAGGAATCTCGGTTGGACAGCCGCCTGAACTCGCACACCAATCTCACGGAGATCGCCGCCGCCATGGACTTCCTGTGGTGGAACGACATCCCTCCTGAGAAAGTCGTCATGGGCCTCGCATTCTACTCAAGGACCTTTACCCTCTCCGATCGTAAGTGTCAAAAGAAGGGATGCGTGTTCGACGGCGGAGGTACGCCGGATAGATGTTCCGGAGAAGTGGGATTTATGACCAACTCCGAAATCGAGTCTAACATGGTCGGCACGAGTGCTGGATCTACTCTTGACGCCGATGCTGCGGTCAAGATCCTGGTTTCTGGCCTTTATCGTGACCAATGGATAAGCTCTGACGACGGGGAAACGTTCAAGCTCAAGGCCGACTTTGCGCGCAGTTTGTGTCTTGGGGGCGTCATGGTATGGGCAGTAAGCCACGACAATGGGAAGGGAAAGTTCTCCAAAGAACTTCAACAAGCAACCAAGTATAAATCCTTCTCCGTTGGAACTACAACTAGCTATGGGATGACTCTGCGCGGTGACAAGATCCCAGTTGAGCAGTGTTTCTGGACCAACTGCGGCAAGTCTTGCCCATATGGCTGGACGCACGTCCGGCGCCGAGACCAATGGAGCTACGGGAATACGCACATGGTCGATGATAGTGGGTGTAAGCCGGGCCAAGACTCCAGGCTATTCTGCTGCCCACCCGGCCCCGAGCCGTATTGTGGGTGGTATTCCCTTAACAACGGACGCTGTAGCGGAACTTGTCCTGGAGCTGATGGTTTGTACGAGTGGCACGAATGGTCCGAGATTGCATCTTCCGGTGGGGGATGCACAAATGGCAAGAGCCAAAAGGCGTGCTGTCGCCGGGATCATCCAGAAGTCCGGCCACCGATCCAGGCGATGCGGCTCTGGGATAAGTGTGGATGGGCTGGGTCGGAGCCCCGTTGCGCTGCCTCTACTTGCGATGGGTATTATCCGTGGAGGAATAATCTCGTCGGCTCTACGAACCTCGGCAGCGGCGCTACGCACTGCTATTATGACAGTGCTGCGACTTTGAGAGGAGACCAGCCTTACTGCTGTTCCGCCGATCTGGACGACGAGAAATGGGACAACTGCGCCTTCACTACTTCGGGCGGAGCCTACGTTGAGAAATACTACGGCGAGGGCTATTGCGATGGGAATTGCCCTCCCGGCCGCGTAAAAATAGGTCTGGATGGCAGTCTCGACTCCTGCTCGGGCGGGAATCGTGCCCTTTGCTGCGAGCCTGTGGTGTCGCGGCCGGCGAAGTCTCACTTGGGCAGCTACGAAGACCTCCTCGCGGCCTTTCAGCAGTGGGCTAATGATCCATCCAGCCGGGACTGTGGAGGTTCCACGCCTGAAACCAACCTTGGCAACTCTGGCCGCCGAGGTCGACGTCGATCAGCCGACAAGGCGCCATGAGCCCGAGTGACGGAGAGAGCAGGCACCGTTCATTCTATTCTTCTAACACGACAGACTCGACGATCATCACTCTGTGGGCAGCATCTCGTGATTGAAGCTGCCTGCAAATTAATTCTCCGTGGACATCGCTACTTCGCCGTCCGTATTGGATTTGATCTGAGGAAAGCAGGCTGCCCTCTTGAGGGACGGAGGCTTCGGTCCTGAACCCGCCAGCGAAATTCGTTGATATTTCAGGATCAGAAAGTGAGCTCGATCCCTTCTCTCGGCGAATGAGTCAACCCGGAGGCAGCGTACGACTTCGGATGCTGAGGGACCCTTTGCTTCCCTCTAGTGACGAAGAGGCCAAATAACAAAGCTTTAAAAATTCCATGGGCGGAAAGAAAAAAAATCTACCATTTAATAAAATAAATATCTCGATGATTTTGTTGTTGAAATTTCCAAACCAATTTTACAAAAAACCCGATCGACTGAACTTGTGCAGGGTGCGATCAAGATCCACAGTACAAACACTGTATCCCGAACCCCACCATCTCCAACCTCGAACTTTCAGCATCAAACCGGAACCGTTCATCTCACCTCTCTCGATCCCCTCTCACCCACACCCACTCAATCCTTCTCCATCCCTCCTGTTCCTCTCCCGATTGATTTCCTTAACCCCTCCCGCAACCCGCCATAAACACCATGTCCCTCGCCCAACTCTCCCGCCTCCTCCCCCTCCCCGACGAGGAACTCCAACAGATCCTCGACTACGCCAGCACACTCCCAAAGCCCGCGGCGGCGGAGCATCTCAGCAACCTCCTCGGAACCTCGGCGCAGGCGGTAGACTTCATCTCCACATTCAATGCGCGGCGGAGAGATGCAGCCGCCGCCTCCTCATCGTCCTCTTCCTCTCCCGCTCCTGGAGGGGCGGGGAGTTCCCGGCGTGGAGGGGACGGTGCTTCTTCCGAGGTGATTGAGGCGGTGCCCAAGTCGAATCGGGCGGGCCGCGGAAAGAAGAAGAAGGCGGCGTTGGGTACGCCTGAGGCGAGAAAGGTGGAGGATTACGGTCCGCCTTTGGGAACGGCGTATTCGAAGAAGGATGAGAGTTTCGAGTATATTCCTACGGCGAAGAAGCCTCAGCCTCAGGTCCCCATCGCTGAGTCGTCAAAGGCGAATCAGCAGTCGAGGTTACAAACACAAGCGAAGCCTCCTCTACAGGCTCCTAAGCCTACAGCTCCCAGGAAGAGTCAACAGGCGGGATTCTTAATATCAGAACATCCCGCTCCCAAATCAAAATCAAAATCCAACACCAGCTCTCGCGCTTCAACCCCCAAACCCAACAACGGCTCATCCACCAAAATCTCCATCGTTGGTGGCACACCCATGAAGGGAGCTTCCACGGCCCTCACAGACCTCGACGCAGCCATCCGCGCCCTAGAAATCACCGCCAACCCCACCCCACAAAACGACGACGTGGCATCCCGCCGATGTAACTGCGTCGCCACGCGTCACCCCCTCCAATCCGCAGCCCCCAACTGCCTATCCTGCGGCAAAGTGATCTGCATGAAGGAAGGCCTCGGCCCCTGCACGACCTGCGGAACGCCTCTCCTTACTACGAGCGAAACCGAGGCTATCTTACGAGAGCTTAAAGCCGAGCGCGGAAGGGAACGCATGGCCGCCGATCGCGCCGCGCATAAGCGCGCCGACGTGAGCAAGGCACCCGCACCTTTCACGCAAGCGCGGGATGGCTTTGCCGGTGGAAGCAGCTCGCTTTCCGAGGCAGAGGCGCGGGCGAGGGAGCACAGGGACAGGCTCCTGGGTTACCAGGCCCAGAACGCCCGACGGACGACGGTGAGGGACGAGGTCGCTGATTTCGACGTGGCGGCTGCCATGGGAGGACAGTTGAGCATGTGGGCGAGTCCCGAGGAGCGGGCGATGGAGCTGAAGAAGCAGCAGAAGTTGCTAAGGGAGATGGAGTGGGAGATGAAGCCTGAGTACGAGAAGCGGAGACAGGTGGTTAGTATCGATCTTGTTGGAGGCAAGGTTGTGAAGAAGATGGCGGCAGTCGAAAGGCCGGTTACGCCTCCCACAGATGAGGAAGAGAGGGGTGGTGATGGCGGGGTGCTGCTCGAGTCAACTGGCAATCAGCAGGCTCATGGCGGCGGCGCGTTTAGCAAGAACCCACTGCTAGGAGCCATGATCAAGCCCGTCTACAATCTCAAGGGGAAAGAAAAGGAAACTGGCAAAGGCCAGGGCGCGAAAACGAAATGGAGGAGGGTCCAGGATGACTTGGACGATAATGCAGCCGTCATCCTCGATGGAGGGCTCTACGGGCAGGCAACTTCTTCCGATGCCGTAGCTGCGGAGGGGGACGAGCCAGCGTGCGGGTGATGGCTGATGGTTCGAGTTGTCTCCTGACGACCAAGCTTACGCCTGCCGTTGCCTATCATGACCGCGTTTGGCCAACGCGGCGCCGCGAAAGTTCGAGGACATAGAGAAAAGGAAAAACAGTGAATGAAATAGACCAATAGAAATTCATGCTACAACCCGTTCCTGACCTGTCCTTCGGACCAAGCAAACAGAGCAATCTAACGTGTGCCATCCTTTTGATCTCGATGAGTAAACCCGGGTGGCCAGGCGCACCTTCCGACCATGACATCGATGACGCAATAGTTCCCAACCATGTCTCGAAACTGGAAGCAACAACTTAAACAGTCTTTTTGTCGGATCATCACATGTTTCGTCTGCGAAGGTGCCAATGACCTCATAAAGCCACGGCCGCTGAAGCGATTCCTTCCCTCAGTTTATGAATACAAACTTTATTCTTTCTCTCTTTCTCTCTTGTTATTCTCGTCATCAACATTTCGAAGTGATCCAATTGTTCTGCCATCGTGATAACTTCATTTCTGGCTCTTTTACTCCGTAACCATCACCATTCCACGATCCTTTAACTCATCAAGAGTTAGTTTCTCTTGAAGTCTCTAAATCAAACAAATACCAAAAATACTGACATGTTTTCGGCCTAGTGTCCTACGCCGAAGTAGCTGCCAAAGGCCCCAAGCAAACGGCCGAAGAGGTTCGTCCCCATCCACCAACCCTTTTCCCTTCAAGAAACAATGGAAGCACTCAGAGAAAAGGAAAGGGGACGAAGAGCGGGAAAACAATCTAACAAAATCCTCCCAGGCCGCCGCCCCCGCCCTCCCCTACCTCAGCACCGAAGACACAACAACAACCACCGAAGCAACCACTCCCTCCGTCCACACCATCTCCTCCACCGACCTCGCCTCCTCCCAAGCCTCCGCCTCCGCCCGCGAAGGCCCTATTCCATCATCCTCCCCCGATCCCAACGTCACGACCTCATCCTTCGCCGACCTAGCAGCCTCTACCGAACCCCACCACTCCCACTCCCATAACCATCACCATAGCGGAAGTTCGAAGAAACGCCACGCCAAGGAGGCCGCCAAGAAGATTGCGAACTACGGCGACGGCACGCCGCTCGCGCTGGCGAATTTGAGCCTTGTGGTGGGGTTTAGCGCCGTGCTGGGGTTCAAGGCTTGGGATTTGTATGAGAGGGGCCAGTTGGGGTGGAAGGAGTTGGGGATTGGGGCGGGGATTGTGGGGGTTGTCGGGGCTGCGGAGGCTGTTATCGGACGGTGAGTTATTTCTCTCTCTTTTTTTTTTTTTCTTCTTCTATTTTTTTCTTATTTTATTTATGTTTTACTTTATTCTTCGTTTCAGGACGTGGGAACCAAGAGCTAACTTGGGGGACAGGTATCTTTATGAGGAGCACTTGAAGAAGAAATGAGCGTTGAAGCAGAGGCTCAGGCCGCGGGAACTGGACGGCCAGGGAACGAAATGTGTCGAATCAGCCTGGTCTGCAATCTTCGAGTAACCCCAGACGGGTAATGGAAGCCGTTGGAATCGGTTGGCTATCCCGGGCTTGTATTCTTCTTCTCCCGCCCAGGAGTTGTATCATCTGGACATCGCTGCTCTCTCCATAGCCAGTTCCGGGGCAATACTGCATTGCCTAAGTTTTATTTATCTACTAATCTGACGTTGCAAAATAAAACATTCAACATCACGACGAAGGTGAACGAAGCAACGAGGAAGAAAGAGGGTATACAAGTCCAATATTCGTCCGTTCCATTCATCACAGTCCTTCCTTCGTACATGTACTAGCTATACTACCAACCCATCCTCCGACCCTTCACTGAAACCACCCAAGTAAATAAATACCCGTGAAAGCAGGCCAAAGAAACAAACAAGTTCTCAAGAGAAAAGATAAAGGAAATGGGGAAGGGCGGGGGGAAAAGAAAGAAAAAAAAAGTAGAAATGTACACTCGATATCTCGTCCCAGAGAAACAACAGGAAAAAAAACAGTTTCCTCGCCCAAGTTTGTGTTTTTTGAATATCCACCACTCGCCTCGCACTTGCGTTTAGTTGCCCATATCATGCCAAGAAAGAAAAAAACAAAAGACGACAGACGACAGGAAAGATAAAAGGGGAAGGAGGGAAAAGGTAATAAAGAAACGAGTCATACAAATATGTAACACACAATGTCCTCCCTTCCGTTTCCACCAGCTCCGCCCGTTTGGCTTATTTCGTTTGCTTGCCACAATGTGTAAGGTGAGAAAGAAACACAAAAAACCAGATTTCCGTCTCCATTTTGATACTCCTTCGCCATGGCTATATAAGCGTTTTTGTCTCAACTCCAGGTGGAGCCATTGTTGTAGATACCACCGACATAAAGATTGCTATCCTCTTCATGAACCCTGTCTAGAGACGTCACAGGAGGGACAAGGGGGAAGAGAAGAGTGGAAACATCGTAATTTAGTCGGGAATAATGACCCTGCTAAAAGACTCGGTATTCCTTCTCAGACCTCCCCCTTCTGTCTCCAGCTTGACATCACCAGTCCAGGGACAGGAAAAGGAAACAAGGAAAATAAAAAGTGGCCCATAACAAAACAAAGGAGATGAGTAGTCATCATCATCATGATCATAAAAGCAGGTAGCAGAGGAGACAAAAAAGAAATCCTCGCAAAATATACCTCGCCCAACACCTTTTTCTAACAGTATTTCACCTCAGTTTTCGTATGTCCCCCTACCATTAAGGCAGGAGAAGCAAGTCCTATAGCGCACGATTATGCACCTCCCGCAACCTCCTGACCCAGTGTTTCCTCACCGCCGGCGGCATCTTGCAAAACACCATGGCCTTATTCTCGTCTGCGAGGGCCTTCTCTGCAATCTTGAGCTGCAGGTCCATGTCCTCGTCAGCGAAGTCGCGGAAGAAGATGTCGAGGGCCTGCTCGGGCCAGCGCGGCGGCGCCCTCGCCCTCAGCAGCTCAGCAATAGTGAGGACGCCGTCCTCGAGGAGGGTTCGGCCGGGGGTGGCGCCCGCGCTTAGAGGGACGCTGGCATCGACGCCATTGCCGTTCGCCGTCACGGTGAAGCCGGCTTGTGTTGATATTCGCCTGCGCTTGTTCTGCTGCATCGCCGCCGCCGAAGCAGCATTGCCAGCTGATAGTCTGTGGTCGGAGGCAGGAACGGCGCCGGCGTTGGGTCCCTGAGGGACGAATCGCTGGCGCGTGTGGTTGGTTTCATCGGGAGGGGTGAGGGCGCTGGTATTCGTCATGTTGGTACGCGGAGGGAGAGCGGTCGAGCTGGGCCGACTGGGCCCCAATGACCTCGCCACGTTGGGCTGGGGCATTGGGGTTGGCTGGTGCCTGGCATTGGCCATCGCCGAGTTGTGCTGGAAGACGGTCCGGTCGACTTGGAGATTCAGCACGGCTGTGCCCGGCATGTCGTTGTCCTCGCAACCGGGCAGGGCATCGGGGCCTTTGCGCTTGGGCTTCATGATGCGCTTGGGAGCGCCGCCAGAGCCGACGACGTCGGGGTAGAGAATCTCCATAAACTCCTCATGTTCGAAGGTGCGACCGCGGAGGGCGCGAGACAGGGGCTCTTTCTGCATGCGAGTAATCGCGTCAGCAATCGCGTATACAATACAGCAACTACAAGCTGAAGGAGAAGAGGGTTCGGTAGCTGAAGTGCGCGGGTTGGCGGACAGCCTAGGAACCGTCACCCATCACCGTGCGACAGCAACTACACTGCTTTTCCCTAGCAAGGTAGTTCAGTTTGAGCAAGACACACCTCAATATGAGCCTTCCAAGCCTCGTCAGACGCAGTAACCGTCCTCGTGGTGGGATTATACAAGAAATCAGGATGTTCCCTCAAGCCCCTCCACAACCTAAACTTCTTGCGCGCATTGTCCGACTTGTTGACGAGATGGCTCTTCGTCGGATAGGCGCCGTGCTGCTCGCGCAGAGCGGCGGCAGCGCGATCCCACGCCTCGGCCTTGAAGCTGTGGTTCTCGCGCAGGCCGAGCTGAACGGACTCGCAGAGGGAGCGGAAGAAGGTGTTTTCGTAGGCGGGCGTCCAGCTGAAGCGGGGAGCGCGCTTGTCGCGGTCGGCGGCGGAGCCACGCGTGTCGTTGCCAAACTCGTCGTCGGACATGGCGAGAGAGGGGGGAGGAAGTTCGGCTGTTATGTCTTGATGCCGTTCGGCATGGGGTGGGAAGGCGAGTGGCCGTTGGAGGTTAGTTCCCGCGATGGAAGGGTTGCGCGAGAGGATGAGAAAACGGAAGGAGAAAATAAAAAGTGGCGAGACGCGCGTGACGGAGAATTGAGCGGGAAAGAGGTCGGTTTCTCGAGGCGAAAACGGAGGAAGATCAATAAATGGAGAGGCACCTCGTCGTAAACGTCGAGAGGGGAATAGTATGCTTCAATGTCGGTGGGTTTGCTGGAGCGACTCGGTCGCGAAGTCGAGGTTGAGGTTGGCGAACGGATGGAAGAAGACGGAAGTGATGGAGAGAATTGGGAGAATTGGGGGGAGAAAACGGTGGCAGGAGCGGAAACGCAACGCCGCAGGGGGGGAAAATCTTCTGACCTCGGGTTGGCTTTTTGGGGCGCAAATTGGGCCGGCAGGGAACAGCAAAGACCAGTGCCGATTGATCGCTTATTTGCTCTCCCAGAGTCGCAACGTTCAATGTTCTCAGTATCCCACTCGTGGGCTTCGGATCTGACAGGAATAATTAACTGAAGGAGTGATTCCCAAACCTGGAAGAGAAAAAAATGGCGAGGCTGGAGTTTGAGCGAAGGAGCAAAAGACGGAGGCAGGTGGGGTTTCAGCTAAATCACGTGATGACGATAAAATTTTTGACGGCCAGTTCCAGGTTCGCGCCTGCCGTGGCCAGCGGCGAATTGCGAGGTAAAATACAAAATTACGTCGTTTCAAGGTTTCTTTTCGCCAGTTTTACGGTGCAGGTGCGATCGAGCCTTTGAGGATCTCCATCAAGGGTCTGCACGACTTCAGGTACAAGTCCATGTACATCTTGTGTGTGAGGAACAACAGGGAAACTTGTTCTATTTTCTCGAAGTGAATTAAATTCCCAGCCACACGCCAGACTCTGTTGTATGTCACTCCTGCACCAGCTGAGACATCGGATCAGAATCGGTGCCAAGTCCCCAGCCAACCACGAGGATGGCCTGCTCATCATCGCCGTAATTTATAAATAAACATCGCCCTGCAATTCGCGAGCATGGGTATGAGCGTAAACTTTACGAGCGTGCCAGCGATGCACCGCACCTCCTCGTTTTCAGAGGCCAGAAAACTGAGGCACGAACGTTCTTAGAGGTCCAGGACCTTCTCACAGCCCCAGACTTGGTGACACACGCATGAAACCAACAAGTCCCCACTGCGCTCAACCATCGTCATCTTTGACTGGGGTGACCCAGTCCCGAGGCACTGCTGGCAACTTCTGGTAATAGTAAAAACTCAAACCATCTTCCGTCCAAGACTAACCCGGAAAGGCACGATGAATACCAGACCAGCCAAACTGTGCTGGACAGGCCCTATCTGGAAGGAGGAGCTTCGAAAGGTGAGATGGGCGCCTTTCCGATATGTCCAGGCTCAGGTGTGAAAGCAAGACGCGTGAGAGGCTTCAAGTCGCATCAACCATCTCATATCTTTGCTCAGACGTGGAAGTGGGTCTCCTCTTGCCTCAAAGGCTTTTTTGGCCCATCCTTTAATCCTCCATAATAGGATCTTCACGGTCCTGCTTTGATGACTCGCAGCCAAACCCGGTCAAATCCACCTCCCCAATCAGATTGACTGATGAATGTGTCCGTCTGCTGTACCGCCCCGTCGGTAATCTATGGATTCCACTGCTTCCGCTGTCGCTGTGATCTTTTTGTGTACTTCGTAGTGCTGTCCGGCGGGCGGCTCCGCGATCACTTCCGTCCGGGCATCGGCGCCCAACGTCGCCCAACAGCGTTTAGCAGGCGTCGAGTTTTAATCCGTGGATATGTATCTCTTTCCCTTTCCCGAAGGTGCAACTGTCTCCCGAGATATTGCGCCTGGACTTTAATTAAACATAAATCGCACATCATCTGCGCTCAATTTGATAGAGACGTACCAACCTCCATTTTCTACCACGACTCTATATTGTGTGGTCTGTGGGGTGCGACTCGCACATCTCCATTAACCACAGGGACGGGGATCATCAACATCTAAATATATTCCACAAACATAATCATGCCTTTTCGTAAAGAACTCATCATCCCGGAGTCTCTCTTCCTCCAACGTCTAGTTGTGATGACGAGCGCGAATCCTATTTATTTCAAAATATCACATCCATTTCATCTGAAGAGGCTTAGAATGCTCTTGGATACATTCTGCTGCGCTTGGCTATACCAAAGTGGTAGGGGTAATAGCATCACGCGTCTCCGTGCTTGCTGCCCATGGAGTGGGGTTTCGAATATGTACAACGTTAAGATGTCTGGCCCGTTGGTATCGTGGAGAACCGTACACCGAAGCGGCTTGGCCCGCGGCCCTGCCTCTTGAACATGTCCCGCGGAGCGGATGAGCGTTTTGCGCCTCTTGGCACACCCACGTTATTACTCTTGATTCCAAAAACAGATCGTGAAAATATTCCTACACATTGCCTTCATATCTCATTTCAGAGACTATTGCGAAAGCTTACACTCGAAGCTCCTCATTCATCGAGGCACGTACCTAGATCCATGGCCTTCATTGAATATCCGGACCATCGCCCCCATCCGGTCCAAGGAGGGTCAATCATCCAACTCAGTTCCCAACATCCATCCAATAAAAGATGAATATACCCAAAATCACCCCCCCTCTCCAAACCTCCGCGGATAAAGGGCCTGCGCCGAAACCGAATGCGCCACCGCCGTCAATGATCTCGGCGACAGCGGATTCAACGAATCCAACACATCCTGCCTCACATTCCTGCCCAAATTCACCAACGGCGTCACCGTCCTCGGTCTCTCCAGCCACTTCAGAAGCTTCTTCGCCAATAACTGCTTATGAACAGGTTTGGCAATATAATCGTCCATGCCCTTCTTGAGACACTGCTCCATGTCGCCCTTGAGAGCGTACGCCGTCATGGCGACGATGGGCGGATGCGTGGACTTGCTCCGTATGCGTGCCGTGGCTTCGTACCCGTCCATGACGGGCATGCTGATGTCCATGAGCACGAGGTCGTAGGTGTTGGGGGCGGAGTCGGCGAGCACGGAGACGGCTTGGGCACCATTGGCAACGACGGTGGTGTTTGTGAAGCCGAAGGATTGAAGGAGGCCGAGCATGACTTTTTGGTTGATGATGTTGTCTTCGGCGGCGAGGATGCGTTTCCGTGGGGCGATTTCTCGGAGGCGCTTTAGTTGCGCTTCGGAGTCTTCGGTGTCTATGGATAATCGCCGCGACATGTCCGAGCCTGCTTCCGTCGGGGGACTTCTGCCTTGGTGTTGTTGCTGGTGACGAGCTCTGCTGTCGATCTTGCGGAGTTTCACCGTAAACCAGAAGACACTGCCTGGGCCTTCCGGGTTCGACCGATACCCGATCTGGCCGTCCATCAGGTCCACGAGAGATTTCGCAATCGATAGACCCAGCCCCGTTCCTTGATAACGTTTGGTTATCGTGGTATCGACTTGCGTAAATGGCTTGAATAGATTCGGCACGTCGGTTTCGCTAACCCCCGGCCCGGTATCGGTCACTTCGGTCATGAAGGTATAAGTCTCGGCGTCCTCAGCTTGCAGCGTCGTCCGCACCACGACGTAGCCCTTTTCGGTGAACTTGCCCGCATTTCCGACAATGTTCTGAAAGACTTGGCGCAGTCGAAGAGGATCAGCCCATACAGACTTGGGTAGATGGGGCGAGATGACGGACTCCATGGATACACCGGGCTGCAGGGTTGTCTGGACGCTGCGCACGACAGAATTGATAATTCTGGCCACATCGACTACCTCCGCCGCGATAGAAAAGCTTCCCGCGGCAAGCTTGGAATAGTCGAGGATATCGTTTATGACCTGCAGCATCACCTGGCCAGACTCTTCAATGATATTGGCCGTCTCCCGCTGCTTGTCAGTCAACGGACTATCTTGAAGCAAAGCAGAAGCCGAAAGTATGCCGTGCATAGGCGTCCTAATCTCGTGGCTCATGTTCGCTAAAAAGTCGTTTTTCAACTTCGTGCTCTCCTCGTATGCCTCAATCAGCCGCACCTCGGCCTCCTTCCATTCGGTCAAGTCGCGGGTGACCTTTCCGAAGCCCACGTGGACGCCGTTCTTGTAGACGGCGGTTATGACCACGTTCGCCCAGAATCTAGACCCGTCCTTGCGTACCCTCCACCCTTCGTCCTCGACCCTGCCCTCGCGCAGGCAGATCTCGAGCTCCTTCTCCGGTTTGCCGGCGCGGAGGTCCTCGTCTCCGTAGAAGATGGAAAAGTGCTTTCCGACGATGTCGTCCTTTTTGTAGCCCTTGAGTAACTCCGCGCCAGCATTCCATGAGGCAACGTTTCCCCGTGTATCGAGAATGAAGATGGCGTAATCCTTCACCGTCTGCACGAGGATCCTAAAGGCCTCGTCGACGGAAAACGAGCCGTGCGCCATTTCGCCTTCCACCAAGACAGGCTGCTGCGCCCGGATCTGTTCCCACTGCAGAACATAGCACAGCAAGATGTCGTCCCTAAAAACAGGAGCGATACGCGCCGACCACGAAACGGCGCCCGAGAAGTAGGCGTCCTGGCACACAGTAGGTGTTCTCGCTCTAACGGCCCTCTCGATGGCGAAGGCGAGTGGAATCCTATCGAACCGCTCAGTCGGCGAGAATTCATAAAGCGCAACATACAAATCCCTCCCGACAAACTCCTCCTCAGAACGACCCCACTCATGGACCAGGCCCCTGGAGACCTTTTGGATGCGGTTCACGGGCGAGACGACTAGCGTGGGCACGGGGAAGAGGTCGATGACTTCATTCATATTGGGCATCCCCAGACTCGCCGGCCCGTTCACCAGGGCCGGGTCCGGTGTGGGGGTCTTCATCTGGGGCGGTGACGGCGAGGGGAGACAATGGGGGGCCTACACTAGGCGGGGAAGAACAACAAAAAGGATTTTAGCTGCAGGGCGGGACTGCGCGGGAGATCGGAACCCCTCGTGGGGCTAGTTTAGCGCTGTTGAACAAGCACGCATTCCCTTGCCGGCATTGATGACTGAAATCGACAGGTAGACATGGAACGGAGGGAATTGGTGTTTTCTCGATGCGCAATGCGCAATGCACGATGCACGATGCGCGATGCTGACTTGAACGGGACTCGGGAGTTCCATTTCCATCCAAGTCGTCGATGGCGGTGGCTTGCGGCGTTGAGCCAAGATTTGCCGCCTCCATGACGTCAGATCATTCACACCGACCTCAGCGGCTGGAACCTAATCTCAGCGCGGTGGGCTCAAGGATTACGCACTGGGTCGACGCTAAGCTTAGGGGATTAGGGTAGGAGTGCGCTGCGTTTTACTGGTGCTTCACTGGTCCTGCGCTGTTTCTTGCGCTGTTTCAGTTTGTGAGAGGGGCACGGATCTTGACATCGGAAATTTCAATCTGATCAGTCACGTGACATAACGAAAATGTCACACTGATGCAAACCGATTCTGACTAAGCTGCTTCAGAAAGGAAAGAGAGATTGAGTGATCGACCTCTCTGATCTGCTTCATCCACGTGGCTCACGTTTTCCTGCCTGCGCCGTCATGATGCTTAATTAATAGCATCATGTGTCCCTCGATATTTCATGCCCTCCGTCAATCATCAGATAAGTTAGGCGTCCCAATCCGGAAGAAATGCGGCATGGGGTTCGTACCTTACCGCTCTCCTTCATACAGAGGCAATCGATCCCGACTGTTGTCCAAGGACCTCATCTCTCTCAGCCCTTATTGACCTCCTGGCATGCCGGACCCATGAGAGGCCCTTGATCATGGATCTAACCCACCATTAACTTTATCAGCGGAAAGGTACTGCTGATCAAAATGGCATCGATATCGATGCGGAGGTCGCCAAGTGGTGTCGCTCATGCTGCCCCATCCCAGTTGGACCGAGAGCAAACCCTCTCAATGGCAGGGCACCGCAAAGCGGCAAAGATCGCCGTCATCTGCCATGCTTGGTTCATCTCCCGTCACCCCCAATCCGAGGTGGTGCCAAGCGCGGAACCAATTGGTGGGATATATGAGAAGAGGGAGAGACAAACCAACACTCACCAATGGATCAATGATGCTGCACCCCACACGGCACCGAAGAACGTCGAACGCTTCCGGAATCCCAAGCCTGAAAGCTCTAGTCACGCTTCTGGTAAATTCATTTCCGTCTTCCGGTTGGCCTTTTCTGCGGGGTCGAGTTGTCCTCGGTGGCCTACGCTATTGTGTTGTATTTTTGCTCAGTCGAGAACCTTGAGATTGATTGATTAATTAATCTGTTGGCAATGCGGCCCGCTAGAAAGGCTCTTGTGAGGATGGAAGATCTCGTCCCGCTTGGACTGCCAAATGGGTGTAGAATCCATCCCAACTTTATTTCGCAAATGGCTTCTCTTGCTTGGTACTCACACACTTCCTTTTTCTGACTTCTTACTTCGTCCTTCGTCTGTCACACACTGGGATTGTACAATCTACTACCTTCCACCTCCTTCCAGGCTTGCTTGAACCCTCCATCGGAGAGTTTGCCCGTATTGTTGGCTTGGGCGGCTTGTCATGCCTTGCTTGTGTAGATGGCCAAGCCTGGAATTCTAGGACCGGCAATCTATTCAGTTTTCATGTTCAGGCCCCTCTCATATATTGTTTTCTTGGCTTGGGGATCCCCGCAAATGTCTCAAGATCAACTGAGATGGACGGATGTGAGACGATCCCTGCTCGGAACTCTTAGATGTTTCCCTAGTTTGAGGTTTCCGCCATGACGGTCCGATCTATGCTTCGTAGGTCCTTTTGATTCGGAGCAACTCTTCAGACCCTCACCAATCCTGTTCTCCAAACCGAGAAAACAACACTGAAGTAGCATCACAGCCCAAAAAAATACGCCAAGCGACTGAGAGTGTTGCCCCACAACGGGCTCCGGGACTTACTCTACACGGGTGATCTTCCTATTCGAGCCCGCATGTTCAGTGGTGGTGCGCTCACCCCACCCCTGGCGTCAGGTACCAACTTTCTACCCACCATCGCTTTATACGTGTGTAGGCGTGTAAGTGGAGGAATGTGGACAGTCTCTATAGTAGGTACGCCGCGAGTTAACAAGCTCCGGTATTGCCCTCTAAGCTGCCATCGCGACTCGCCCCCATTTAATCGTCGGCTTCAGGGGGAAAGGGTACCCAGTTCCCACGTTGGTAGGTCTCTTTCTACAGGTTATTGGCCTACTAGATGTTGCATTGCTGAATTGTTGGCCCTTAGCTATCTTGCCGCCACTTACACGGCAAGGTGTGAGCAAGTAAACCTCACCTTGCGGGTGCCTTGCAGGGATTTCTTGAGTTGTTTTCTCTATCTAGCCGCCTTGGCTCATCAATGTCCTTCCGCTCGTTCACTAGAATCGACCCAACCCAGAGATATATATGCGCAAACATATGTATGAGTCGATTATGTATACTTAAACCCGCCGGCCCCCCTCCCTCTTCCCCTCCCCTGTGGTTCCTGTCAAGAGAGCACTGGACCAAGGGACCCGGGATTGAGGACTCGCAACGTCCTCGTAGTCTTCTTTCTTTCCTTTCCATCCCGCGTCATCGGCTGTACTGACACCTTCCGGCTAAGATGCTCGCCAAGGCCCTCACCGCCGTGGTCACTGCCGCAGCGGCATTCAGCCAGCTCGGCCAAGCGCAGAGTAAGCTTCCTCTCACACACTCAAGATTCAAACTCAATGCAATTGACACTAACATGAGCAGCCACGCCTGCCGACGAAAAATGGGCAGCCGCCTATGAAAAAGCCAACACCGCCCTCGCCCGCCTCAGCCAAAACGAAAAAATCGGCATTGTCTCCGGCGTCGGTTGGGGCAAAGGCGCCTGCGTCGGCAACACCGGTTCCGCCGGCAGCATCAACTACCCCTCCCTCTGCCTCCAGGACGGGCCTCTCGGTCTCCGCCACGCCCGGAGCGTCACGGCCTTCGCGCCCGCCATCCAGGCCGCGTCGACATGGGATGTCGAGCTTATCCGCCAGCGCGGGCAGTACATGGGCGAGGAGGCAAAGGGTATCGGCGTGCACGTGCTCTTGGGACCCGTGGCTGGTGCCCTGGGCAAGATACCTGCAGCTGGGAGGAATTGGGAGGCGTTCGGTCCGGATCCGTATCTTACGGGTATTGCTATGATCGAGACCATTGAGGGGATCCAGAGCGCGGGCGTTCAGGCTTGTGCTAAGCATTATATCCTCAACGAGCAGGAGAGGAACCGCGAGACGATGAGCTCCAGCGTCGATGATAGGACGATGCATGAGCTGTATCTGTGGCCTTTCGCAGACAGTGTCAAGGCAAACGTCGCCTCCGTCATGTGCTCGTACAACAAGATCAACGGAACGTGGGCCTGCGAGTCCCAATCCGCCATGCAGAAGCTCCTCAAGGACGAGCTCGGGTTTCCGGGATACGTCGTCTCCGACTGGAACGCGCAGCACACGACCGCCGGCTCGGCCAATGGCGGCATGGACATGACGATGCCCGGAAGCGACTTCGACGGGCGAAACATCCTCTGGGGCCCGCAGCTACAGAGCGCAGTGCAGCAGAACGCCGTCTCGGCCGCTCGCCTTGACGACATGGTGCGTCGCGTCCTCGCGTCTTGGTACTACCTCGGCCAGGACTCGGGATATCCCCAGGTCAACATGAACGCCAACGTGCAGGGTAACCACAAAGAAAATGCGCGGGCTGTGGCGCGTGACGGGATCGTCCTCCTCAAGAACGACGGGAACCTCCTCCCCCTCAAGAAGCCTGCCAAAATCGCCGTCATCGGCTCCTCTACCGTTGTCAACTCCGACGGCCTCAACGCCTGTCCCGATCGTGGGTGCAACAAGGGCGCGCTCGCCATGGGCTGGGGCTCGGGAACCGTCGATTTGACGTATCTCGTTGCTCCCCACGAGGCTATCAAGGCCCGTGCCGACAAGGAGGGCATCCAAGTCTCGCACAGCCCCTCTGACGATGGCGGTGCCGGTGCCCAGGCCGCGCAGGGCGCTGATATCGCCTTCGTTTTCGTCACGGCTGATTCGGGCGAGGGATACATCGAAGTCGAGGGTCACGGCGGAGACAGGAACCATCTTGACCCCTGGCACGACGGAAACCGTCTCGTCCAGCAAGTGGCGGCGGCTAATCCCAACACCATCGTCGTCGTACACTCCGTCGGCCCCATCCTTCTCGAGTCCATTCTTCAGAACACCGGTGTCAAGGGTATTGTTTGGGCTGGTCTCCCCGGCCAGGAGAACGGCAATGCTCTCGTCGACGTCCTCTTCGGCGACACGAACCCTAATGGAAAGCTGCCTTATACTATTGGCAAGCGCGCTGAGGATTGGGGTGCGGCTGTTGTCAATGGCGATGATAACTTTAGGGAGGGTCTTTATATCGATTACCGTCACTTTGACAAGCAATCCATTGAGCCTCGATACGAGTTTGGTTTCGGACTCTGTAAGTTGTTTTCTCCTCTTCTGTTTCCACTCGTCGCCCATCCATTCAAACTTTGTTCTTGAAACAAAATGAGAAGAAGAAAAAGTGGCCCAGACTAACGAAACTCACAGCCTATACCACCTTCGAATATTCCGACATCTCCGTCTCCTCCACCGCAACCCCCGGCCCCGCCACGGGAACCCTCAAGCCCGGCGGCCCCGAAGACCTCTACGAAATCGTCGCCACCATAACAGCCACAATCACCAACTCCGGCGAAGTCGACGGCGCCGAAGTCGCCCAGCTCTATGTCACCTACCCCTCCTCGGCACCCGAGACCCCGCCCAAGCAGCTCCGCGGGTTCCAGAAGCTGAAGCTCAAGGCGGGCGAGGCGGGCGAGGCGACGTTTAACGTGCGCAGGAAGGATATCAGCTTTTGGGATGTTGGGCAGCAGAAGTGGGTTGTGCCGGAGGGGGAGTTTAAAGTCGCTGTTGGGGCTTCGAGTAGGGATCTTAGGCTTGATGGGGCGTTTACTGTTGCGTGAGGGGTGGAGGAATAGCAGATGGACTGGGGAAGAGAGGGATGAGAAGGACGAGAGAGGGTTATATGGGTGTATATAGCTGAGAAAGGTAGCATTTCCGCGGGACACATCTTCATGACGTACATTTTTTACTTCTCATTTTTTATATGTCTTTTACAATATATATTCCGAGTCAACTGACCCAAAAATGGGAAAATCACCATCTTTCTTGCCTAACATTCCTGCAAGCTTCGCTCTCTTCCCTCTGCCGCAGGCGCCAACGCCTAGAACCAATAGTGTCTGTCTTAACGAGCGAAGCAGTCCCAAATAAGCTTTAAGCTTGCTGCACCACCACGAGCTGAACATCTCAAGCTCCCAAAGAAGCCTAGCTCCCCGCGATCTAAACGTCACGAACACGCACTTCATCCTGATATATCAGTTCCCATAGCCCCTCACCCTCTTCTTCCCCTGAATTCGCAATACTCCGAATTACCTTTTTCCCCAAGAAACTCGGCCAATCTCAAGAAAATTCTCTTAAAAATGTCCGAATCTATTAAGCTCACCTACAGGAACTTCCTCACACCCATTCCCCCACCCACAAACCTTTCCAACATCTCCACGACCCCACCATCAACCCCCTGCTCCGCCTGCCAATCCCTCGTCCCCGATCGGTCTGCCGCCACTCACGACGTCATACCAACGCCCTACGCCCGGACGGACACGTTTCCCGATTTTCCGGCGCTCTTGGCCTCCGCAGAGACAGGGTGTGGGTTCTGCGAGCTTCTGAGGTCGACGCTAAGGTCGACGTGGGGGACGGGGACCTACCCTGCGCAGAACTACGGTGTTGAGGTGAGGGCAGAAAATGATTCCATTGGAGAGTGTTTGGAGGAGGAGTGGGATGGGAGTGTGAGGTTGGAGAAAGCGCGGTTTGGCTTTGTGCCGTTTTCTGGTGAAGGAGGGAAGATGTTTTGGTACGAGGTGGAGGGGGAGGAGGTGCAGAAGGGTGGGAATGTGGTTTCGTTGGAGGTGGATGTTGTTCCGGTTTGGCCTGGAAAGGAGGATGAGGGTGCTTTTCCTGTGCTCTGCCGGACGCTCAAATTTGATGTCTTTGACTCTGTGGGTGAGTTTGTCCTCCCAAACTTTCAATCCTCAACCTGTAAAGGGGAAATGAAGGTGAAATCTTAACAAGCTATAAGATGCCGGCCCTACCATCCCCGCCGCCGCCCAAAGACGCCTCCCCTCCCCCGAAACCCTCAGCGAAAGAAACACCCACCTCATGAAAGACTGGATCGCCTACTGCCAAACCACCTGCTCATCCCACTGCTCACCCCGCTCCAACTGGACGCCCAACCGCCTCCTCGATCTCTCCGACCCAACGGGCATCCGTCTCGTAGAGTCAGTAAGCCCGGAGACTGAGTACGCTGCTTTTTCGTACGCGTGGGTCGATGATAAGGAGGTCTATTGTCTTATACAGGCTGATGGTTCTACTGTTGATGAACTGAGGGAAGGGGTGGGGCTTGAGAGTCTTGATCGCACGTTTGTTGACGCCGTCGCGGCGTGCCGCTCTCTTGGTATTGAGCATCTCTGGATCGATAGGCTTTGCATCTTGCAGGATAGCCCAGAGGACATCTTCAAAGAGGAATCTCTCATCCACAAGATATTCCAACACGCCAAAGTCACCCTCGCCGCGTAAGTTCCCCAGTCCATCCCTTTCATATTCCTTCTCCTCACTGACACATCCTCATCCAGAACCGACGTCCCATCCCCAGAATCCGGCTTCCTCTACCGCACCACCTCCCAAACCCCCGCAACAAAACTCTCCTACTCCTCATCAACCCTCATCCTCTCCCCCTCCAAACCCCTCCCCTCCGAATCTCAAACACCACGCACCCTCGCTACCGAATCTTCTAAATGGTCAACCAGCGCCCGCGCCCTCATCCAACGCTCTCTCTCCACCCGCCTCATCTACTTCCCCTCCTCCTCCTCCTCCTCCTCCTCACCTGACATCTTCTTCGAGTGCCGCTGGGGTCTCCGTGGCGAAACGCTCGGGTCCGAGTCCGCCCTCGGGCGCATCTCTCCTCTCTGTGCTCGTGCAGACGACCACGCCGCCCAGGAATATGCAGAGGTAAAAGGACGCATGAGAAGCTACGCGTACCTCGCCTTCCGGAACCTCCTCGTCGAATTCTCCACAAAACAAATCTCCAAACCGAAACATCGCCCGCTCCTCATGGCGAACGTAGCAGCCGCCGTCGAAGGCACAATACCAGACACGTACATCCAGCGCGCAGGTCTCTTCCAACGTGATATCCCGCAATCCCTCCTCTGGTTCCCCCTGCCGTCAGCTCCCCGCACGCGCATCTCCTCCTCATCCTGCCCAGCTCCATCTTGGTCCTGGACTAGTTTAAACGCACCTATATCCTTCCAAGCCGGCACGACAGACTACGAACTCCCCAAAACCCTCCGCAAACAAAAACTGGCCTTCCAAATTCTCTCACTGGCGGGATCACCTACCTCCCTGCCTACTCCCAGCACCGGAGAAGAGGCCAAAGAAACGGTCACCCCCCTCCGCCTCTCTGTAAAAGGCTTCCTCAAAAAATTAAAACACCTCACAGCAATAGAAGACACAGACCCCTCCCAAGCCGAATATCGCGCCGAATACCCCTACGACCTCGTCGTGGACTGCGGTACCTCTGCCGACGCGGGCGGCGACCGGGTCTTCGCACACGGGGACTTGGATTTGGGGGATGCCGAGGGGCTTGTGGGGTCGCCGTCCGGGAGGGAGTTTGCGTATTTGCATGTCGAGACGGAGACGTATCCTACTGGGTTGATACTTGTGCGCGTGCAGGAGGAGGGAGGAGATGGTGGGGAGGGGGAGGAGGTGTATAGGAGGGTCGGGGTTGCGAGTATCGTGGGGAGTATTGGGGGCATCTTGGTCGACCCGCCATTTGTCCTTTCGGAGCATGGAGCTATTTCTTTGGTATAGTTCTCTATTAAGTTTGCCTTGTTGTCTCTAGAGCCATCATGTCGGATGCAGATGGTGAGGGATCCGTCATTCATCTAAATCTGGTGAGTTGACCAAATGTACTATTCTTCACCACGATTCGATCAAGACGCAATGCATAGTCTAATCTTCGGGGGAAACAAAACGAAGGCATCAGTATTCCATAGCCAAAACAATCCATCCATATATATTAGTAGCGCAGCCGAATGCTCGGTTTCCAGAGTACCTCTGTCCATCTTCTGGTATATCTCTTTCAAAAGAACCCAATCTCACCTATCCAATCAGCAAAAAGAACATCACCTCAAATGGCTCATTAGCTCCCATGCAACAATGCTAAACACCAGGCTTGACCCTCTTAACAAGCCCATGCTTCGTCCAGATTCAAACTCGTCTCACCCCCTAACATGGCGCAGAAACGAAAATCAGATAAAATCAAGAAAAAAGAAGAAAATATAGCAGTAATAATAATAAAAAGAAAAGAAAAATCGGCCGTAAATCCCAAAATAAAATGTCAAAAATGCCACCAAGAACTCCAGAAAAAATATGAGCCATCCTATCCAATGATTCTCCCCACATCCATTCTCCCCACGCCGTCCCTAAGATCCAACCACGCCAGAATGCGACCGTCTCGAGTTCGTCGGTAGCAGTATCTCCTCGTCATCCTCGCTATCGTCCTGTGCCGCCCGCTCCAACATCTTCTCAATCTCGTCATCGCGTAGTCTCGGCCTCTCTTTCGCCAAACCCGCGCCCAAAGCTGCCGGCAGACTAAGCGACGATCTTAGCGAAGGGACAGCGCCGTGCCCGTTCGTCCTCCGTCTCGGCGTACCCCGTACCACGCCGGTGTGCGGAGATCCATGGATAGGAGGCGAGTCGATGTCGACATCCATGTCGTCGGGAGATCCCAAGGCAACCATAGAGGCTGATTTCTCAAATCCTACACGCTTATTGTTGTGCAAAGGCCGGCTCGTCGGGAGACTCTTTCGAGGTTGGCTTGTGGGGAGGGCGTGGCGGCCACCAGGTGTCCGCGTGACGGTATGGTTCGGCGACGTCGCAGGGGAGAAGGCATGTTTCAGCCGGCTCGAGTTGCCGGGGCTGCTCATGGAAATCAGGGCCTCGATGGCATCCTGGTCGCGGATATTTTGATGCGGCGAGTAAAGAATTGGGTCGACAGGTCGAGAGACGCGGGGCGTAGGCTGGCTGTGGGAGATGTAAGGCGAACCGTAAATTGGAGTTCGCGGGGATGCGGTATGTGATTGAGACAGAAGGGTGGGTGTGTAAGTCTGCTTCGAAGTTCCGTAGTGGCTGCTAACAGCTTGTCCGGGTTGGATCGGAGCCGGCGGGGCAAGGCCGCTTCGGGGTTTCGCGGTATCAATATTGTTGGTAGTAGCTCTGGGGCTGGCATAGGGCCGGCGCGATGTGTCGGGCCACGAGGGCTCGTATGGAGAATGGGTTTGGCTAGCGGGGGGCGTAACATTGTTGGCGGATCCGACGGCGCCCTGCGAGAGGGCGGGACTCGCAGAGGATCCTCGACGTCTCGGGAGGGTGGAAGAGCTCGAGGTGGGCGAGGCGGCGTGGGAGGCAAGGGATTCCACCTCGTCTATAGAGTGGCCCTGCCACCCGTGGTTCACCTTGACCATCGCGTAGGACAGACGCGTCTTGAGTTCGGCAGTCAACTAGAAGCCAGTCAGATTAGCACATGAAGGGGAAGAGAAAAAGAATTGTCCATTAGGCAACCGGCAGAATGACTCGTATTATAAAGGGAAGCAAACTCCCTCTGCCGGGAACTCCGTACCTCATTAATGCGACTGCCCGTCGTAGACGCCATGCTAACAGTACTCGTATTCCTCGAGTGTCCTGTCCTCATGGGCGACATCGCAGAGAAATCCTGCGACTTCATCTTGCCGTCGGCCATTCGTTTCCTCGTGGGGACGGTGTCACTGTCGTCGAGCTTCTCCTGCATGGCGGCGATCTGGGAAAATTGGAAGAGCTGGGATTCCTGGCTGGAGCATTGCGAAGACTGCGTCGCGGGTGCCGTCACGGGCATCGCGACGGAATTCTCTTGGCCGAAACTCATGTTCCCGCCGTTGGCCTTGGAGGGTAGCACGGTCGGGGAGGGTGGATTGGAGTGTTCTCTGTGCATGAGCTCGAGGCGAAGAAGCGTCGGAATCCTAGAAGAGACAACGGGTCGGGGAAAAAAGAAGGGAGGCACGATTATTAACTTGAGAGCCTACAGCTGTCGCAGCGGTCGATAAAGCGATCACAAGGTCGAAGTAAATCGTTTGGGGCCTCGATTGGCGCGGAGGGAGACTACGTCGAGTAGTAACGCCGCTAGAGAGAAAAAAAAAAAAAAACAAAGCTAAGACCTCGAGGGCGACGCGAGATGTCCAAAGAAAACTAAACGACGATAACTGAGGCCGACACGCAAGCCGCAGACTCGCAGCAAACAGTCGTGCAGGCGTAGCGGTCGAGTGTGGTGGTCTTGACTCTTGGGTGTGGTGGCGGGCGGCATGCGGCAGCGGCGGCGGTTGGCGCTGACGCGCAAGCGTTGTCCTGAGTCGCGTCGGAAAATGCACAGCGACAGCGTCGAAGTAACGGCGTGGGCAGCGGCGAGACGGGAATACGACTAATTTCTTCAAGCTGACAAGAGATGAAATCAATATTCCAGCGCGACTCGGAGGAAGACACGAATATCAGGCCCTTGGGTGGTGTTTGGGTGTGGTGGTGAATGAATTGCGTGGAGGGGCTCGGTTAGGACAGAAATGAAAACGGAAAAAGCCAGACTCGATGCAGAAGATCAAATGACAACGACAGATTCGGCTTTGTTTTGGGTCGTGATGGCAAACTGCAGAGGAGTCGGGATTTCGAATCAATGCTTCGAATCCAAGCTTCCCATTGTTTGTTGTGGTTAGTTGTAACGGGAGGATTTTGGCAAGCGGGAATAAGAATGGCATTCACGGACGAAAACCAGGTCTAGCTGCAGCACGATGTGTCGCGTCAGAATTAGGCTTAGGGAAGGTTGGGCGCGAGGTAGAGTAGGATTTTGAGGGTCTTGGGGATTGGTGTACGAGTACTCGCGTCCTTAGTTGTTCCTGCTAACGGTATGCGAGGACGTGAATCCGCGAGGTACTGTACTTCGTTGTACTGCTGGCAACGCTGGCTTAGCGGGAAACCGCGGACGTGGCGGGTGGATTTCTAGTGGATCGTGCCTACCTTGATTGTTTGTCCATTGCTGGAGAGGGAAGCAAACGAAGCAATGACTAGAGTTTAGCGGACCTGCCGCAGCTTGGGACTTCCACAGCGCCTGCACAGAACGTCCATAGCGCCGTCCTCAATGGCGTTCAGCCATTGACCGGTTCTGTTTGTCCGTGCTGTTGAGCTCAGCAAGCACCGCATTCAAACTAATTTAGTTCGTCGCCATCGCGAGGCCGTGCTGCCCTCCATCACGACCGCTATTCTTGCCGACGGACCAGTTCAGTTGCTCCCCTTTGCGTCCTGGGGGAGAGTACACTACGAAAGTACGAAGTACGCCATTTTGTACTCCATACAAAGGTACTGAGGAAGCCGGAGACTTCGAACGTTGTTGCCAACCCAAAACAAAACCAATGGATCACCGTTACAGAGCATCTACTTCACGCTTCAAGTCGAGTCTGAGTTCAAAGCTGGCGTCCCTCGACCCGATTTAACCGGCAGCGATTTGATGTGCGGAGTTTTCAGTAATTTGCCCCTTCAAAATGCCAAATCTCTCGTAAGAAATGGATAATAGATCCAAGTCTCGAGTTGGATCAATTCTCAATGTTTCTGCATGATGTGCATGACGGCCACAGTCGAGTCAAACAAACATCAACTCCAATCTATCATCTCGACATTGGTTAGAATCAGATGCTCAGATGTTTGTGTCGATGAAAAGGGCCAGTTGCAGCTGCCGTTGCAAGGAGGCAAACTTGACCGAACAGACTCGACAAACTTGGGTTTTGGACGCTCCTTCCCAAACAATCACCGAACTTCAAATAAGAGACCAACAATTACAATTGTAGGCAGGTGCATTCAGTAACTGATGGAACTGCGGATAATGCTCGTTCTTCATCCATGTAAATATCATCTGTCAACCTTTTAAAACCTCTTCCAGCAAATACACTATTCAACATCCATAATTTACAGCATTCTACGAAGTAATAGCCCAAGACACGGGATAATCCTAACGCTTTTTCTTCTCCATTCCTCTTCCTATTCTCTTTATTCTCTTTATTTTTATTTTATATTTCCCCCCCTTTCCCTTTTCCCTTTTTCTGCTTCTTCCTCACCAGCTAATATCAAAACTTCAACTTGTACTTGTACACTGTACATTTCTCCACTGGAACCCTGGATTCGCCACCACACGTGGGATTCTGTCGGCCCTCAAACTATCGATGCAGGTGCATCATGTTTGGTCATAACCGCTGCAGAATTTTACATCTCGCACGCCGAAGGAATAAAGGTCTGTTTGAAGGAGGGGACAAACAATTTTCATTCTGAATCATCAGGATCATCCCGCCTCTGACTTGGCAAATGCACTGGGGGTAACACCGAAGCTTGCATCAAGACACTGTTTGGCAAGAGCACCAGTTGCAAACGACCACGAGCCAGAGGAGTGGGCGGACAAGGTACATGTACCCCTTGAACAGCTCGGTCAATTTGCTGGCTCGTTTAATGCGGGAATTAGCACGAAAAAAAAATAAATCCCATGTCGCAAGCTTAATTCTTCCGTCTGAGACAACACTAAGGAGTTGAGTAGTGCACAGCAGAAAGAAACTGTCCTCATCAGAAAATTATCACTTCGTCTCTGCAGGAGGAGAACCCAGACGGGATTGCTGGCTGCTTCCGATATTTACTTGTAGATTTTCTTTCGGCGAAGAACTGGGCATTTTAGCACGGACTCAACCACCGAGGTCACCGGCTCATGGTCGCGCTTTGCAAAGTAAAACCCTGCAAAACACGAAGTCACGTGGGTCGCGTCTTGGCTCCGCCAGCTGGCACCACTTGAGTTCAAGCTGGGCTCCAGCGCGATGAGGGCTTTCAAGTTTTTCAGGACTGCTCAAGACGAGTGTCACTTTGGGGTTTATGATCTCTTCACTCCATCTAGGCCGTCCCGGCCTCATTTTCTACTCCTTGATGGAGTCAACCGTTTTCTGACTCTGGGGTACGTGGAGCGGCAAAGCCATTATAAGTAAGAGTGAGAGAATTGTATAATTGTTTCGAGGAAGAAGTTCTTGACGACCATGGGGGGCTAATCGAGCTGATTGGAATGAGATGGGAGACGAGAGAGGGAGAGCGTAAACGTTAGTAGATCTCGGAATCGCTCCCCAAAGTCATCGCCCCCTCCTCTCTCATATACACCCCATCCCTCATCTTCGTTCATTTGCCTCTGCTTCCTCCTGACGGGAAATCTAGCAGGCGGGAATGGTGATAGCGTTCATGGCATTGACCTCTTCCAAGAATACCATGACGACATCTAAGCCCCACGAACTAAAAGTTGACCGGACCCTGAAAGTTATTCCCCTGTACAACTTTCCCACCACCGTAGTTATTAATCGTCCCCGTCGTCACACTCCCAATATAACGCGGGGGGGCCGGTGACGGTGACGGCGAAGACGGGGGTGGCGTCTGAATCGCCGGCAATCCATACCACTGCCAGCCCATATCTGTTATTCCTTGCCCACCCGGCACGGGAGGTACATGCCCCTGGTACCCTGACGAACGCCCTGGTGGCGGGACCGAGTTAAACGGCGCCTGCCCCGCCCAACCCGGCATACCGCCGTACAACGCCGGACCCGGAACAGGATTCTGTGCGCCGACATTACCCTGATGCAGGGGCTGCTGCGCCGCGGTGCTCCTCTGAAGCTCTCTAACCCAGCGCAGTATCTCAGTCGACACAGACAGGTAGCCGGGGTCTTCGTCGCTGGAGAACTTGGGCATGTCCATGTGATTGTTGTGTATTCCAATGGCGTTGTATGCCGGAAGAATAGCCGAATGCTTCGGAACAATCTACAAGAAGTCTTTACTTTAGTCCCTAAGAAAGAGAAGACAAAAACTCAAACGGGAGGGGGCCGCATGTCTAAAGCTCACCTCGCCTATGCCCCTCACGGGCAACTCCTCATAGAAGCAGGTAATCCTCAACGCCGGCCGCCCCTGATCCTGTCGACTCCTAACCATATTATGAAAATCCGTCTGAATGAGCGCCAGTACCTCGGACTCGGGCTGCAGGGCTCTCAAAAGACTCGCGTCCGTCCTCTTGACGACGCCGGTGATCTGACCAAGAACGCTAGCCCAGTTCGCCAGCGCCGATCCGCAGTGCGGTGTTGCGAGGAAACAGACTCCGTACGTCGCGTCGTAGATGCGCCGGATGTGAGGCTCTGCACTATTCCGCGAGGCAATCATTGCCTTTCTCCATTTTTCGATTCAGTTCTGGTAACGCGGCCAGTGGAGGAAAAGGGGGGTGGAGAGAGCTTGATCAACTCACATCCTCAAAGACAAGGCCACCAAGGCTATGCGTCACGAACAAAATCGGCCGCTCCTCCGTATCCGTCCTCTCGCGCAGCTGCACAAGCGCATTAACGAGGTTCGTTGCGTGGTTGCGGATACGATTCTGCGATGCCACGGCCCAGAAATGAACAACGTCAGCGTCGTAGCCGAACGTGAAGATGCGCGTTCTAGGTACGTCGTTCTTGAGGAGGTGAACGGGCCAGAATACGCCGTTTTTGGAGGTCCATGTTGTTTCGCGGTTTCCTGTGAGACCATGGACGAAGACGATGCTGTATTTGGGACATATTTCAGTATCGTTGCTTCGTTTTATTTTTCCTACTCCCCTGTATCTTTGTCCGTCGGGGGATTAAGAACAAAAACGTACTCGGCAACCGCTTCTTCGGAGTCATGACACTTCTTTAGGCCGTATACACCCTTCGTCGAGTATCTGGGCGTTTCGCGAAGGGTTAGAAACTGTACGGAGTGATCCGGAGTGAAGTCCGTAGTGGCAGGCCCTCACCCTGTGGTTGAGCCCTCCCCGCTTGTGGGAGGACACGTATCGTCGATTGTTCCTACGGCGTTTCTCGAAAACATGGCACTTTAGGACTAAAGTCAATTTCTCAATGAACGAGTTTGTGTCGGGAGAAGTTTCTTGTTGGGTTCGTCCCTAAGAACTGGTAGGGACGACATGACCCGCACACCAGGATTACGGATACGAATTCCCTATCCCCTCACCCTCCCGGGTCCCATCAATCGTCTCCTCTCATGGCTGAGACAGCTCGCGAATCACAGGGCACCCCTCAGTCCTTCGAAGACACTACACAGGATACTGATGGATTCTTTCCTCTTCACCCTCCCCTATCCAATAATCTTCGCCCGCCCTCATATCACTCACTACCAAAACCGGAGCTGACAACCCCCCATGGAACAGACAAGTTCCATCTCCCGCATGCGGTACCAGGTTCAGGCCGTGACGACGACCAGGCTGAGCTTACTCAACGCCAAACGTGAAGGTGTAGGTAGTGTGTGTGAAGTAGATCAAGCCGCTCGATAGATATAACCAATAATGGCATACTGCCCCCCGCCCATTCGACCAATTCCGCTCTCAGCACACAATAAAGTGGGAACCGAAGTTATTTTCTGCAGACCACTATCTTTGCCGTTTCCCCTCCGATTGGACAGCCCGCTCCGAGCTTGCAAAGTCTCCAGGTGCAGGGCGAGCATCATGTGCGGCTTACAACGTCGCAGGGGGTTAATTAATGTCAGAGCCTGGCTCTTATTCGATCCCCAGACGCCCGTTTGGATCCCCCGCAGAGGTGCCTGGGTGCAGGCTCGGGTGAGGCCAGGCTGCCGGGGTCAGTTGGGTGTGAAGGACACTCAGGCTCTGACTGACAGGATCACTGAACGACTCCTGGGCTGGTCCTGGCCCTTGATCAAGATACATCCCAACTCTTCGATTCCTTGTCCGCTCCCCCGCCCTCTGTCCTCTCACTTGCATGCCTTTTGCTAAGCAAGTTTTTTTTAGATGCAGCCAAGAACTCCGAAATTGGCAATTCTTCTGTTTTTAACAACCTCGTGAGCCACAACTTGTGCTGTGGATGATCGACCACAATGGAGAACTTCACGTCGAAAAAGGGCTTCTCCCACATGGGAAGTGTCATCACGGGAACGGTCAACAACCACGGCCTCCACATGAGCGGAAACCACTTCAGCGGCGCAGTTACTATCCTCGGTGCGTGGTGCCGCCACTTTCCCCTACCTCGAACTTACATTGTGTCTTGTTGGCTCTCAACACGCATCTTCTAACCCAGAGTTAAACACCAGGCAAGCACAGCGACGAATCCAAAGAAGACCTGTGCAAGAAGGCCCTATTCCTAACAAACCCCATCGACGACAAGACGCAAATAGAAGACAACAACGACCAACTCATTCCAGGTATTTGCCAATGGATCCACAATCACCCCAGCTTCAGAAGCTGGCACGCGGACACGAGTAACTCCGACCTGCTCTGGGTTTCTGGCGCCCACGGCATGGGTAAGACGATGATGTCCTTGTTCCTGATCGAAGAGATCAAGAGGATGCAGATGCAGGCTCGCGGGGGTGGCCTCGTTCTTTACTACTTCCTCGATTCCTGCAACGAGAAGCGCAATACGGCCGTGTCAATCCTGCGCGGACTCATTTTCATGATGATCCGGCAATACTCGGAGATGATACATTATCTCATGTCGGACTTTGAGTACCAGAGGGAAAGCCTGTTTAGTCAGAGCTCGCTGGAAGCGCTCTGGCGAATCTTCGAGGCGATGCTGAGCGACCCGAGAGCGGCGAGGGTCATCTGCGTCATTGACGGTCTGGACGAGTGCCAGCAGGACTCGCTCAAGCCGTTTCTACGCAAACTCTCAAATTTCTACGAGAACCAACAGAATATCCAGCAACTCACGCAGACTCACAACCTCAATCCCGCCCTCTTGAACCCCGTCGCGTCAATGAAGATGGTTCTTCTCAGCCAGGAAGAGCCCGCTTGTCTAACGGAATCTCTGTCGCACTTCCCCCGTGTTAGGATAGAGGAGGCGGCGCTCTACTCGGGGCAACCAAGACCAGCAGCGGAAACAAAGATGAGACCCCAAGCCGGGTCGGCGAAGAAGGCTACTGCCGGGAAAGGTGTTAAGGGAGGGCTGTCATCCGCCGTCCAGCTCGCACTGAAAAAGAAGAGAGTTGAGGAAGCCAAGGCTGCTATTGCCAAAGCGGAGGCAAATGCTGAAGCAAAAGCGCAGTCACAGGCCGTTGCAGCTTTAGGGCAACAGGTTTCCAAGCTAACCGTGAACGATCCGGAGAGTAGCCCTGAATCATCTGCTCAAGGCGTCACGGTGCCGGCCGATCAGTCCCAAACTGTGGTGAAAGCAACGGGGGAGTATGTCTTCGATGAAGAAGTAGTAGATGATGTTGGTTCCATCCAATACGAGGAGGACGTCGCGGCGGAAGAAGAGGCGGAGCTAGTACTGCCACTCGCGCTCTACATTAGAGCTAAGGTCTCCGAACTAGTCCAAGAACAAGGCTCCAACCCGGCCGAGGTATCAATCGCGGAGATTCTCAAAGCCCGCGGAGACGGCACCTTCCTCTGGGTCGACCTAGCCATCGGAGAGCTCAAGCGGTACGCCCCAGAGCACTCTCTCCAAGTCGCCGAGCAGCTACCCTCCGACGTCAACGAAATGTATTGCCGAATCCTGCGCCAGATCCCTCCGCATATGGTCCAACTTGTTGCTGCAGTCCTGAGATGGGTCGTTGCAGCTCGTCGTCCGCTAACAATCAACGAACTGTCGGCTGCGTTGACGCACATGGGATTCTCAACCAACGACCCGCTCGGCATGACGAAGCAGGGCATCGCCGCGTGTAATCCCCTGCTCAAGCTGAACAAGGACGGTGTAGTTAACATCACGCACACGTCATTCAAGAATCTGTTGACAGCTCCCTCGGGCGCGCCGTGGATCGACGCAAACTTCATGCAATTCCACGTTAACGTCGCCGACGTCGACGGAGACATATCCAACTTCCTCCTCAGCTACCTCGAGAGAGGTTGCTTGAGTGATGGCTCGTCCTCGGTTGTGGAGGACCCGTCAAAGTATAACCAGCGCTGCGTACAGTTCCCCCTATTCTCGTACGCCGTCGTATTCTGGCCCGATCACCTACGATCGGCGTCTCGTCCGACCCTGAACCTAGGCGCCCCATTCTTCGCGAAGAAGTCCGTCTCTAGGAAGAATTGGTGGTTATCATACTACCCCGAGACGACAAAGAAGGGCCCAATGCTGGCGCCGCGCGACTTTGGCTTGCTACACTTGGCTGCCTACCTCAATCTTCCGATTCTCGCCCACCACCTAGAGCAAAGAGGCGAAGTAAAACCGCGCATCGACAGTCGCGACAGCCATGGCAACACGCCGCTTGCGTTGGCGGCCTCGACTGGCGGTATGGACATGCTCGTCTTTCTTATGCAGCGGGGCGCTTCTCATGAGTGCCTTGCTGAGAACGTGTTTGAGTTGGCGTGTAGGAAGGGACAGGCCGCGGTGGTGGAGTACCTTTTGAATTTGGGGTATAACCCAAATGTTCCGGCTAGAGATGTCGGTGCGCTTGAGTCTCTAGGCAAGAGTGCTCGATGGTAGGCATTGCACACGGTCCTTCTTCATGTTGGGAGCAGGCAAGGCTAACAAAACATACGTTTAGGATCCACGGAATAGTTAGCGAAGGAGTAGAGTTGGATATTGACTTGTGGAGACTCATGACACGGGATACAGGGACCGGTGGAACGCCCCTCTACTCCGCAGCTCTCGGCGGCCACACCGAAGTCGTCAAGCTACTCCTGAGTAGAGGCGCCAATGTCCACGCGGCCACCACGAAGCGATGGACCGCACTACACGGCGCATCCTGGACCGGCCAAACCGAATGCGTCAAGCTACTCCTCGATCACGGCGCTAAAGCTCTCGAAGTCACCGATAACGGCTGGAATCCGATGCACTGCGCAGCAGCGCGAGGCAAAGCCTCCCTCGTCCAGTTCTACCTGAAGCTCGGGATGCCCATCGACGCCTTAACCGTCAAAAGGAAGAGCGCTCTTCACTTAGCCGCTTACAATGGCAGTGCGCCAACCCTGCGTGTCTTGGGGGCCGCGGGGGCGTCCGCGAATCTTCAGTCGCATAAGGGAGAAACGCCGCTGCATTTGGCGACCCGGAGATCGAAGCCTGAAGCTGTTGAGGCTCTGCTTGCTGGGGGTGCTGAGAGGACGATACCGAACAATGTGGGAGCGACCCCTCTTGACACAGTTAAGATGATCAAGGGGACTTTGAGCGAGGACAATGCAGAAGTCCTAAGAATCCTTGAGACATTTGGAACGCCTGGTTATGTGAGTACTGCATTGTGGCATTCTTTTTTTTTTTTCTTTTTTTTTTTTCTTTTTTTTTTTTTTTTTTTTTTTTTTTTTTAATTCTTTCTCTTACATTTGATTTTCGTCAGTATCAACTAATGAGTGTGTTCCAGATTCCATGGGCACCCAAGGTAGATCCAAACGCGGCAGCGGTCGCACCAACACAGAATCAAGTGACAGGGCCAGCTGGGCCAGCAATTACCGGAATCCAGGCTAGCTTCCAGTTCACGAGCCAGCAAGCCTCGTACTACCAACAGGGCGGAGTTGGTGTGCAAGGAGGAGCGGCGATGCCAACTACCCCGATACCAAATCCATACATGGCACCGCAATCCTACTGCAACACTCCACCCCCGCCGTATACACAGTCCCCGGCATTCCAAGTCAATCCTCAGACTGGTTACTTACCCGAAAAGCAGGCCCAAGCATCAGCTCCCGTCATCCCATCTCAGACCGGCCATCAAGCTAATATTCCCAATATGGTGTACCGAAACACGGCGGACACGGGTGCTTCGTTTAACGGAGCCCAGCCAGGAGGCGCGCAGGATTATACTAGCACACCTACAACGGTATATCCCGGGATGGGTGGTGGCACCAGCCAACAACAGGTCGAAACCCCGATGTACCAGAATACCACTGCCCCAGGAATGAGTGCAATAACCACGCCTCTATCCCCTTATCCTCAAACACAAGCTCCCGGGTTGGTTGAGCACCCAGCAAGAGCAACCACAGCAAACCTAATGTACCAGAGTTCAGCTGTTCCAGGATTCAATGCCAATGGAACAACGCCAGTTGCAACTTTCCCGCAAAGCAATGGTCTGGCCGGGAAGCCAATTGAAAGTCCAGTTCATACAGCCGTTGGAAGCGGACCGGCGTTGCTCACACCATCCTATCAACAGACGACTGGGCCGAGCCAACAGTCAGTGACGGTCCCGGTTCACGGCGCTCCCCAAGCAAACGCGGCCTATGCACCAGCCGCCCCGTCACACGCAATACATCAGCCACCTTCTAGCACCGCCACTGTTTTCTCGGAGACCGCTCCTTCGAGCCTGTTCGCCGAGCAGCAGCCAGCGGCAGAGCTACAGGCGGAGGTTGCCGTTCCCCAGCAAGATGCGTCCCCGTCAGCACCTACCAGACAACCGACCATTCAAATCCAAGACTTGGGGAGTCACCAAGAATTACCAGTTGAGCACTCTAATACCATTCAAGGACACCAGGGCCAGCCGGCCAACCCGACAACCATCTCGCCTCCTCTGCGACGAGATACGCAACCGAACGCCTGGAATATCAACTCAGCTCCAGCCCTCCCACAACAGCAGACACAAGTTCCGGTCGCCAGTCTCACGCCAACTCCATCGCCGCAGCAACACAGTTACCAGCAGAACTTAACAGGTGTCTCGTCTTTCCCTCTGCAAGGGGCCTTCCCGACAGGCGTGTCGAATATCACGCCCGTTCCCGCCGCGCCGCAATGCAATGCCCAGCCGAGCATTTCTCCAATATTGCCATCTCAGCAGCCCTTCCAGCAGCAACAGCAACAGCGACAGTGGCCAGCATCGACCCAGATCCCAGCCCGGCAGCAGACTTGGCCCACCACAGCTGTACAGCCGATTCCACAAGCCCAAACCCTCGTGACGCTTTTGCCAACTGCCCCTCACCAACCCTGGAGCCAGTCCGGGGTACTTTCACCCCCTTCAGTCCCGCAAACGACAGGGGTAGGGTATCAAAGCCAGCCGAGCCATATGGCACCCGCTCCAGTACCGAGTTATAACCCGAGTGCGTTCCCAACAGCACCCACAGCATCTACCCTATCGACACCGCAGACGACGGGACAAGTAGTCTTCACCCCTCCAGGGTCAACAGGTTATGGTGCACAGCAGCAGCAGGCATGGCAGAACCCGCAGTACCCCCAGCAATCCGGGTATGTCCCACAGCAGTATGGCCCACAGGGCGGTTCTCTGGCCGTGAGCTACACGCCTAGTCAGTATTGGGCAACGGAGCAGATGCAGTTTAGGCCGCCGACGGGTCAGACAGGGATGCAGAAGAAGAGGAGCATCATGAACCTGGGTGGGCTACTAAAATAAAGGGAGAAGTTGCAGAGGTTGATCTGGGGTTTTTGGGTATTTGTACTTGTGTATTAGTTTGATTTCATGCCATTCTTGGTTTCATCGCGCTTCTCTTTTGGTTGAAGGTTGAGTCTTCCAGGGCAAAGAAGTGTTTGACATGTACCTTGAGAGTGATGGTACATATGAATTGATTGCTATGTGTATAGTAATAGAGAAAAGTCTCCCCAATGAGGGCAAGTATAAAAACAACCGCTAAAAAGAATGACAGCCAAATTATGCATTAAAAACCATAAACAGCTTTCCCAACCCTTGTGAGCATGTAATGTAGAACGCGCCCTCAAAGGCGCACCAGACGTAAGTCTAAGCTTAGAACCAGGAATTTTTTGTCATGCCAGACAATGTAATGCACTTTTTTACCAGTGGGGAGTGTTGACAGCCAAGCCCATGAGGCAGCCTCCAATGAGACCAGCAATGGGGATGGTCATAATCCAAGAGAAGAACAGGAGGAAGAATCGCTTCCAGTTAACAGCCTTGAAGGTGCCGTTGCAGAGACCAACGCCAACAGTCGCGCCAGTGATGCACATAGAAGTAGAGACGGGAAGAGAGTACTGGGAGAAGATAAGAATGGTAATGGCGGCACCCATCTCCATAGAAGATCCTCGGCTGGGCGAGTGGTATGTGAGCTTGTTACCCATGACTATTTAACCAAAAGAATGTTAGCAACACCGATCCCAAAAGGTGAAAAGAAGCACAAGAAAGGCCTCAGATTCCAACTTTAAGCATAACTAACCCTTCATAATATTATAACCGTATGTTATGAAGCCAATGCAAATCATAGCAGCGGTGATGCCGAGTTGCCACATGGGCACTTCAGCCTTGGAGGCGCTGGGCTTTCCGGTCGACCAGGCAGCGTACATACCAGCCCAGACACCCACAGCGTTACCGACGTCGTTAGCGCCGTGGGCGAAGGAGGCAGTGCAGGCAGTGATGACCTGTACGTAGGAGTAGAGATGTTCGACTTCGTTGGAGTACTTGGGGGCGTAGCTGTAAACGCGCTCCATGCGCTTACCCTCGGGGGATCCGCGAATGCCAATCTGGGCAGTGTGGATATCGTAGTGCGTTCCGTAGAGAAGCGCGACAACGATCTGAGCGGGGATGCGCTTGACGAGGGCGATGAGGTTGTGTGTCTCGTGGATGGAGCCGGCGCCGAGCCTGTTCCTGTGGAGGTGGCGCATGGCCCAGCCGAGGGGGCCCTTCGTCTTCCTCAGGTTGGCGTGGTGCTTTTCCTGGGCCTCGGCAAGGAGTCGCTTGTACTCCTCGTGGGGATTCTCAGAGACTACAAGACCCTTCTCGCGGTCGTCCACAGACGATGTGCTAGCGATTTTGACGTCGTTGCCGGTGGCAGTGGTCTTGGATTCCAAGACACCCTGGTGTGGGGTGGAGGGGGCGGTGGCGTCATCGGAATCGCTGTCCTCCTGGACGACGGCATAGTTGGGAACCTTGGCCTTGGTGTTCTCGGCATCAGGGGGAGCAGGCCGCTTGAGGAGAAGGGGGCCCTGGAAGATCATCCACCATTTGAGGGTGTAATCCTTCTTGACAACCTTGGCGTGGACGTAGGGAACGAAGAAAAGAGCGGAGAGGAAGAAAAGTCCGAAGCCGACACCAAGAGAAACAGAGGCGATGTACCAAGCGGGCTTCTTGTCTAGGCCTAGCCTAGGAGAGCCCTTGTACACGACGGAGAGAGAGCAGACGGTGCCGGCAATGAGGAAGAAGAAGGGCGACGTCCACACAGCCCAGGGCAAAGGCTGCTTTCGCATGTGGACAGTCACCTTGATGAGCATGAAGATGATGGCGCCGAAGCAGCCGGAAATGAAGGGGGCCATGGCCAAACCGGCAAAGATAGCGCCGAGACCGGTACCCTTGTTCCATCCCCATTGCACCTTGCTGGCGCCGACGGCAGCAACACCGACACCGGCGATGGACGAAACGAGAGAGTAGGTCGATGAGACGTGAGCGGAGTTGCGGGTACACCACATCACCCAGGTGGCAGCACCGGCGGAGGCACAAGCGAAGGCAAGGAGCTGCACGCCGGCGTTGTCGCCAAAGGACGAGCTGGGGATGATACCATTCTTGATGGTGGAGGCGGTTCTCGCGCCGACGGCTAGAGCTCCGGTTAACTCGAATATCACGCACAGGACCATAGCCTGGCGGTAAGTGACGGATCGGGAGGAGACGCTGGTAGCCCAAGCGTTGGCAACATCGTCTGTACGAAGAAGGAGTTTGTTAGCCTCAGGGTACTATGCGGGGACGGGATCGACAAAGTAAAAAGACAAAAAGCAAAAAGTTAAAACAAGGGCTTGATAAGGTTGCGGAGCACTTACTGGCGCCATTGTTGAATGCCTCAAGCAGCGCAAAGAGCGTGCCGATGGCAAAGATGTAGGTGTAAGCGTCGAGAGCCATTGTCGCGGTTTTGGCTTGCACTGCACTGCACTTCTTGGTGAGCTCGAGTCCTCAGTGTGGCCGACTTATCCGGTCCTCAAAACTAAGAGGCAAGACTGAGGTATTTATATATATTCTTTGCCCACGTTGCCTCCCATCGCCCGAACGTGCTCATCTCTTTCCAGTGTCACGGTGCTGGCGTATTACTCCACAGAAGATAGAATGAACGGACGAGCTGTGATGCTTAGAGAGCCATCTCGGTGCTGAATGAGACTAGCGCTCCGCGCCGGACGCATGGGCTGGCGCGCCCCGAACGGCATAGCGTGGAAAATGCCTGTCGGTCTTCCATTTTGGGCGACCGAGGAGTCCAGCATTCAGCCCAATGGGAAGATGATCTGCCCGATTGCGAGGATAAGCAATAGTTCCCCGAAGCCACTGTGTGATTATTCTCATCAAGACTACGCGGTCCTTTTTTTTTTTACTTTTCCGCCCTCTATTCTCTCTCCTCACTATACGAGCCAATATTCGTGATCAACATACGTCTGGGGCTGCGAATCGGTGTTGAAAATGGGAATGCAACTCCGCACAGACCGACGCCTAGTTGGTCGAGATCGGGAGCCAACAGTTTTCCCTCGATCCCGGAGCCTGTCTACGAAGTACACCAATGCATGTAGCCATGAGGCGGCGTTCCTGCCAAGGAGTCTTGGGTCTCATTTTTCCTCTTGGCGAGTGTCATTCGGTTTTCTTTCCTTGCTGCTTTTTCCGAAGAAGGAGATGTGTCGTGCGACATCCCTTTGAATTGAGGGAAATAGATCTCGCCTGTAATCTTATCACACGATCGTAGATCAGAAGGAGGAAATAGAACATAAAACTCATTCACGAGAGGGCATTGTGTCGCTGTGATAGTCCCACTGGTGATAACCACCAGTTGATTTCTTCCCCCTTCTTTTGTAATCGGGGGCGCCGACTAGGCTCAATACAAAGTGACGGCTGTCACACCTAATGCGGTATTCAATATTCGTCCCAAGCTGTTAACAGAGAAAAAACGAAAAAGAAAAAAGAACGTTTTGGAGGGGCTTTTCGCCACGACCCCGCGGTGATTCCGCAAAGGAAATAAACTAATAGCAACTATCTTCAGACGTGAAAAGAGAGCCAATGCCCTTCCCACGTGGGCCATGGAAAGTGGAAAAGTGGAAAAAAAAAAAAAAGCGCAGCGCAGGCAGCTGTGGGTTTATGCTTGAGCTTTTTCGAGCTCTCTCTCCAGCCATTTGGAAGATGCTCCGCAGCTAGTCTGAGAGGGGCTAGTATGGGGACGGCTCGGCGCCTCAGACTGGCATAGTCGGACGAACCCAACTGATATCTCTTGCTGAGGAGCACGTGGGCAAAAGTAAAACTGGAGGTTGTCCGAATCTGGTCCCGGTCAAAGATCTTGAAAAATTGAAAACTTTCCTCGGCCAACTGTAAATATAGAACTCATTTTGGGCTTAGAGTTTCAATGCGTCGACCAACAGTTCCCCGGTAAGTGCCTCCTCTCTTCATACACCCCGGGGATGTGTCTAGCAGTCCTATCTAAACCTATACCAAGGGTTTTAAACGTTAGCTCGAGAGATCCTCGCTGCCACCGGACATATCTTAGATCACGTATTGAGCAGGTACATCCTCTAATGTTGTTTGTTTGAAAATACTTATTTAGTACCTCTCATGAGATAGGTCAGGTGGTGGATCTGATCTCTCAAAATAACATTAAAACCCTGGCATAGTATTATGAATGGGGGATGGGGGGGAAGAGACCACTCGACTTGGTCACCGCTCGCCTCTCACTGAGCCTTCTACTTCGTACTTGGCCCATGGGCATTTATCGAAAAGATGGGGGTCTGTACGTAAAGCCTGCTAAATTGGCCACCGTCAGATGATATCGCTGCAACGTAGTGTTGCACTGCCCACTACCTGGAAGGGACTGTGCCTGCTGCAAGTGGGAGACGATAACAATGTAAGCTTCATCCTCGGATCGGGATTTTTCACACAAAGTCCTCGAGAGCATAAGCATCCCTCGGGGATTAATCCCTTATGTTTCCTGAACTTGGTATCTTGTCCGGTAATCGCACATTACATCCGTACGATGTTGTTAAACATACTTGGAATCTGCCATTCCCTCCCGGCAGGGTTCACTGTAGAATGTCGGACCGAATCTCGCCTTGACTGCCACCAATTCAAGACCTGCACAGTGATTAAAAAGCCAAATACCGTCGATATCCTCAATGGCTTTCCTCGGTAGCTACATTTTTGTCGTTGAAACTACTCCCAGTCTCCTACTCTATCCCGCTCTCACTCGCCTTAGAACATGGCGTCTCTTCCGACACATTCCCGGACCACCTGTAGCAAGATGGGCGAAGTTCTGGCTCAGCCGACATGCCCTACCGGGGACCCTATGCCGGACCCTCCAGGAGGTCTGCAACAAATATGGTAAGAAGATAATAGTATTGAGACGAACAGTTATCAAATGAGGAAAATAAGAAAAGAAAAGAAAAAGGAACTGGCATGTCCTAATGTGAGTACATCGCACAAAGGGCCCTCTCGTGCGAACGGACCCCGACTGGGTCGTGTGCAGCGACGTCCACGAAATCCACCGCATCTAGAGCGTACGTTCCGGCTACCATCGTGCGCCGTGGTACAAAGCTGCCGGGCTGGATCCGACGGTCGACAACCTGCTCACCATCATATCTAACAAGGGGCACCAGCGGCTTGCGCATGCACGTCTCGCCGGGGTACGCGGGTAAAGGCGGTCAAAAGATGATATCTGTCCCTTGATACTTCCTGAATCCTGACACCCACGCAATATGTAACGCGTCCATATCCAACCAGGGAATTATTGTCGACACCCAGATCGGCAAATACATCTCCCTGATCGAGCGCAAGTACCTGTCTACGGCGAAGATGACGCGCCTTTGTGACCTGTCTAGGATTATGCAGTATCTCACCCAGGGCGTCATCACCGTCCTCGGATTCGGCAAGGCCGTGGGGCATCTCGACGTTGACGGGGACGTAATTGGGTTCCTTGGTGCAGCGGACTCTATGCTCCTTCCGGGGCATATTGTCACGCTGCTGCCATTCTTGAGAAAGTTGATCGAGATGCCGCTGGTGAGACCGCTTCTCCCCAAGCCGGACGATGGGAGTCCTGTGGGTAAGCTTCTGGGTTTCATCAGAGCGCAGGTGGATGTGCAGTACGGCGTTAACAAGACACGGAACGAGGACGCACTCCAAGCCTTCGTAGACTCCGGTCTCGACCGTACGCAGGTCGAGGCCGAAGCGCTCGTCTTGCTATTCGGTGGGACAGACACGACGGCCACGGCATTGCGTAACACTACATTTTAATTATCCGCCAACCTCAGCGCATACCGTCGACTCCAGGCGGAGATTGACAAAGCCGCTAGTGATACCGGGGGGCCTTCTGCCACACGCCCCATCATTTCCGACGAGGAATCCAAGGCGCTGCGCTGCCCTACCTTCAAGCCTGTATCAAGGAGGGCCTACGCATGTGGCCTCCCATAATGGGACTAATGTGCAAGACTTCCGACGTCGACGACGTGGTGTGCCGGTTCAAGGTGCCGGCTCGGACGTAAGTTGTGTGGTCCGCGCTGGCTATTATACGCAATCCGGGCGTATTCGGCCAGAATGCCGACGTCTTTGAGCCGCGACGGTGGCTTGAGGCTGAGCCGAGCGAACTGCGGCAAATGGAAACTGCGTACGGACTTGTGTTCGTGACTGGAATGAGGTGGAAGTGCTGGGTGTCACGGCACGGAGTGTCCACAGGGCTGCAGCAGGCCGGAGGGAGCACTAAAATCACCCCAGAATAACAGAATCAACATGGAAAACACTCGTCATCTAAATTGGAATAGTATGACGTGGAAAATAGGCTAACTAGAACATACCTATAGAGCTACAGATATACTGAACCTAAAGTATAGGATAAAGCTAGGATAGGGTTGGGCTAGATAAACTAAGAGGGAAACTTTCAGTGTGAAGGGAGAGGTCAAGGGAAGATCATCTGAGGAGCTAGGGGAGGATATAAAAGGGAGGATGCTAGAGGAAAAGAAGGGAGGGGGAATTAGCGATTAGTTCATACTAGACCTACACTTTGGCCTTCGCTAGTTCTACTGTTCCCCTTCACTCTGTGGCAAAGAGACTAGCGTATCTGGAACTGGGCAAGGTGACGTCTGTGGTAATTGACCGCTTACCTCCTTTTCCTCTGGTCCCCATGGCCTGAGAGCAAAAAGTGCTGATAAACGGGGGATACTATGTCTCACATAGCTGCTTCTTCACTTCGATTTTGCCAATGGGAAACCCCGTGAAGCCGTTCTGCTGGGTGAACCTCGGATTCATGGCCCAGTTAGACATGAACGTTGTTATTACGAAGATGGAAAGCAAGCGAATTGGGGAGGACGAGTGAGTAAAGGTCACAATCGCGCGCAGGAAAGTAATATCGCGTTGCGGATTACTTGCGTCTTAAACGTAACAGGGGTCTGAGACTTGGTGCTCTGTTCCCATGCTCATATTGTCTATCGCGTGTTGACACATCGGGCATCGGGCATCGCATTTGAAACCACATTCTATCCCGCCCACAGTTAATACTAGTTTTACAGTGATGTATATACAAAGCCTTTCTCTCTAAGACCCCTTGAACTCAACCCGGGGCTAATGTTCCTCCCCAAGCTTGATAGTCAACTTGGGGCGGCTGGGGATCTCTACTTCAACTGTGAACTACATTTGGCTCTCGACTTACACCAAAGACTTACCCATCACCAAGTCGCTCCTTCCCCCTCACTTCCCATCTCTCCGCCCCTCCGCTCCTTCCCAACCTCACAACCCCCTATAAAAAAACCACACCTGCTTATGTGTTATATGTCATAGTCACGCCCTGGATTACCACCAGCAGCCCATGGCCCGACGGTCAGAAGATGCAGCCAGGAACTGAGATCACTGGTTCACGGGAGGTTCTGGGTTCGAACCCTGACGAGGGTAAGAACGTTAGGATCCGAACTATGAAGACGTTCCGACGGTGTCCAGGGATCGAGTAAAGAAATATCCGCACTCCAAAGAAGATCCCCGCCCAGAGGGTGGTTCGCGGGCGCGCAAGGGCTCGACGGAGCCTAAGGGCGCAACAGAGTTTTTTTTTTGTAATGTGAAGCTAGAATTCAAACTCGTGATGAAAAACTAGGAGGAGTGACATTAATTAATTTTAGACTTGTGGAATCTCTTTCTGCTACTTCTATCTTAGGCCCTTACTGCTTTCTTGAAATTATATCTATAAATTATCTTTATTAAACTGGACAAATCTTTTTTCTTTAGAGATAGCTGTGGGCACTCCCTGCTCGTGATTGTATATTACTCTCTGGAGGCGTCTATAAGAAGAGATGTAACTTGGCCTAGTATTGATATGTATTTTATTCTTCGTGGTGGAGGAGAATTCCTCGCTGCTTGGTGGCCAGGGCTTCTTCAAGATACAATTATTCCTTTTCGACCTGGCGGTGGTGTCTTATTCTTCATCTCAGCTCTGCTATAACTTTCTATACTTCTAACCTTGTAGAGCATATGCTCTCTTCTCGGTTCTCAGCGACCTGGTCCTCAGAACCTGGAGTATCTAATCAGGCTGGAGGATCTGGTGAAGTGCGAGGAATTGGTTAGAGGCGTGGCCTGTCGTGAGTTGTCTGTATAGCTGGCCAGCTTGGATACTTCAGCTATACTGCGCGAATCGGTTTCGTGAGGGGTCCCCTAAGTTGCCAAAGGCTGACCCTCTAGTAAGGAACGTCCAGCAGCAAAGTTGTAGGTAGTCTTCGTTGAACTTTGGGCTTACTAGACTTACTATTTCTGACGCTGCCACTACGATATTTCCTTTTACCAGCAGCCATAAGTTTGCCAAGGGAGGGAAAACTGATTTCGGAATCTGAACCGTCCAAGTCGCTGTCTTTGCTATCTGATGGTATCGAGATCAATTCGCAAGCCAATTCCAGACCTAGGCTATGTACCTACGCACCACTGCTCGTGCAGGTGAAAGTAATGGCAGAATCCACACGATTTGGCGGCACCAGAAGCAGCTTCCCTCTTTTATCAAGTAAGTCTCCAGGTTGTAATTACTACAATTCGCCGTCTGCTTCTTCTGAAGGCTTCACGACTGGCAACACAGGCTCGCTAGAGCCGAGGTCTCTCCCCGGAGTCTGGGATGGACCTAGCCAGTTACCGAATATCTCTTACGAATGCGCCGCTAAAGGAGCATTGGAGTGGTCAAGGGCTGAGCTGAAACTGCGAGCAATGCAGGCATGGCGGGTGTTGCTTTTGCCTCTTTAGCTGATTTGTTAGCTGAGGGATGGCCTGGCTTTGCTATGCGTGGTCGTGTTGGATTATCGGCATGGAATTGGGGCCTAAAGTGTGTGAAAACAGGGATTGTTGCTTCATAAAATCCCTTCCGTTCCAGCCCCGAATTCCTTTCCTTAAATAGCCACCGGTTTCCATCCAGTTCCTACCTGAAATATCAGGTTCCATTTTTACACATGGCCCAACAGGTCGCACAAGGCTCTGGTTCTGGAGGGCCATCGCAGCAGGTGATTCGCCAGGCTCCTCAACAAACGTTGGTGCCTGAACATGAACCCCGCCTCTGCCACTCATCAGGGCGATTGAAGCCTATTGGAATGGGCCATGCCCAAGCGTGACCTCGATCCAATACCACCGTTGTCTCTGACAAGTCCGTCGCGGACTGCGATCGATCGGCCTTACGCCCCAATGCTCGCGGGCTTGCTGTCGATTACCATCCCTCGAAAATGTCAGGTGTAGAAGCGGCGGCTGGTATCAGCCTGCTTTGCAATATCATCCAGATCGCCACTTTCTTGAGAGATGTTATCACCGCGTACAAGAGCATCGAAGATAACCACACGCCGGATCCTCGCCTCGCGCAGATGTGCGAGGCAGTTCGGGGCCTTTATGGGCGCGTATTCGATGAAGTCAATGATGAGAGGCCCCTAAGACAAGGACAACAGGCTTTGGTAGACGCCGCGCAGAAATGTGTAGAACGGACCGAGGAACTCAATCACATGGTGTCTCGGTTGGCGGTCCGCGAAAACAGCCCTCGACTTCGAAAGACGATGACAAAGATTAGCCGCAGTGTCTTATCGATGTGGCAAAAGAAGGACCTCGAGGCCCTCGAAAAGGATCTGGGGAGGTACCAAGGCCTAGTCGACACTCAACTTCTCCTCCATTTATCTAGCCAGACCCGGTCCTCGGAGCAACAGCATCTCAAATCTTTCTCCAGGCTTGACGATCGGCTTAAGCAAGTGTTAGAGTCCTACGAAACAGAAAACTCTACCATTCAACAATTCATCCTAACGGAAAACGGACGGATAAAGACATGTGTCACCGAGACAGGCTCAGACATAACCCGTCAACTAGCCACTGTAGAGTCAGCAATTCGGTCCGACATTAATAAGGTCGAGAACAACCGGTTGGATGAAAGGTCAAAAGCGGAGCAGGAAAAGCGGCACAAGCGCCTACTTGAGAGCCTCTATTTTCCAGAGCGCAACGCAAGATGGAACAGGATCGAGGAGAATTACCCGAGAACTTTTAGGTGGATATTCTCCACCCCTGGAGATTCTCTAGATGAAATGGAGGAAGATGATAGCGACGAAAACGAGGAAGACGAAAGCGACGAAGATGAAATCTCTCTCGCGGATGTGGCGACCTTTGTTCCCTGGCTCCGATCCGATTCTAAAATGTTCTGGATAAGCGGCAAGCCCGGTTCAGGCAAGAGCACCTTGATGAAATATATCATCACCAGCCCAGAGACTTTAGAGCATCTCCAGGAGTGGAATCCGGATGTACGGCTTATTCATCACTTTTTCTGGAAGCCAGGCGTTCCCATGCAGAACTCGGTCGATGGGATGCTTTGCTCCCTACTCTACCAGATGCTAGAACACCAACCCTCTCTTGCTGAATCTTTCAGCGGAAACGGCTTCAACTCCACGTCAAAAAAGACTTACCATGACTGGTCGACGAAGGAGCTGAGAGAAGCCCTCTTCCGCCTGTTAGGTACGGCCAACACTCACTTTTGCATCTTCTTGGACGGTCTTGACGAGGCGGTTGAACACTTGCGCAAGTTTGATATCAAATCGTTGCTTGATGAGTTGGCGGAGCTGGACTGTGTGAAGACATGCGCTTCAAGCCGACCGGAGCCAAAATTTATGACATACTTCGTCGACACTGATCAACTCGCCGTTCATAATCTGACACGACTAGATATTGAGATGCTAGTCCTCGAGCGCCTTGAGAATATGCAGATTCAACCATATTTTCGACAGCATCTAGCCCACATCGTGGTAGAGAGAGCGCAGGGCGTCTTTATGTGGGTTATCCTCGTGCTGAATAGTATCCAAATGGGCATAGAATGCCAGGAGACACCCAAGGCGTGCTTGCAGAGAGTGTCTCGTATGGAACAGGATCTTGATTCGTTGTACAGAGAAATGTGGACTCGGGCAACACACCACGGGATAGACACCAGCACGGCAATACTCTATTTCGATCTGGTTGTCGGGCGCCGTCTTTTCTTTGAGGAGACGAAATTCTCCAAGGTCAGTCTGCTCGAGCTGGCGATGATGGCTGACGGAGGCGGCCTTCTGGAATCTTCCTTCGAAAACAACAGTGTATTAACAGCAGAAAACCTGTTGGAACTAGCTGAGAAGACAATGAAGCAGATTGAGGTTGGATGTGCTGGGCTATTGGAATGTACACCAGAATCAGCCCTCGACTCATTCCAAGTCCGCTCGGACTCCAAAAAACTCGGCGAATATGGCAAGATCCAAGTCGACTTCACGCACCGAACAGTTTTTGACTTCTTTACCGATTCGGAATACGGCCGGAGCATACTTTCAAAATCGTCTTTGACTGACGAAGAATGCTTCATGAGGACCCTGAAAGCCATTATGCTTGAATGCCGCTACCTCGATATAATAGCGACCGGAATTTTTGCCGAGGACACTGCTGGTACCGTAATGAAAAGTACCACCATTATGGAAATCGTCAAATGCGCTCAAAACTACGAAGCGGATCGTTCGGAAACATTGGAGGCTGCGGACTGGATAATCCAAGTTTTGTGGAAGTGGCACCTGGAGGGATATTGGTCTGATAACAACAGTACGGCGACCGAGAAGAACTACTTTTTGCCAAAAGAGCCCGCTAAAATCCATCTCCTCAAATTTGTGGAAGCGCTGACAGCATTTTACCCAAGGATGGCCTGCAAATTTATTCAGGACTTGCAGGCCTCTGACCTTCCTGACTTGCTTCCGATGATCCTATACAGAGCCTGTCCGGACAAGCCTCCTGGTAGCGGATACGACGGGCAACGCGTCGTTCGACATGCCCTTTCTCTGTTTAGAAAACTCAGCGACAACGGAGAATCTACCATACAGGGAGGGTTGAGCCAAACCATGAGTCTAGCCTTCTCTTTTCTACTGCGGCAAATGACTCTTAACCTAGACGAAACCCATCAACAGGGCCGGCTATTGGATCGATACCGAAATCCATTACGCAGTGCAGTTGTCACCATCGAGTCATTCGCGAAACTGGAAACTTTCGATCATCCTTGGGACCAAAGCTTCCTCTTGATGTTAGGTTTCGACTTCGAGAGGGGCTTGATTAAGTGGGACGTAACTGTAGACGACTACGAACTCGCGTCGATGGTGGTCAGTTGCAATGATTTATTCCTGAAGACTTATCTGGCCAGTTTTGAGGGTCTGCAAAACCTGCATGCTTTGGGGCAGAATGCACGATGCAGACCGTCCTTTGAGGTCCTTCTTGTTCGTCATGGATCCGATCATCAGGGCATCCCATTAGGGGAGCCCCCTGTTTCAGTGAGGGCTAAGATGCAAGGCTTGCTCTTCCAAACATTCATCGAGAGGCAAAGCTTCCTCTCCGTTAAAGATGAGTTAAAACAGCTCATCTCGTCGGTAGGAGTTATAAATGTGGAATACCCTGGGGTCTGGGAGTTTATTCGCTGGTGGGATGACGTTTTCATTGAACTTGAGGGTCGTGGTCACTCTATGCATAGATGGTTGATCTTGTATTATATGTGCTAGGTGGACTTGCTATGTAATAAAAGCAAATAGCAAAAATCCGAACCGTTGCAGCCGACTAGCATCCCAGACTCTGCTAAATGGCTCGAAAGGCGGCCAAACACAACAAATAGAGTTAGTTGACCGCTACCGGGTCGACACGATTCACCAGCACACCCGTATTTTGCGAGGGCTTACTCGTCGTCTTCCTCCTCGTCCAAGGGGTCCTAGATTTTTACACTGATTCCGACTCCATCAACCACTTTGACCAAGTCCGTGATGTTTAAACTATACCCTTAGAAGAGAGGGATTATATAGGACATTATAATATGCTCCACCTGAAGTCCCACATATAGATAAAGCAGAGTTGTCTCTGCTGATTATATAGATTCTCTGAAGCTTCTGCTTTAACTAAATGGGGATAAGATATAAGTTTAACTATAGACATATAAATTATATGTCTATCAGACGAATCTATAATCAATATCTGAGCCCCCCCCCCTCTTTTTTTTTTTTTTTTTTCTACATCTTCAGTTGAGGTCAAGTTCAAGTCAAGGGAACGAGGCGCTAATTAAGCCGAATCACAGCACAAAGATTCAAGAATGTTTTGGTCAAGGGAGCATTTATCCCTTTCATGTCTTTTCAAATCATTTTCTTCCTATGTGAAAATAGCCTAGATGTCTTTTCATTATCCTTCCCCATAAAATTTATAAAATTTATTCAGGAGCCAGTCTCGATAGGTTCATCAACGACGGGCTGAGAGGCCTCGGTCGGCGCCTCGGTTGGCTCCGGCCAATTGCTATCACCTGTAGGCTCCAGCGGAATCCACGTAACAGGCCCAATCATCTCGAATTGGCTAGGATGAATGCTGCAAAAGTCCAACTCGGAGTTCAACGCGCGGAGTTGATCATAGGGCGCCGACAGCCGCGGCTGATTCGTGTATGGGATGGTCGACGTACAGCTCTCCGGCGCCGCGGCGCAGTTTGGCAACTCGGTGAGGCCGAAGAAGGCCGTGGCGGGGATGGGGTTATTGAGATCGGCGAGGTTGAGCTGTTTGAAGACGGCGGTCCTGCGCTGGCGGGGACCCCAGTGAGTGTTCACATCAGAGGGATCCAGGCTGACGACAAAGTCGGTCATCCATTTACCGCACGCTGTTTTTTTGTACTGGCCCCAGTATTGAGCCGCTTGCAGGTGGGAAATAGAGACGTAAACGCTCGGCGAGACAAAGGTCGTACCGTCGACGATGGTCGAGCGCGCAGGCTCGGGGTGGGTTATAGTTGTCCGCTCGCCGCAAAGGTCGCCGGTCACGGTTGCTGGCCAGTAGTACACCTTGACTCCCTCGGTAGCCATCATCTTGCAGACGCCGTCACCGCGGGGACAAGGGGTGTATGTGGTGCACGGTGGGGAATGCGGGGTGGCATTCGAGCCGTTGTAACTCGAGAAGGCTGACTCGAAGTCCGATAGGTACGGTGCGCAATGCTCATCGGCTATCGTACAGGTCGGCGCGGGAGACGCATAAGTGCTTCTCAGCAGGGTGGTTTTCGGCTCGTCAAGGGAAACCGTGACGGTGGAAAACTCTGGGACTGGATCCAAGGCCCGCGGGAATCCGTCACAAAGCGTCGTGAGTGAGGGATTGTAGGCATCCTGCGTCCAGGACTCAGTATAGTAGACCGTGGTTGTCGTCGGTGCTTCATACTCGTCCTTGGAAGACCAGTATGATGACCAAGAGGCAAAACAACACTCATGTTCCTCCAAGCCGGAGCACCCGTCTTAACTCTCGTAATTAGCTTCTTTTTTTCTTTTTTCTGTAATTGGGGTCAAAACAGCAACCCACCAGCTAAGACAGGCTGAACCAGTCCCAAGGACACGACCCAGGCAAGCGCCCGGAGGGTTCCGAACGATGACATGTTAATCATTTTCGCAACGTAACTACTTTGATACGTGACTAGGTTGATAAAATAGGCTGAGGCCGTGAGACTGATGGCGAAAGGTATTCGGAGGGGGTTATACAAAGGTAGTTGCTGGTGGTAAACGTGCAATTTAAGTCCTGATCGGAAATGAGGGGAGATTGATAATAATCCACAGCTCACTCCTGCGTTGCATTGTGATGTGGCAAGCTGACAGCGGAACGAGCCGAAGGAGCTGATAAAATTTCCTGATTTGGAGTAGCTCAAGTTCAATACGAGAGCGACCTGCAGGGCCCGCGTAAAATAATGCGAGGGGCGCGTCGCATTTTTCTGTGTAAGGCAGCACTGAGGGGGATGATCAGTCGAGTTGAGTAATATTGTCCATCCCATCTCCGTGGAAAATGTGCGTTGTTGTGGATCGGTGATTCGGCAGAGCTGGTCGCAATCCTCACCGCCGAGGTCAGTGCTCTCGAAATTCCCCGTTTTTCCATTTATCATTATTCTTGGCATTCGGCTTTTATTGCTGCCCAGTGTGGGGTGGTGCTGCTGTCGAAAAGCCGGGGGTGATGAGGAGCAAACATGCCATTCCACTGCGATGACCCAATGCTTATGGGGCAGGCTATTCAGACACAACAATGAGCGTGTAACCTAGCCCGTCCATCCCCCGACACTCCTTTGACTCTAGCCTCCCTTCATCACGGAGACGCTTTTTGTTGTTAATAACGCATCCCCCGGCATCTTGACTGCGATGAAGGTTAATAAGCGATGGCTCAACCATTGTTTTCCTCTCGAGCTTGACCCAGAGCCGCTACAGAGGACGTAGAAGGATCAATTGACGATTATGTGAGAGGAATGTGGTACAGTAGATGCGTTCCAGGGCCAGGGGCATGAAGAAATAACCTCCCGTTACCGTTATGGTCGCATTATCGGAACGGAACAAATCCCCGACGGGAGGATTAGTTGAAAATAGCCAGCCCCCACATAAATTATATGTCTCGTCTCGTCAAAGGCTGCTCTATTCGAAGGAATTGTCCATAGGAGAGGAGTACTTCGTGCCTCCAATTGCACTTGCAAATACGATGCGACATGCAGTGAGGACAGTCGCCGCTCGTCCCTTGATGCGAGTGAGATGGCTGGGGGTGATGGTCTTGGCCTCCTGTCGGCGTCGTTACTGTAGCATGCTCGCGCTGGTTGCCCTTTTTGTCGGACTCCCCTCAGACGATTCCATGGGAAGGAGGGTATATTCGCTTCTACGGATCTGAAAAACAGCATATTGAACTTCCAAGAACCTTAAAAAGTGGTCTCAGCGTCCCAGCCTACTTCATGTTTTGAAGAAATCTTCTAATTTCAGAGCAGGAACCCCCGAACCTTATGATATTTAGTAGTAACAACTCACAATCGGCCGGCCGCTCAACTCTGAACGATAGCCGCAACGTGCACGGCTTGTACAGTTTAGTTGGCTCCCGGAAGGGCCGGCGCTTCGGTTTGCGCTCGATTTCCCAGGATGAGGTTTACTACACTACGAGACAAGCATTGAGAGGATTTTAAAGCGCGTGTCACCCCTTCCATGGGCGCCAGCCCTAGAAGAAATTCCGCACCTCCGGCATTTATGGAGCAAAACATGCTCAACCGCTTTGTTGACGTTGCAGTCGTTTAGCTCAGAAATACGACGGAAAGCACCCTCTCACTTAAGGTAATCACGTGATATCTATTTTTAGTGCCAGGTGGATTAATGAGGGGTTAACATACAGGGCGGAACCAGCTGGTGTGCTGCAGAATATTGCCGATCTCTACTTCGTATTTCTCTGAATTAAAATTTGCTGGTTTAGGGTACCAGACCGAGGCCTCCCCTCCTCTACTGAGTTCCCGGTTGTTTGCGTTGTTTGCAGTCCCACTCTCAGTGGATGTTTATGAGCGCCATCTGGGTCTTGCTTCCATCCTGAATCTTCCCAAGAGTGTAAGTGCTAGTCGATAGCTAAGAAATGGCCCCAGGATTAATTTCTGTATACAATGGAGTTGTGCGTTGACCAAACTCTTAACCGCAAGCATGGCGGAAACGTTATGCTCGCGGTGTGTACATCTTCGTCTCGATGGTCCAGGAAATGCTGCCGGTCTCGATTTCTGTTCGGATATACGTGACCCTAAGGAGTTCGTTCCCTCAGAAACTGCCCTGGATCGTTCCATCGAAACCAGCTATGTCCTACGCGACACGTTTCCGGGGTTCCCAGCGCTTAGAGAGGCGGCCCGTCTTGGTTGTCCAGTGTGTCAGCTTCTTGCCGAAGCAATCAGCCAGGATCAGCTGGATCAGGATCCCGACGATCCCGACTGGCCACCTAACCCGGGGCTAGCCCAGACCCCTCTTTCCGCCGTTGCGCTCTATCACATTACAGATCCAAATTTCCGTTATGCAGTGGGGCTAGAGCAGAGAGGCATGTTATCATCGCTGGAAATTCAATTTACGATCAACGTTCCAAACGATCGATGTTATTCACCGGTTTTGAACCTCTCTATAAGCACGGAGAATAGTAATTATGAGTCCTTTTCTTAACTTTCGCTAGAGAACTCAAGTCTGGCACCGCGATCCTCATAAGGGCTAGGAGTACTGATGATAATGTCAAACCCAAGGTTGCCCTGTCTCCAAACACCTTGGCATACAACGTCGGTCAGTTTCGAGCACGACTTTGACGCCAGAGAATATCAGCATGATGCGGTCTTGGATCGAGGAGTGCCGCAATGGCCACGAGAATGAGACCGGCTCACGATCTGAGATTTGCTGGCGAAACGGAACTGGTGTCTCTACGGGTCCGGCATTACCCTGCCCACGGCGACTAGTGTACGTGGGCCGATCTCAAGGAGACGATTCCGATATCCCAAGGCTTATCGAGACGAATGGGCAGAAAATCCGATATGCTGCCCTCAGCTACTGCTGGGGCAAGGGAGAGTGGTTACAAACTAGAAAGAATACTCTATGGGAACGGAAATCGGGCATTTTGTGGGACGTTCTGCCACGGTGCCACTTTGACGCATGCGTAGCTACCAGACTTCTAGGCCTTGACTATGTATGGATCGATGCTCTGTGTATTGTGCAGAATGATGCCGACGACTGGAACCATGAAGCCGCGATCATGGGCCAGATTTACCAGGCGGCGTACGTGACTATCTGCGCCGTAAAATCCTCGTCAAGCAACGAAGGTTTTCTCGATCGACGGGTGCTGCCGGTCCACGCAGGCCAACGGTCTTGGAAACAGGACCTCGATCGGTCCCGGAAGCTAGCAGCCGCTATTCCATATCATAATTCAGCAAAGGGAATTTCTGGCTGCTACTTCATCCGATATCTGTCCTTACATGCAAAGTCTCAGCCAAGCGCGACCCGCGATTTTGGCCACTTCTCTGCAGAAGTCGAGGCATCCACCTGGAACACCAGAGGTTGGACTCTCCAGGAAAGGCAGCTGTCAAGCCGAACCATATTCTTTGGTGCCGGAGCCATCTTTTTCGAGTGCCAGGCATTTTGCCGATCCGAAGCTTTCCCTGCTCTTAGCCGCAGAACCACTCCATGGCAGGACATCACTCTTCTTCTTGGGGACGATCGACAAGCGATGAAAGTGTTCCTCCGAAGTGTTTGGACTAATATCGCGATGCTTCTATGTAATCGGAAATTCACGTACCGGAAAGACATTCTCCCCGCCATGGCCGCTCTCTCGACGAGGTTTAGCCGCGAAATGCAACTTGCGTTTGTCGACGATGTACCAGACTCCCAAGCATCAGTACGGTGCATCGCCGGCCTGTGGGATGTATGCCTCTTAGAGGATCTCCTGTGGATATGCCAGGGATGGAACTCAAAGTTCTACGCCGCACGGTCGGAAGATGTACCGACATGGTCATGGCTCTCACTTCAGACATCGTGGCGCGTGGCAGGTGACTGGATACCCCATGGAGACAACTCGCATATCTTCAAAATCCAGCCAGGATACGAGGTGTTGGATATTCACAACCCAAATGGGCCGTGCTTGGTACCGACCTGCGTCATCACGAGAACCCCCAAGGCCGTTCCTAGCGAGGACGGGGATTCCTCACTTTGGCTACATGGTTTTATTACACAGCAGAAGTTGAGTTGTCGCCAAAAGGATATGGCAAATGACTGGGCATCATTTTCTGTGAATGGTATCAGTGTTGAAATTGCTTTTGACAGCGATTGGAGACCGAAACGCCAAGCAGGGAAACCCGTGGTTACAGATCCCGACCGAGTAATAAACATGTCCCTATATCTCGCGGTTATTTTCAGAAGGGTCTCAAACCCTGACGACACGTGGGAATACGAGAGAAGAACATCTGTTCCCGCGAATCGGATATACGGTCTGGTTCTGAATGCAAACCCTGGCAGTGGCTCGGGCGAACAACTCCACAAGTTGGACCGCGTCGGTGTGTTCCGTGCGGATGATGAGGAAGAAACGAAGAAGCGCGGGCAGTCGACAAATCTTCCATTTGAAGAGATTCTCAGAGCGCAACTGAATCTTTCCGAGCGGGAGTTTCACGTCTGGTAGCGGTGTTGAGTTGGCTGGACCACGGCAATTATGGTTAGAACCACCACTGGGCAATAACATGTATTATGACCATTCATCATATCGAGCATTATCCGCATCCCCGATTCCTTCTGACAAATAGACGCGGTTCCAGGCATGTTTAGGTTGCCACCCCGTTCTTCCTTTGAACCACTCGCGTGGTTCGATTTCCTAGAGCATAAGCGGCCCCCATCAATACAATTTGCATGCCGTGCTGACCACTGCTAATTAGTCCAATGGGGTTCTAGATGCATTTAGCAATATACCAAGTCTACGCATATAATAATCCCGGGAGATTGCATCCATCGTCGAACTTTCCTGTGCCACTCCAGACTTATATTGGCTCAGACTGGGAGAAACAATTATCCTTGGCTTATCAGTAAATCTCACCCACACGAAGGAAATAGACGAAGTCTCGGTTAATGTTAATGTGCGGGGAGT